GTGGATTGTCCTTGGCAATCCTAAGAAGCCTTTTGCATTTGGGGCCAAAAGGTCAAGGGTCAAGGTCACAGTGGCTAAAACAAAAGAAATTTTGTCAGCGCGATAACTTGAGAAATACTTTACATGTGAACTTCAAATTTGGTTTGTGGATCGTTCTTGGTTATCCAAATATTGGGGGTCGAAAGGTTAAGGGTCAAGGTCACAGTGGTTAAAACAATAGAAATCTTGTATTTATTCTGAGATCATAGGGATTAGGGATTAATTCATATAAAACCTACAGAAGACACTAATGCTGTCAATGAACGTTTCATGTGACCAAGGTACATGTACAATGTAAGTTGATGTTAAAAGAGTGGTGTTTTGTCATGGAAACAGGTTGCGGGGCATTTGTGTTTGTAAACACACCTGACTTGTTTTCTTTTAAAGTTAATAACTTTTATGCCAATAATCAGTGAACACTTTACTTAATTCAACACAATTAATTCAACACATGGAACTGGAAACACCAGGCTCATTAATGTTGTGACAGACGGGACATTTTTATATGAACTGAATAAATGTAGGCACAAGCATTTATTATTTTTAAGAAGAACATGTAGTATGTTAAAAACCAGAAGGATCTACAAAAAATGTATGTTCACCTTTTTTTTTAACAGGTGATTGAAAAAATGTGACAGATGGGACAAAAATATAACAAATGGGTAAACATGTGACACATTTATGTGCTGAATAAATGAAGGCACAAGCATTTATTATTTGTAAGGACATGTAATACAGGGTGGTTAAAAAAAAGGACACCCACATTTGACAGGAATTTTCACCTATTTTTGAAAATTATTTTTTAACTGTCGATTAGTAGCTATTAAAGTACTGGCCTTTAAGCAAATGTGACGAAAAATTGTTGCATTTGCACATTTCGTCGTTGAGCTATGCCAATTTGAACATTTCATGTACGAAACCTGTTTGTCCACGGAGGTATACATTCCCTTCGCTTGACTGAGCTCAGCTATTGGAGCTTTATTTGAAAAGATATGACATTTGATTGTTAAGTTATGTAATGTTATGCAACAATGAACTTAAGCCGACAGCTCATTGAGTAGATGATCTTAACACTGATTTGAATAATTGGACAGCTTCAATGAAAGTTACTAGGGCAAAATCTATTTTGGTGGGAAGTTTTTATTTTATTTTTATGAACTACGAAAACTTCCAGTCTACTTCACTCTACTTACCTGTAGAGCAATACTACTTATGCATATTCCCCCTACCGGCAGGTATTTTCCGCTAAGAGTTATATACAATAGCGCCCTCTGGCGCCCTACCCATAATACCCCGCGGCATGCGTGCCTCGTGAGCGTCCTCTTTTCTCTTAGCGGCAGGTCGGGTAGGACGTGCGTGAAATAGCTCGCTGTTTGCCTCGTCATTTACTACCCTTTTTTGCGTTTAAGAGAAGTATTTAATAAAAGAGTTAGTAATCATCAGTTTGTAGAGTTTCATCATCTTCTTGGTTTTATTTATTTCATAAATATGAAGCGTTTGGGGAGGGCCGATCTGTCACTAACCGGGGGGAATTCCTCTCCCACGGGACGGACCGAGTTCTCGGGGGACTCTGCCGTTAACGCTCCGACGTTACCGCGGCAGCAGTCTCTCGTCCGGCACCCTCAGCCACAGTCGGCTGGGGGAGTTGGCAGTTCCGACGATCAGTTAAGGGAACCTCGATCACCTTCTCCGTCAACTCGGGCGGAACACCCAAACTAAAGGCACACTCCTGCAAGGTTCCCCTAAAACATATCTCCTGTGCCGGAGCAAAGAAGGGCCGTCGGGGCAAGCGTGGCTCGGCAACGAGCGCCGCTGTGGCACCTAGCCCTCCCCCGATCACGGGGCAGCCCGAGGGGACTAGCCGTCACACTTCGGTGGGCTCTAGTCACCCGTGCCCTCCCGACACAGTGCCGAACACCACTGGTTGTCGGGATGGGCTATTGCACGGGCTACCGGTCCGTCCAGCGCTCGCTCAGCCCACGGGGCCTGAGGCGCTGTCGGCCGGGTGCATTATGAGCGATACGGAGCCGGTCGCCCCGGGGGATCCCGGGCCGACGGCCCTCATGCTAGCTCGCTCAGAGGGACTACTCTCAGCATCGGATTTTTTCCGTTGTTCGGGGGTCCCGGTGTCCCAGGTGTCTTCTGATTTTTCCTCGGACACACCTCGGGGCCGTTCTTCTATTAAGAATAATAAGAAGAAGGCTGCACGTCGATCGCGCCGTTCTTCTTCGGGTTCTGACGACTCCTCTGACCGGTCCCACCGGGGCAAACGCTCCTGGGGGGAGGACGCGGTTTCTTGAGCAGATTTCCTGCAGGCTTTTCAGTCGATTTCCGATACGCTATCGGCTATGTCGGCAGGCCGCCGGGCGGGCCCTATTGGGGGGCCCCCTGCAGCGGTGGACTACGGCCCACAACCATCGGTCGTTGGGCCCGCATCACAGTCTTCAGTCACCGGTCACGCTTGGGTGGCCCAGGAACAGAGGGACATACCGCACACAATTAGTCGTGCTCCGGCATCCCCGCCTGCGGTGAGGGCTTCACAGTCGTCTTTCGTTGGTCACGGTTGGGTGGCCCAAGCACAGCGGGACATACCGCACGTGGTTGACCGTACAACGGAGGCCCGGCCTTCAGCGAGCGTCTCGCATGCATCGGCCGTGGGCCACGGTTGGGTGGATCAGAGGCCGCGGGACCTACCGCGTACGCTGGGATCCCCGCCTGTATTGAGCATTCATCCATTCATGCAGTTTGACTCGGAGGAAGTTGTCCAGCCACTACCGCGTGGTTCGGTACAACTCGCCCCTCCAGACGGCGTTTGTTCACTGGAGTCAACTCGGCCCTCACAATCGGCTGAGTCATCCGATGACGACGAGGAACCAGACCGTTTACAGCGGCTGTCTATCTCTGAAACGGAGCTCCGTTTAGTACAGAGGGATATGATAAGAGTACTTCATTTACCCTCCGCTGATGAGCCCCCTCCACCGGATCATAAATCTTTCAAGCGAAGGACGGGCTCCGCATCTAGCAGCGATAAGATATTCCCCGTACTTCCTTTAGATCAAGTATGCGTGGAACGTATTGACAGCATCATGTCAACGGAAAAAAGGCGGCCGTTTCTCAGTCGGGAACGGGATTATTTTCGTTTCCCGGCTGAAGATCATGCGAAGTTCTTCACTCCGCCTACCCTCCCCGACGCCACGAAAGATAAACTTGCGTCCGATGAGAGTGGTTCGTCTTCCAAGCGACCCTTTGTGGACAAAACATGGGGTAAACTTGAAGATGTTTTGAGGAAGATAGACGCAGCTTCACGTTTCGGTTTGAAATCAACGTCTTTCTTACTTCTTCTCACGGAATATTTGGCCGTGGGCTATGAAGAGGACTCGCCGATTCCAGCAGATATGCTGACTGCGGCCCTTCATTGCCTCGACCATGGTCTACGCTCAGTGCTTGATCAATTCACACGTGTGTCGACCCTATCAACGTCCACCCGCCGGGGTAACGTGCTCGATGCACTTTTCCTCCCGTCGCAGGGTGCTCGCAAAAGACTTGAAGATCTCCCCTTGACGGGCACGGATCTATTTGCCGGTAAATTCGAAGATCAGATGCGAGATGAGGCCAAACATCTGAAGGCTACGGAGAAAATCAACTTCAAGAAGCCTCCAGCACCGGCGCCCAAACAACAGCAGGCCGCAAACCTCTGAAATCTGGTCGCGGTGGTTTTCGTGGCTGCACAGACAATACTTCCGGTGCGCGCGCCACGCAGGCCCGCACGTTCTCTGGACAACAACGGCCCCAATCTGGTCGTGGTTTCCGGGCACTGGCCCCCCGCTATCCCGGGGGCTGGCGCAAGTGACTTAGTAGACTCGTGGCGGCCTCCCGCCGTCGGACCCGTGGGAGGCCGTCTCCGAGACTTTGCGGGGTCCTGGGGTTTAATTACGTCCGACCGGTGGGTGCTCGATACGATCGGGTGCGGCTACGCACTCGAGTTCTCGAGCACCCCCCCGTTGGACATGATCGTTCGACCGACGGTAGTTCCGTCCGATCCTACCAGACGTCTCTCCCTCGAAGGGGAGATCAGTTCCCTCCTCGGGAAACGGGCAATTCGCCCGCTCCCTCCGGGGGAGACGCGGTCGGGCTTCATGTCGACCTTCTTCCTGGTACCCAAGAAGGAGGCCGGCATGTGGCCGCCCGATTTTAAATCTAAAACCCCTCAACAAATTTATTCGGCCAAGACGTTTTCGCATGGATACGCTCAACATCATACTCCAATCGATTCGTACACCTGCATGGGGAGCCAGTCTAGATCTGAAAGATGCGTATCTACACATTCCTGTCAGACCAGACCACTGGAAGTTTCTTCATGGTTCTTCCGTTTGGTCTAGCCACCTCACCCCGAGTCTTCACGCGTGTGGTGAAGACAATCGGGGCCGCATTAAGAAAACAAGGTGTGATGATCTTCATGTATCTGGACGATTGGATCATTATTGCTCAATCTCAGACGGCCGCATCGGCGGCACTCAATCTGACTTGGCGCCTAGCGGCGGATCTCGGGTTTATTATCAACGCCGAGAAATCCCATCCACATCCATCCCAATTCCCAATCTTTCTGGGAGCGTCTCTCGATCTCCAGAAGGGATTGGTTCGGCCTACGGAGGAACGAATTGTAAATCTCCAACAGTGTGTGTCTCTGTTTCTTCCGACGACCATGGCCCCAGCACAAGCCTGGCTAAGGTTGCTCGGTCTCATGGCCAGTATGGTAGATGTGGTGAACTTTTGCAGACTAAGGATGCGTCCCATCCAATTACATTTGCTGTCCTTCTATCGGCCCAGTCGTCACCACATACGTCATCTGGTGCCCACCACACCTTGGCTGATACCGCACCTCCATTGGTGGCTCGACAATGCCAATCTCACAGAGGGGCGCGCGTTTCACAAAGTCGATCTACGTGCCATTCACATTCCTGGTGCGGAAAACGACATAGCGGACTCTCTCTCCAGGGGCAAAGTAGTTCCCACGGAGTGGTCATTGAACAGGAGGATCGTACATCAGATCTTCTCGATCCTAGGTTGTCCACACATAGACCTGTTCGCCTCAGCAGTCAACACTCAGCTCCCGGTGTTCTGTTCGAGAGCCCATCATCCTCATGCTTGGGCCTCGGACGCACTATCAATAGACTGGACAAACATGTTCGCTTACGCCTTCCCCCCGATCTCAATCCTTACAAAGGTCATCGGGAAACTGGAGAGAGACAGGTGCAAGATCCTGCTGATCGCCCCCTTTTGGCTGCGTCAGCCCTGGTTTCCGCGACTGGTGAGGCTCCTAGTGGGCTCCCCACTAATCCTCCCAGATCGTCACGACCTACTTGTTCAACCTCAGTCCCGGTTCCAACACCGGGAGATCTCACTTAGCGTGCTGGCCACTGTCAAGCGTGTCTACCGAGCAGCAGGTCTTTCTGAAGACGCTGCAGCTCTGGCCGCAAAGGGACGTCGTCTCTCAACACGACGAATCTATGACAGTCGACTACGACATTATAGTAGGTGGTGCGCAGAACAGGCTGTGGATCCGCTCTGTGCTTCTTTAAGCCATTGTTCAGAATTCCTACTGTCATTGTTCAGAGCCAATTTGTCAGTAGGAACGATACGAAATTATCGATCAGCCATAGCAGCAATTCACAAAGGCTTCGCTGATGGCTCATCTATCTCCTCTAATGTTGCAATCACTAACCTACTCCGGGGAATGTTCAACGAGAGACCTACAATCCGGAAACTGGTCCCATCCTGGGATCTAGGTTAGGTCCTGAACATTTTGGCCAAGGCTCCATACGAGCCCTTGGGCCAAGCACCCCTCATTCATGTATCTATAAAGTTGGCCTTCCTGCTCGCAGCGGCTACCGCTAGGCGTAGCAGCGAGATCCATGCGCTGACTTTAGATTCGGGACATATCTGCTGGGAACCAGGTGGGGTTCGCCTGATCCCAAAGGCGTCCTTCCTGACGAAAAATCAGACGGCAAGTTTCAGCCCTCCTGATATTTTCCTCCGAAAAAATAGAGTCAACCTCTTCTATCCCCTCAGACAAATTATGGTGCCCAGTGCGCGCCCTAAAATGGTATCTGGCACGCACTAAGTCACTCAGGGATAAATGCATGCAGCTCTTTATTACAACCATAAAACCACATGGCCCCGCCTCAAGGGACACCATTGCGCGTTGGGTAGTAGCTGCTATCAAATTTGCTAATGCGGATTGGCCATCCAAAAAGGATGCTTCTGTCCAAGGCCTTGTCCGAGCCCATGACGTACGCGCCGTAGCGGCGTCCTGGGCATTTTTTAGCGGAGTCCCTATTTCAGAGATTTCTCAAGCAGCATGCTGGAAGTCTGCCACAACATTCACATCCTGCTACCTACGTGATGTACTCCAGACTGGAGGGAACACAGGGAAGACGGTACTGACACAACACCAGTCCTCGTCTACGAACCCTACCCTGCGCAGTAGTTCTTCCCGGTCTGACCAGGAGACTAACTAAGCAGGTAATACATTTACATGTATATTCAATCTAAATGGTCTAAATCATTATGTATATATATATATATACTGTTGTTTAACCATTTGATTTCAGGGCGTCTCGCCTACCCAGCCACCGATTGTCGGTGCCACTCTATGCATATGTAGTAGCTATTTGGGTAAGTGAATGAAGTAGACTCCCCCCCACAGAAGTGTGGGACGAGTCTACGAGTGATACTTACCCAAATAGCTTCCCGCCCTCCTCCCCACTCTCGGCTCGCGTTACGATGGTTTTTCACCTTTAGTGCGCGAGAAAAAAAGAGGAAGTATAATGGCGGATTCATGACGTAGCATGATGGGTAGGCCCCGAGAGGGCGCTCAGTGGTTGATTAAATCTTTTAGCGTTTGAGCCTGTCGGCCGAATAAATATGCATATGTAGTAGCTATTTGGGTAAGTATCACTCGTAGACTCGTCCCACACTTCTGTGGGGGGGACTTTGTCAGAAAAAAATTCACGTGCTTTTACTAATATCACTTTAGTCATTTACTATTCAATTTCAAAGTTTAGTCACCCTCTTCAAGTCATCATGTCGAGTATATTCGTCATTACAGATTACATTCGTCGAGGCTGTTGTGGAACTGGAAGTATTCAGAGATCAAATTTGTCTTTTATCAATCCAGCTTGTATGAAGTAAATAAGTCAGTTGTGTTCTAGAGAATTGCCCTTGTATCCCAAAGCACAATAAGCCACATTCGCTGGCAGGATTTTTCGGACCAAAGCAGTACTGATTTCAGAGAAGAGTTACCCAAAAAAAAAGATTACCTAGATCAACATCACAACATTATTTAAAATATACAAAAGAACAGAATATAACGAAAAATGGAAAATTCAAAAGCCACGAACCGACAACCCATAAATCCCTGTTTAGTATGCTTTGAATATTGAGTCTAACGTATTTTTAGGAGGTAAATTAAGAAATGACACATTTGAGACGCAATCAGAAAATAACAAAAAGATATTAAATAAATTTGTGGTTTTAGTCGAATTTGAATTCTCAATAAAATGATTTGGCGTAGACGAGACGAAATCTAATACTCCTGGTCAAAAAGTGTGCTGATTGTTTGAATTTGTTTGGACTAAATTTGAAATTGTTTGACAAAAGACGAAATTAAACATTGGAAAGTGCACATAATCGATGTTGCCGGACGAATTGAATATAAGAATCGGTGATTCGAACGAAAAATGTTTTTATAAAGCACGCGTATCCACTATTATTGGTGCTCAAGCTGCTACATCGTTATTACCCTGCTTATTGGGCCAATGAAACATTCCAAATACCATCTCAGCTCCCTTGGGAGTATACAGCTTGATGCTGCCATTCCGGCCCAAAGCAGCTAAAAACAATCACAATAACCATCTCTGCCTTCACAGGTACCCATTTACTCCTGGGTGGAGAGAAGCAATGAGTGACAAAGTGTCGTGCCTAAGGGCACACACACCACAAACCCAGTAGGTGAAAATTGTTTCCGGGTTCCATTGGGTTGAAACTTGGTATGTATCTAAAACGGGTTGTGTTATACATTGTATATGAAAATTTAAGTGACGTCATCGTGTGTCATGTGATGTCACGTTAAAGATGCATAATTTGAAGCCCTATGAAAATGGCATCATGTATTATTGTATGACACCACCCTCAATTGTACACATCCCAATATCTAATGCAATGGATGAAAATTGTACTTGTAACTGTACGTGCCAAGATATCACCAAAAACAATTGCTGAGACAGCCCTGTGTTAGTTCACTAACATTAGTCTTGTTACGGTGTAGCGTGAATATCCGACTCCATGAAATGTGGACTCATTGGTAGTACTGCGCACGCGTGAGTACGATACTATGCTATTTTTAGGATCGTTTCCGGAGAGTGACCTGTCACGTGTTAGGGATTAACCAATGATAGGGAAATAGGGGTCCGATTTTCATAGGAGTCGGATTTTCATGTGACAACGTATCCAATTTTCCATTAGTTCACTAACATTAGTCTTGTTACGTATCAAATTTTCCATCCCATATTTTGTCGTTATTTTTGTCTCGCCTGGACTTTATTCAGGAAAGAGATTTGGCAATCACTTATGTATGTATGTATGTTGGTGTATGTAGTATGTGTGTGGTATTTTGGTTTCGTAAAATGTGGCATTTGAAAGGGTCATAGATGCAACGTGGCAACCTTCACATTATAATGATGTCTAAGGTCACACACACGCGCGGTTCAAGAACCGCCTAGTTTGAGTCAGGCCTTTGCTACCTCAACTCAGGATGCGCCCAAGCATGAAAACAGCAAACCTATCAAAGCACGTAAATTTCACCAGTTCATCAACTGATATGAGACGGATCCAATGGGTGGATATGGTGGTCCCGAAAGAACATCTGTTACTTTGGTAGCAATACGCTCCGTGGTGCTCCCTTCATTTAGATCTTGCGCAATGTTGTTGCTAATGGAAAGCAAATGATTCTAAGTATCTTGATTTTTTTCAGTAATTTTATTTCAATTCTAAAGAATGAACTGTCCATACTCTTCAATCTATCAGATATTTTTGGGGTTTTCTTAAGACATTTCAATTTGTATTTGTTATTACTTATTTCTTTATGGGCACCTGAAACGTTGTCTCAAAAAAAGCTGTATTTTACACACAATGAATCTGCGTAGCCGTAGATTGGTTCCTAGTCCAGTGGTAATGGGGCACAAAATCAGTGTACCCTGTGAGAAATAACTTGGGATGCAAATATAAATAACGATTTTTTTTTTTTTTTTTTCATTCAGTGTCTCATTCAAAACTGGATTACTTGTTCAAATCAAGGAAATTCTACTTCATTCACTTACTTGTAGAGCCACTACAATTTGCATATTCCCCTTACCGGCAGGTTCCATTCACTAAGAGTTTATACAACAGCGCCCTCTATAATGCTACCCACACTGCCCTGCGCCACGAGCGCCATGCTGGCTTCCTCTTTTCACTTAGCAGCGGGACAGATAAGACGTGTTTTACAGTACCTTCGTCTACCTGTATACCTATTTTCGTCAAGAGTGAATAAATAAGGAAGAGAAATGTCGCTTCGTAAGGGCGTTGCCCCGATTTTCGTCTTCTGAGCGTGGCTCGGCAGACAATGTCGTCTCGCCGTCCCGCCAGACTGGAGACCCTGCAGGTCGGGCAGACCACGTTACCCCGACTGATGCAGTGGGAACTAAACATCCCAAGCCGCTACCGTTGTTCGTCCCCAGACTGAAGGAGTGAAGCACAATAAACGGGGAAAACGGTCTCATGTGCAGACCGTAGAACCCGCCGTATCTGATACGGTTTCCGTGCTCTCTGGTCACGACAGGAGAGCACGGAAACCGTATCAGATACGGCGGGTTCTACGGTCTGCACATGAGACCGTTCTCCCCGTTTATTGTGCTTCACTCCTTCAGTCTGGGGACGAACAACGGTAGCGGCTTGGGTCGACAACTAGCGGGCCCGGCTGTTCTACTACCCGTTCGGCCTGTTTCTGAACCCGGTGTGAGCCATGGACCGGAGCAGGCCGTATCTATTGCGGGAACAAAAGTTACCGAGCCCCTCGGCGCTGGGCGAACAGCGCGCGCTGAGGGGTACTCGGGCCCGGTCGACGTGGTTTCGTTCGGTGCTCCGTGTGTGAGCACTGGACCGGAACAGACAGATGTTCATGCAGGGAAAAGAACAAGAGTACAGTGCATGAAGCACAAGGTGTTGCGGGTTCAGACCCAATCTATTCAGGGAAATTCCAACCGTACTCGCACCAAATCTGAGGAAGAAGATAATATGGAGATTCAGCACCTTCCTAACTTCCGAGACAGAATTACGACTGGTGCAAGAGAGAAATGATTCGTGTTCTCCAACTTCCTCAATGTGATGAGACTCCCAAGGTCCCGGAACGTTAGTCATTCAAGCAACATACGGGCCCAGTTTGCTCAGAGACACATAATCCAATTTTCCCGACTATTCCTCAGGATCAAATGTGCGTAGAACACATCAAGACTGTAATGGAGACCAAGAAGTGGAAACCTTACGGTAAACGGGCTTCCAAATTCATTATATCTACCAACTGAAGGAGCACACAAGCAACTTGACGACCTTTCGCTGGCAGGCAACGACTTGTTTGCTGGCAAGTTTCAAGAACTAATGGAGGCAGAGGCTAAACGCATAGAGGCCACTGACAAAATCAACATGCGTAAGCCTACATCCAAAACATCTCAGGAGATACTTTCTCCTGAGATGACTTTCCCCCACAGAAGTGTGGTGGGAGTCTACGAGCGATTCTTACCGTTAGAGCATCCCTCCCTCCTCCCCACTAGTTCGCTAAAAAGAGCTTAATCCTGTAGAGCACGAGAAAAGAGGAAGCCCACATGGCGCTCGTGGCACAGGGCAGTGTGGGTAGCATTATAGAGGGCGCTGTTGTATAAACTCTTAGTGAATGGAACCTGCCGGTTAGGGGAATATGCAAAAGTAGTGGCTCTACAGGTAAGTATCGCTCGTAGACTCCCACCACACTTCTGTGAGGGGAAAATATCAATTTAATATTCAAATAGCCCAGACATAATTAAATTCACGAACAAAAAACATACAGTTGTCCTTGACAATCTATGAATGACCCTCTTTGGACAGAAATCACCTAGCTTGTAAGGATTAGGGCAGCGGTGTTGCATGAATGCATAAATTCTGTCCATACTTACATGGTATGGTAATAAAACTAGCCTCCCGAGGTGATCCATTGACATTCTATTTTCCCGAGGCGAAGCCGAGGGAAAATAGAATGGTCCATTGATCATCGAGGGAGTTTTACTTCACCACGAGGTAAAGCATTCAATATTTGTTTTATAACACTTCACCCACAGATTCTGCTTGATTTTAATATTTTTAATTATTTAAATGTGAACACAGTTGAACTAAACTTCAATTTCAATACAAAATTGGTGGAAAAAGTATTTCTCTCTTCCAAAACTACCCCTTCACGAAATGTTTGAACCCAAGTCTGCGGCGCACTCTCTTTGAAACAATACGCGGAACGCGCACACAAGCATCCATTTGCACACAAATACTGCGCCGTGGAAATAGTACTTTGGTTGCCAATGGTATAGTACTTTGGTTACTACGGGTATAGTACATTTGGCCGTGCACATACAGAAAGATAGCAAAATTAGAAAGTAACATGTGACTCGCTCTCAGCCAATCAAGACACAGAATGTGTGGGTGTGGTGTTATAATAATTCCATAGATGTACTTAAGACCATGCTTTGTTTTTCTTTGCCAGTCATATATTGGGTACTTGTTTTGGTTTCCTCAGGTCAAATTTCTCCCAGTTGCACTATTGCCAGCGTTAATGGTAGTAGCTGGTTGTTTGAGAGGAGCAGTGTATGTGAATGTGTTCTAAGCATGATAAGGACGGATAGACGGTTTCCAGATAAAGACAGAGAGATGTCAGCAAATGTTGCCGGCATATTTTTGACAATAGGTATGCATAACATGTATTATTCATTCACAATTAAGGAAACTCAAATGTAAAACACAAGTCAACTCGTTGTGGTATGTTGTTTGGGAAAGTTTAGTCTTGCCTGGAGGGGCATGTTTGATATTTGTATATCTAGGACAAGCCCAGTGAAAAAATGCTTGGTTTTATCCTCGCATGTGTATGCACGTGCCCACAGCCCACAGAAACAATGAAACTGCTGACTTGTTTATCATCATTAGGTCATTTTAAAAAAGTGACCCCCCCAAAAAAAAATGTATGTGGTTCCTTTCGTTAGCGTGGCCATAATTCGGCTATCAATCATTATCTGGATTTCCCCAGACGTTAGTGAAAGCCTCATGTCAGCCTGTGTGGATCATCAATTGAAATTTCTTTAGTATTAATCATTTGAGTTCGTCAACATAATATAGGTTTTCCCGGCTAATTTCACCAAGTTTTTATTCAATTTAACGCTTGGCTCATTCGATTTAGATTGAAATTGAAAGATCACGCAGATCGGCATTCGACAATCAAAAAGAATCATTCAATTTCACTATCCAGGCATGCTATGCCTTTTAGCTTCACTCGTCCCTATCAACAATGCATTCATATTCAAAGTATTGCGTTGGTCATTAAATTTCGTCTAAACCATTAGTAAGGGGTTGGTCGGGCATTCGTTTTCATTAATGGGCAAACATGTTTCACATTTTGTCAAATATCTTTTAAGACTTCATACGTGTCCGTATTCCTTAGCGTAAATCATATATTTGATGACTTCAAACCGTAGATTGACTTTCTTTCTTAAAGGGTATGTGCAATGAATTTTTCTCAGGAATTCTTTTTGCGCAACTCTGTGAAATGTAAGAAAACTACACATTTGACAACACTTTTTGGGTTAATCTTATTGCAAATGTGCACTTCTCTAAGCATTTAAAAGTTTCCATGTTTTTCCGGACTAACGCTGTTACTGTGATGTCATTTCAGGAAGACACTGTTCAGTTCAGGGTTTTTTCTTCCAAATTATTCATCCGAAATTTTGTAATTGAAAACATGTACTGACACATCAAATAATCACGAAATAAAATAAATTTATGACAGCAAAATATCCAAAATTCTAGCAACTTTTTTTGCTGAAATAGCCGTGTAACATTAATCATGCTCGGAATGCCATCACAGGTTTTCTAATGAATATGAAACTTTGCATTAGCATCAAAACGGAGAAGGCACCAAAAACGCCCCTCAAAATGGAAAATAAAACTTGCAAATAAGGTTAAATGTGACACAAAGATGTATTGCATTGAAAACTTTGCATTGGCCCTATGAATATGGTAAGTGTTCGGTCAGACATACGCAAGAAAACATTCAAGAAATAACGCAAGAGAAGTGTTCCCGACGGTACAACCATTGCCAAACGTATTACGTGTTCCGATGTCTTGCACGTCAAGAAATCGTCAACATAACAAAACCCCTTGATCAAACGTTTCAACAAGTAGACAATATCAACAGTGAAAAAGAAATTATCTTAGTCCCTTTCAATTAATTATCTCGTTGCATCTTGTTTCCCTCATATCAGTTGATTTGTAACATTGTAAAATTTACAGTCATCAAGATTGTTTTTTTGGGGGGGGGGGGGAAATGAACCTCGGAGAAAAATAGAAAAAAATATCGATTAAAAACTCTTATTAATATAAATGACCAAACGATGAAAGCGATTGCCTATAAACGAATAAGAAACGCATGGTTATACGTTATAAGCGCACAGATGTTCGCTAATTTGAATGCGTCAACCGTCAAAAGGTTGCAAAGACTTAATTTAAGACAGCTACATGCTAAGTCTTGAATGCACCAAAGCGAAATAGGCTGCCCCAAAACAAAAACGAACATTCACAGCAAAATCTTGGCTGCCTAAAAATGAAATTGAATGAACCCCAAATGAAAAAGAAACCCCAATTGGACCACGTGTGCAAAACTCGCGCAAAATTGAATGGCTGATAATGAAACTGATTAGAAAAATTCGGAAATTCGCTGGGAAAACCTATATTATGATGTAAGTACTCGGACACGAACAGTGCTCAAACAAAATGGCCATCATTCAGTTTTACTGCTAGAAATTTGCCATGAGCGATAAAACATTTAAAATTAAAGGCACTAATTTGCATTAAAACAATACGTGGGACATTTTAAAATGTTTTTAACATAGCAAATCGTTTTCTACGCATTTTCTTCGACCTAGAGACGTTGATTAGAAATTGATTTCCGAAGGTGCACGATACCCCCTTTTTCTGGCTGAACTATATACGACGATCCAGGTAGTGAGGCAAAGCATTTGATTCGTTCTTTTGCGAACTTTGATTCCTCATGAACGAAAAGAAATTTACTGGGCAGGACGCTGGCGAGACATGTATAGGCTAATTGTGTCCAACTCATATGGCATGATTGCGCCATCAAGCTAAAATAGGAATGTAAATTTTTCACACGACTGTTGGTTGTCGCCAATTATTTGAAAAAATCAATTCTGTTGTTTTTTATTCCTTATTACAGGATTGTCATTGAGCTGCATCTTACAGACGAGTTTATTCAACACTGTACTGTTGCCATATTGATGGAAGGACGCGTTCATCTGATGATTGCTACCACTGAGGATTTTTAGAATGCAATGACCATTGCTTTGTAATTTCATCACAATTTTCACGAAGGAATGGGCATATCAAAATTGACAATTTGAGTTTTTTTGCCTATGGTGCTTAAAAACATGGTACTTCAGCGTTCTGACAAGTTTCCGTAAGCAAAGGATAATTAATTCCGGAATAACATTAATGACGCCAGAAAAAGGCATCTCGATAATTGCATCTTCACGAAGAAGTGCAAACACGCCTGCCTCTTAAAAATGTACATAAGTATTGCACGGAAAGGCGTAAAATTAGGTCAACTGAGATTTTTGTTTCAACTAGGTGACGGGCATCTTTACTAATTTATTTTGGCTAATAAACCACTGTGTCAATTAAAATTACTGGATTTCAATCAAAGTTGACCTATCAAAGAATTATGTCAAGGTTTCCTTATTGATAAAGTTGTTGCGAAGTAGTAGTTTTTGCAGTTTTGAAAACGGAGATACTTTTGCAAGTAATGTTACGTAAAATGTTACATATCTGTAAAACTAAGTACAGTGATTATGTTTAGAATATTATTGAAATGAAGAAGACTCCGTATTGTTCAAAAACTGTGCAAATGCATTCTCGTTTTTTATTCAACGTTCAGCCAATTTTGCAATGTACATTTTTTGACTTGCTTGCTTGTTGGGTTCGATGTGTATATAATGTGTATATATGTGAGTTCCACTAATCAAATGACAAGGATATGTATGTCGATTATATACAAAACAAATATTGAGTGGCTTCAAATTGTGAAATGGGAGGAATATTATAGCTCGGAACACTCTGGACTTTTCCATTTCACTCGATTTCATCTTATGATAATGTTCCTCCCATTTCACTCTGAGCCACTTAATATTTGTATAATAAGACTGTACATGTACATTTTGAACAGTTGCAACTTATGAGCTATGTACCTACCTTGCATTCAAGGGTGTAGAAAATGGAGATCAAACCTGAAGAGCCTGTTGCTTTTGTTCATCTGGACATTTCTTTCAATGTTATTATTATTTAAATTGAGCAAAGAAATGTTGACCTAATCAGGATCATTGTTATTTTTCTTATTCAGCGTGGATGCTACAAAATCAAGAGGGCTTGGGAGAATGGTAAATGATGGGTGTGGGAGAGAAATTAACTGCAAAGCCCAGTTAGTTGATGACCATCTGTGCTTATTTGCCACAGAAGATCTTCCCATTGGCGCAGAGCTGCGATATGATTACGGGATCCCCAATCTACCATGGAGAAAGGTTTGAAGTTATTTGGTTTATTTGTTGTACGTATTTCCAATACAACGTAGGTTTGTTTGCAATTCTTTGGCCTGTTCAAATATCAGATGAATTGAATTAGGCATGGAGTTGGCTTCAACAGCATATCAACGTTTGAAGCAAAACCCCATCTCCTCATAAAGACAAAGTTACCCTGTTGCCAAAAACGGTAATGGTATTATAATGTTACCAAATGTACATGTGTAGGTGTTTACACTATGAACATTCCCACCCCTTAAATTCACATTAAAAGACCACTTTGACATGAAGTTAATCCCTTGGGCTTTTTTATAGGAATATTCCTGTGAGGAGTTTTTCACGTTTATTTTAATACCTTGTATCTGTATTCGCTAATCCCTTCTATTGAGCCCTGCTAGTATGCCAGCAATGCAGTCTATTCACCCTGCACCAGGTAGCGGACAAAGCAATGTATCCTCTTAAATCATTTCAGCTTCAATCCTCACAAATCCTCCAAAACGCCTGGAGGATTGAGGAAGGTTAGGGTTAATAGACAACATAACATTTTGATTCTTTCAGTTTATTGTATACATGTATTGTAACACATGTCCACTACAAAATAAAACACTGTTAAAATCTGTGACTAATTTTTCGTAGTGGAGCACCACACAATCTCTTGATTGCTCATGTATGTATTTTATCTACAGAAAACTGTGAGTACCAAGTCCAAAGATTTAGAGGACCCCTTTCCTCAACTCACATTTTGTGGGTTGATAAAGGTATGTTTTATTGTGAATAAAGTAAACTGAGTAAAGTTTAGGTTGAAAATTAGTTTTTAAAAGTTTGTGGCTCTGAAATCATCTGTCTCACAGCACTTTTTGTAGTTTTTTAAGAAGCCTGGTTTGATTTTTCTATTTACATGGGCTACTGCATCTTTGATATCTGTGAAAAATTAGCCTATTATTTGTTCAGCTTTTTATATCGTTTAAGAACTTCAGTGAAGGGCATAACTGTCATTATACCTTTCAACTTACATTTGTTTTGCATCAGTATTGCTGGGGCCTGTAGACCGTGTCTTTCGGTCAGATGCCTGTCACTTAAGATCTGCACATTAGGAAGTGATTCTTCTTTATTCCTTGTGAAATGACTTACATAAATAAGCTGGCAAACTTTGTCTAATGTCTTTGTACTTTTCTTTTCAGGATCATGAGGATGTGATGTCAGGTACCTCAATAGCAACAGGTAATTGTGTGATGATGATGATGGTTTTCACATTCATGTTATTCCAAAGAAAATATGGTTCTGTTTGTTAGGAAAAAAACTTGCAAAAGAACTTTGTATTGTTTAGGAATTAACATTAAATGTACTGGGGGTATTAGACATTATTTAGGGAACAATATTTAGTGGTTATTTGTTTTTCTTCTAAAAGTGGTGTTTTGTTGTTGTGATATGATTTTCTCAAATGCCATATTAAAATAAAATAAACAGGCATTTATGGCAGCTGTGTTCTATTTTTAGAATGCATGAATATTTCAAAGAACAAAAGACAACAAATATTGATTGCTGCCTTGAATCCCTTGAATATTCCCTCAGTAGTCTTTACAGTCCTTGAATACAGTCTTGTGAGTCAAAAAAAGCGGAACCCGAACCCAGAAAATATATTTTGTATTTAAAAAGAATATGTAGCACCAAAAATAATAAGGACTGGGAAGCCAAATCCAGAAGCTAATTTTAGATGGAAAAAATAATTGAAATTGCTCAATCCGTTCAAAGAATATCACGATTTAAATGCAATGACCCTTTAATGTTTAGAATTGTGACAACGATTCTTGAAAAAGCATTTTTTGGACGAGATAGGATTTAGGGTCATTTTGTTTAAATGGTGTTATTCCTTAAACGGATTGACAAATTTCAGTAATTTTTTCATCTAAAAGTAGCTTATGAAATTGGCTTTCCAGTCATTATTAATTGGGTGCTACATATTTTTTTGAATATGAAATATCATTTTTGGGGTTTGTGTTCCGCTTTTTTTGACTCACCCCGTAGATGTAAAACAAAAATGAACCTTGGTACATAGTGTTGGATGTGATTCTTTAAAGGAATGTGTTTTATATTGTCCTTGTGCAAAAGCAGACCTCCAAGTTCAGTACGTTATAGTTGACAGATAATGGGTCAATAGTTGACAGGCCACGGGCCAATGACAGCCAAAACTCTCTGAGAGTTGTAGCATTTTTTTGTTTGCTTTATGCATGTTGAGGACAGCTACTTACTGTAAGTGATGAAAAAAAATCATGCAGTTAGAAAGCATCTTGGAAAATAATAGTGCAGCATTTTATAAATCCTGATTCTCATTTCTGTGTTATTTTTGTACCGTAATCAATTCCAGCTGAAATGATAGGTGAAGAAACTGTACAGTAAGTGAATTTAATATTCACCATGATGCCATATCCTGCACTGCATGTAGACTCAGTTTGTGCTCTTCAGAGTTTGCACTCTCCATAGTTTGCACTCTTCTCTTTAAGATTGCTGTCTCTCTTACATTCCACCAAATGTAGCATCAACATGTATCATATATCCACTCTTACACTGAAACATTTGACACTTAACTTGTCCATCTTGTTAGTGTCGGTTTTGTCCTTATTCGTCTAATAATTTGTGACCTGCTGCAGCAAAATCAGGAATGCCATCATTACAATTGCGTTAACTGGTTTTGGTATCAATAGAAAACTGAATAATCACTTCTATTTAGGGTTTAGATTTTAAAAAAGTCCTCTCAATCATTCCTCATGTTGCTATGGAAGTCCCGCTTTGAGCGAGCTCAAATGAGGGAAATTCACCCTCTTGTTGCAATCGTGTCCTGAATCTGTTTTCATAGCCTGCTTCCCACTTGCATTCATCTTGCATGCATTTGATACCCTTTCACTTGTAGTGCCCTTTCTTTCACTCCACATTGTAACTGTGTATCTGTTTAGAAACCATATTTAGAAATTAGAATTTAAAGAGCTAACTGATCCCACAATCTAATTTCTTGTTTTATAGTGTCATCTTTGACAACACTTACCAAATTTATTTCTCCAACAGCTCCTGGTCTACCAGTGCCAAATCTGAAGGAACAGGTTAGTGCTTGTAACGTTGTTAACTGCATAATACAGTCAGGTCTGATTGAAAAGAGATGTGCTGTAAATGCATTTGCTAGTTACAGCTTATGGTTGCACAATGAAGGAAAACACTAAATGCATGCTTCTGCAATCTGATAATTCGGTTAAGGGAAGTGCTTTTTCAGATATGTTGCATTAAGATTAATGGAAACTTATCACTGGATCTTCAAAGTGTACCAAGTCCCTAGCTCAGAAATGAGATAAAACAGAATAACAAACAGTTAACTCTCACCCTAATTGTTTGTCATGTAACGTTATCTTTGACATACATAATAGGTTTCCGTCACTACCCGGTCGAACTCTAATTCCTAGGTTTTTTTCAGTATGGCTAACAGACACAATAGTGACTAGATCTTGTTTCTTTATATGTGTATATGCACTACTTACAGATGGTTATAAAGTATTTGAAGAGGAGGTACTCTTTAAGTGTCGAGGTTAATTTTGCCAGACTGCTTAAAATGGCTAGGTAGTTTTGCTGTCTTTTTTTTATCAGACAGGGTGCGTCAAATATGCTGAACCCAAACCCCCAAAAATATATTTCACTTTAAAAAAAAATATGTAGCACCAAAATTAATAATGACTGGAAAGCCAATTTCATAAGCTACTTTTTAGATGAAAAAAATTACTGAAATTGCTCAATCCGTTCAAAGAATAGCACCATTTAAATGCAATGACCCTAAAACTTGTTTCGTCCAGAAAAGCAGTTTATTGTGTATTCTGTCTGTTTGGAACAACAAGGAAAATACACAGAATACTTGTTTCAAAACTGTCAACAACTGTAGTACACAATATCCTCTATTAACAACCCTGTTAAGGCAAACAATATGATTTATAAAATCCACTTTTTTTAAAAGACGGGCCTTTAAAAGGACTTGTTTGATTTTTTTAACTTTTCAACTGAGGTTTAATCACTGGTGATGTTTGAAGACAATTGTGACCATGAAATCGCATTTTTGGACGAAAGAGGTTTTAGGGTCAATGTGTTTAAATGGTGATATTGTTTGATCGGATTAAGGAATTACATTTTTTTTTCATGTAAAAGAAACTTATGAAATTGGCTTTCCAGTCATTATTAGGTTTGGTGTTACATATTTTTTTAATTTGAAATATAGTTTTTGGGTTTGGGTTGTGCTTTTTTTGACTCACGCTGTACTAACAGTATTATTCAAGACCAATACTAATAATACAATTTAAAGGATTATTGCACAATATTCATCAATGTCATTTTACTGACGTCATGATCTCCATTTCCCTTGTCACCAGGTTTCTACACTAAGACAAAACAATGACACTGATGATAAGCCTGTATCGAAAGATGACAGTAACGATATTGCAAGTGAAATCATTGAAGGAACATAAAGATTTATTGTCCCATTTCTTCCCCACATACAAAATGTATGCAATTGAGCTCTTTCTATTATTTTTAACTTGATCATCTAAGAAAAATGGAATTATATGTAACACAAGCAGGATCAACTTCACGGTGAAGGCCCTATGGCTAAGCGCTCCAAACTGTTATTGGCATATGTCATACTACATGGGTCCACATAGTGATGGTCCTGTAACTGGTCACACACTATCTGTTATTGGCATATGTCTTACTACATGGGTCCACACAGTGATGGTCTTGTAACTGGTCACACACTATCTGTTATTGGCATATGTCATACTACATGGGTCCACACAGTGATGGTCCTGTAACTGGTTACACACCTGTCTGTTATTGGCTTATGTCTTACTATATAGATCCACACAGTGATGGTCTTGTAACTGGTCACACACTATCTGTTATTGGCATATGTCTTACTACATGGGTCCACACAGTGATGGTCTTGTAACTGGTCACACACTATCTGTTATTGGCATATGTCTTACTACATGGGTCCACACAGTGATGGTCCTGTAACTGGTCACACACTATCTGTTATTGGCATATGTCTTACTACATGGGTCCACACAGTGATGGTCCTGTGACTGGTCACACACTATCTGTTATTGGCATATGTCTTACTACATGGGTCCACACAGTGATGGTCCTGTAACTGGTCACACACTATCTGTTATTGGCATATGTCATACTACATGGATCCACACAGTGATGGTCTTGTAACTGGTCACACACCTGTCTGTTATTGGCTTATGTCTTACTACATGGATCCACACAGTGATGGTCCTGTAACTGGTCACACAACTGTCTGTTATTGGCATTTGTCTTACAACATGGGTCCACACAGTGATGGTCCTGTGACTGATCACACACCTGTCTGTTATTGGCATATGTCTTACAACATGGGTCCACACAGTGATGGTCCTGTGACTGATCACACACCTGTCTGTTATTGGAATATGTCTTACTACATGGGTCCACACAGTGATGGTCCTGTGACTGGTCACACACCTGTCTGTTATTGGCATATGTCTTACAACATGGGTCCACACAGTGATGGTCCTGTGACTGATCACACACCTGTCTGTTATTGGCATATGTCTTACTACATGGGTCCACACAGTGATGGTCCTGTAACTGGTCACACACCTGTCTGTTATTGGCATATGTCTTACAACATGGGTCCACACAGTGATGGTCCTGTGACTGATCACACACCTGTCTGTTATTGGAATATGTCTTACTACATGGGTCCACACAGTGATGGTCCTGTGACTGGTCACACACCTGTCTGTTATTGGCATATGTCTTACTACATGGGTCCACACAGTGATGGTCCTGTAACTGGTCACACTCCTGTCTGTTATTGGCATTTGTCTTACTACATGGGTCCACACAGTCATGGTCCTGTGACTGGTCACACACCTGTCTGTTATTGGCATATGTCTTACTACATGGGTCCACACAGTGATGGTCCTGTGACTGGTCACACACCTGTCTGTTATTGGCATATGTCTTACTACATGGGTCCACACAGTGATGGTCCTGTGACTGATCACACACCTGTCTGTTATTGGCATATGTCTTACTACATGGGTCCACTCAGTGATGGTCCTGTGACTGGTCACACACCTGTCTGTTATTGGCATATGTCTTACTACATGGGTCCACACAGTGATGGTCCTGTAACTGGTCACACTCCTGTCTGTTATTGGCATTTGTCTTACTACATGGGTCCACACAGTCATGGTCCTGTGACTGGTCACACACCTGTCTGTTATTGGCATATGTCTTACTACATGGGTCCACACAGTGATGGTCCTGTGACTGGTCACACACCTGTCTGTTATTGGCATATGTCTTACTACATGGGTCCACACAGTGATGGTCCTGTGACTGGTCACACACCTGTCTGTTATTGGCATATGTCTTACTACATGGGTCCACACAATGATGGTCCTGTAACTGGTCACACACCTGTCTGTTATTGGCATATGTCTTACTACATGGGTCCACACAGTGATGGTCCTGTAACTGCGGTCGATTTCACGAAACTGTTCTTAACTTACGATGCATCGCAGGGTTTACGAGCCATCGCAGCTCTACGAAGCATCGTAGCTACGACGAACTGCTTTTGCAATTTCACGAAACACATCGTAAGAACGATCCATCGCAAGCAATGTTTTATATAAAATAGAGTTTGTGAACGAGGATGACCTTAATGCATACGACTCTTTTATGTGAAAAACAGTCTACAACAATGCAACAGCCGTCTGTAGCGCGCGAAACCAAGAGACGCGCACGCAGTCGCGCTGAAGATGGCCGACGATGTCGTCTGCTAAATATACGAAGACCGTCCACGTTGCTAAGGAATTTTGGTAAGTTCATTTGATTAATTAAAGTAGGCCTACTGAGTGATATTTACAGCGATAAACTTTGTTGTCCTAGTCAAAGAGTATCCAGTGTAAAGACTGCACTGCATCCATCCAAACTTCTGTCAGTCGGTTGTCTGCACGCTTTCGGCTTAAATTCACATTCAGTACGTATTCTGGTTGGGGTTAAATTTGAAGTTAAATGAGAAGATTTTAACTTATTTTATTATTAGCGATAGTTAAAGCGATTTAGGCTAAAGCCCCAGTTCTTTTCACCAAAATCAAAACGAACTTACGAAGGGACATACTTCACAGAACCACCACTTTTCTCTTACTAGTACTACATGTATATAAAGTAGTCACAGCACAGGCAGAATTTCGACCATATTATTATTAATTATTGAGTCAAGACTCAAAGTCAAACTTAGTTTGACTGAGTGATAAAAAACCTGATATTTTCCCAGGTTACATTAGGCTTCAGCCCTATGCTGGCTAATGTAAAATAGGCCTCTAACTACTCCCAGCCATCGTCACCAGGGCTTCATTCTGAAAACAAGAAACTTGTATTAAATTTAAAAAAAAACATGTCCATAAAATTGGGAGGGGGGGGGTTTACAATATTCACCTCAGAATTATGATTAAAATATTTAAAAATAAATAGAGTCCACAAACACAAGGGCCAAGTAGTTTTACATAAAAATTGAAATGTAAAACAAAACAAAAATTCAAAACATGAAAAATGGAATAATATAAATCTGTTAATGTTTAAACAAAATTGTGTTTGCAGTGGTTGGGGCGTGTGCAACCGTCTGTCAGCATTTGGATTGTTGTCATTCACAAACTTACATTAAATAGGCCTAGTCATGTCCAAGACTAAAGTTCCTCCTGAGCGAGCCGCGAACTGGTCTCATGAGGAGGTCAAAATTCTGGCCGAGTTCATTAAGAGCCATACAGCCAAATTGTTTGGCACACGCTGCAAGGCTACAGCTGAGGTAGATAAAGTGAAGAAAGATCATTGGAAGATGGGGGCAGATGAGCTGAATGAGTGTGGGGGCCAACTAAGGGACTGGACCAAAGTACGTAAAAAATGGCAAGATATCTCAAGCCAGGCGAGGAGCTACCATCGGGAGATCAACAAAACAGGTAATGAAATTCATTCAACTAACTTTTTGATTCAATATTAGGTTTTGCCCTTCACTCTGATGCTAACAAACATTTTCAACATTTTCAACAATAACAAAACTCGAGTTTTTTCAACTCTGTTCAAGTATATTGCATGAATGCATTTAACAAGATTACAAGATTATTGGAAGTCTTCAATTCGAATAACAATAACAATGCTGTCTCGCTTATTTTCAGGAGGGGGTCCTAAACCACCAGTAAACTCGACATACGAGCTTGTCCTCGATGCCCTGCTACCGATGGCATCGTGGAAAAATACGAAGGCGAAACAATGCCAGACTTGGAATTTCTGCTAGGCAGTGTTGAAAAAGGTAGGATATTTAAAGCCTTTGAAAACAACTGAGAAAACACTTCAGACGAAAACCTGATTCAAAATACTAATATTCTTTTCTTACATATTTTGAGTATTTATTTCCACTCAATTCATGAACTTCGGTGTTTATTGGATAGTTATATTGAATTGTTCTCTTCATGACATGCAAGTCTGAGACACAGCTGATTTCAAGAATAGTGTTATTCTTTGTTTAAGTCAATAAGACATGTTGACGATTTTTGAACTAAATGATTTAAAGACTATTTGAAATACATGTGTCTATCAAATTCATTGTTAGGAAGGGGAAATGCGATTTGTAAAAACAAACAAATGACGATGATATAATTGTACTCATTTGCTACAGCTATCACATGCAGTGACACCATCGACACTGATGTAGATATGGAGGAGGTGGAGCCCGTACAGGTAGAGCCAGAGGAGGTTGAGAAGGAAATAGAGAGAGAAAAGGGCGAGTGCAGCACTGCAAGTTCAAGACCACCAGTACAAAGGAAGAAGATAGCAAGAGATCAGAGCATACTCCAAATCGAGAGGGAAAGGTTGCAGATCGACAAAGAAAAATTGAAAATAGCTCGGCAACAACTGGAAGCTTCACAAGCCATGACGGAAGCCTTGAAGGAAATTAGCCATTCCTTTCAAATACTAGTGGCATTTACACTGGAGAAGCACGGTGCAGTAATCGTATCTGAGTCCTAAAATTGTTGGTTTTTTTTCCATCTAATAAGGATAAACTTGAGGTAACAACATTCGGCAAAATATATGTAATTAGTGATGGCTCTGAGAAGAGCATGTTTGTACTCGATGTATAGTCATGTATAGTCTGGTTGCAATATCGGGTACAAATGGGCTCATGTCAGAGCTCCACTACTCCTACAAATTTATGCCGAATGGTTCTACAAAAAAGTTTGTTCTCATTAGCTATTTCCACTGTGCCTAATTTTAAGTTCAACATTTTACTTATTTGCAAGTTGTTTAAAAGTATTAAATCATTATGAATTTCTCTTTGTTTCTTTCTTTAAACCTTTAAACAGACATGTAAATACAATGTAGAACTATTTTAAAGCATATCTTTTAAAGCATTCCTGAAGAAAATATCACATCGATTGGCATAGAGGAAAGTTCATAATTGTATTTTGTTAAAAAAAATCAAGATACAACACAACTGATAATTTTATGTGTCGAAAAAAAAGTGAAAGTTTGCATATTTTTTAAATTCCTCAAATGACCTCTAGATCACTTATGACCTCCATTTTCTAAAGAGGTGTCATACACCCCTACCCAAGGATCACTCCATCCAAGTAACATTAAAATATATCATATTATGTAGACAAAGAAACAGTAGGGTATTTAAACAATTACCTCTGATGATCCCTACATGACCTTTGACCTCAACAATCCAAAGAATTGTGTCTTTCTACCCAACTTGGGTCACTGCATCTAAGTTTCACCAAAATCCACGAAAGCATGTAAAGGTTATCTACAGTCAAATCTCGTTAGTACAAACTCTGTTAATACAAAATTCTGGTTATAACAAACATAAAGCCTTAGTCCCGACTGTACATTTATGTGCACAATGAATGGGACTGATGTTCCTCTTTCAAATTTGGCTAGGTCCAATGGAGTTTGTATTAACGAGACTCGACTGTATATATTTTTTTAACTCAACCTTAACTTTAACATGCATATAAAAAAATATTGCAAATTCTAAGTTACTCACACTGTTCCAGGGGATATCACCGATTCTGGGCCTTTTTTGTTTGTTTGGAAAATTAGTTATCAAAGACAACAAAAAAACCCGAAGTGCAAGAAACCTGCTTCATCTCATGCACACTAGATAATATTTTTTCATGATATATTATTCAAGAGGATGCTTAAAATCTTAGTTTGAAGAGAGTAAAAAGTGTGAATAAAGAGTACTCCTGCGTTTTTATTTATATTTTACATTTGGAAGAGAGCAATACATTATTGAACTGTATGTTTTTATTCAAAGAAGCACAATAAATAGTTACTGTGAACTAATTTCCAATTGTTTGTTAAATAGTTGTGTGTCTTTACATGTCACCAAAACTGGAGGGGGGGGGGGGTTAACGATAACCTGTTCTTTTTGCCCATGCTGATTTTCTTGCTCTTACTTGCCCATCCTATTTGCATCCAATAAAAACAGATTACAGAAAATGAAGAAGAAACTGCTGCAAACTGCTCACTGACTAGATTGACCTGAAATATACATAAATAAAAAAAAAAGAGTTGGCTGATATGATAATGGGAGATTTTGAGACGTTGGTGGCAGCAAACACACCGGTCCTTCTCAATTGTTTACATCATGTTTAAGCTAAAGCGCGTGCTCAATATGACGCAAACAATGAAAAAAGGACCTGTGTGTTTGCTGCCACCATTGTCTCAAAAGTCTCCCACTCATCCTCAACAAGGACAATTTCAGAGGCAAGAAATCACATAATGCAAAATCCTTTGCCTCTGAAAAAGTCCTTGCTCAGGATGAAATATGAGGCCACTCTAATTTTTATAACATTTCAACATCTGTTGAATTAACTATGAAACTTTACAATACATCAATTTAGTTAAAATACTGACGAATAATACGCTCCCTATGTGCTTGACCATCATGGAGTACTCCAACATATGGCAGAGCCCCAACCTCCTCAACTTCTACTTCCTCCTCAAAATCAGGCTCACCCATGATCTTGGCTAGATTGTGCAGAACGCAGCAAGCCTTGATGATTTGACATGCTCTACTGGGTGATACCCTGAGACCAAGTGCCAGGCATGGAAATTTCCGCTTTAGCTGACCGAACGTTTGCTCCACCTTGACCCTTGTTCTTCTGTGACACCTTTAATTGGGAAAAATAAACAAATATGGCATGAGTCAAAGTCAATATAACAAGTATGAATTACACCTTTTATACAATATTCAACCTTTAAATTACTCAGTGGCCCAGCCAGAGGGGTGAGGGAGTCTCATTCTCAGAACTCTGCCCCCCCCCCCCCCCCAATGAGAGTGAAAAAATGCACACAAATATACATGTACATGTATAGTTCAGCACATCAAAAGCTCCCGCCCCTATTTAAAAAAACTGTGGACAAATAGTGTGAATCACATTACCTGTTATAATTTCTTTCAGCGTCTGTTATGGGGTTCTCAATTGGTGTCGTCAGCCACGGTCTGAGGGCATATGCTGAATCACCTATGAGCATACCTTGCAGCCTGAAAATGAAGATTCGGTTAACAATTTTATGTTGTTCACGTCAAACATGATTTCAATTAGATTCTATTAATAAATACCTTGGAGAGTTGATGGTTTCTGATTGGTCGAGACTCGATCACGTGGCCGGGCATTAACGGTGATAATGGACCGGCTTCAAAGATCAAGCGAATAAATGGCCCCTGAACCAGCATTGATCCAGCCCCGTTCAGCCCCATGCAAGCCAATGATTGGTCAAAATATAGTAACAGTCCTGCAGTAGCTTGTAACAATAGAGCACTGCACATGCGCTCAACCCCCATCGCGTGAGACTGACGCGCGCGTACGCAACACAGTTGCTAGGGATGCGTGCGTGTGCGCGCGTAAGGAAGTTTTGAAACGACATCGTACAGCAGTGCAGTATATACTGAGGATGTTTACGACGAAAACGTAGATCTACGATTTATTTTCTTTGAACACTTCACCCACCGACATATTTACCTTTCCTAAACCAAGCATCTTTGTAACTCCGGACACAAGGAATGTGTAAACGAGATTTCAGCTTCCTCCATCAGGTAAAGATATGAAAACATTGTTGTAATTTGTTTCACTACGGCAGCAGTTTCTGTTGAGTTTACGTCATTATACCTGTTAAGCTAAAATATGGCCCATGAACATGAACACAAAAAGTCTGGAAATATCGCCGAAGGAAAGTCACAAAATTGGAGCATTTTAACTGTTTATTTCGTTAAAAAGGTATTTATTAATGGGAATAACAGTGTGAGGATCCGGTCTTCACTGCGTGATAATGACCGGGTGTGGGGGTGACTGCTGTTAATGGATAAGAACAGTCCTGCTTTAAGTTCTAAGACCAAAGACAAGTTCTTTTAGAACTTAAAGCGGGACTGTTCTTATCAAAACTAAAACTACTTAGGACTACTGAATACTGTTCACGCAAGCTATCACATTGTGTAATTCTGCGTACACATCTTGTCTGGCTTTAAAATCAAGAAGTGAACTAAATATCTTGCAACAGCAAAGAAGAAGCCATCTTTTGTTAGTGTTTGTGCTCATGCTTGTGCGATTCAATCAAATTTGATTGGCTAAATGTTCCATTTTTTTCCCAATTATCAGATAATTGACTGACCTGCCATCACTAAACATGTCACCAATGACACTGCCGTGGATAATGGCACTGTCGTGTGTACTGCCTGGCCACCTGGCGACAACATTTGTGATCAGGTAGTTAGCATCACAGATGACTTGAATGTTGATGCTGTGCCAGCCTTTCCGGTTAACATATAGGTGCTCGTCATCCATTAGAGGGGCACCATACAAACGGATGTGACTCCCATCAACAGCTCCAACAACTTCAGGAAAGCCGGCGATGGCAAAGAAGTCGCGTTGGGCTCTGTTCACATCATGTTGGCGCACAGGAAACTTGATGACTCTGTTGGCTTCTCTATTGATGGCTCTACAGACTCGATGGATTATCCTGCTCACTGATGGTGCACTCATGTCATGAAGGTCTCCGTGCATGGTGTAAAAGGAGCCAGTGGCAAAAAATCTAAGGGCCGTCAAAAGCTGCATCTGCGCTGAGATTGCATTGCTACGCTGTGACAATAGAAATTCAAATTTGCAAGTGAATATTTGATTATTATTACATTATCTAACACACACTTTAAGCGTGAAACGTTTTTAAATACATCTTTAAAAAGGCTTCAATTTAAAGTTCACACTTTGTGATCTTCAATAACGTGTGTCCTGGTTAAAAAGTGCTATTGTAACACAGTTTGCATTAACAGTGGTCATCCCGCCTCCCCAGTCATTATCACGCAGTGAAGACTGGGGCCTCACACTGTTATCCCCCAATTACAACTTTCTTTCATAAATCAAAACCCTGCCCTCTTTCCACAAATAGACCTGAGACCTAATGACATAATGACTTTGTTTACATATGGGTTTTCCTAATCCTATGAAAGCAAAGTCAGGACGCCAGACAAAGTAGGGACCATTTACCACGGGAAAGCCCACATATAAACAAAGTGTGACGTCATTAGGTCTCATGAGGCCTATAGTACTAACATAGGCCTAACTGATTTCTTAGCGATCTATATTTGAAACGATTCAAACATATAAAGTGACCTTTCCTGCTTGTATCATAGCCAAAATAACTAACCGTAAACTGCTTAGGAAATAATTTCTGCCACCCAAAAATGATGAAAATTACCGCAAAAAAAGTGTCATTAGAATTGAGAGAAGTCTGCTACAAAAGGAAATGTTTGAGTAATAAAAAGACACCCTTGAGTATTATTTGATTGAAAATAAACAGGGGCCCTCCATTAGTAGTTGCGATGAAACCAATAAATTAAAACCCTCCTTTCAATATCCCTTCCGCCATGTCTGCTCCAAAAACAACATGCCGTGCCAAGCCTAGCTTAGCCCCATACATATGGCAAATTTACTGGACTACCTCCGTAAATAAAGGCCACGCCTTCCAAGGGCGGATCCAGAACACAATTTTGGGGGGGGCCAAAAAAAAATTTGGTCCTCCCAAAAAGTGGGTCTAAAAAATTTTTGGATTCTAGATGCTCTGTGGTGCGATCTGAGGCAATTTCTGACCACTTTAACCAATTTTTTTGGAGGAAAAGATGGTGGTGAACTCATTGCCTGCCTTTATTGCGATGTCACATTAAAAAATAAAAAAATTGGTTTCGTTTCTGGGGGGGCCATGGCCCCCTTTGGCCCCCCCCCCTGGATCCGCCCTTGACGCCTTCCACCATGAACAAAAACATGTCAAACTTTGTCAAATTTTGATTTTCACATTTAGGCTTAGTTTGTAGTTTATTTTTGCTTTAGAAACATACTCACCCTCTTTATATTATAATCAGAAAGTGCTGCCTTTTTCAGATATCTATTTTATGTGAAATTTCCAGATTTGTTTGCACACGTTTTCGTATCAAAATTTGAACATGAAATGTCACGAAAATTAGAGTTTAGACATCTGAAAAAGGCAGCACTTTCTGATTAGCCTATATCGAGGTAGTTGTGATAATCGTAACCCACCATCCTCCCGACGGTCGGGAGGATGGTGGGTTACGATTATCGCAACTAATGGATGGTGAGCATGGTGAGTATGCTTCTAAAGCAAAAATAAACTACCATGACTACAAACTAAGCCTAACTGTCATGACTGTGAAAATCAAAATTTGACAAAGTTCGACATGTTTTTGTACATGGTGGAAGTGTGGCATTTATTTACGGAGGTAGTCCAGTAAATTAAATTGGCCACATTTATGGGGCTATAAAGCCAAGCCTATCATGCTGCGCCTATACGTTAGCACCAGCGCCTGTACTTCCCTAAAGCATTCCCCTCCTCCATGTCCTCACTCAAGTTTGAACGGCATGTACTCAAATTAATTTAGTTAAGAGGAACTTAGCTTTGATTCCGTCCAGTGTTTGTAGCATTGAGCAGCAAATACTGTATAAGTTGGATCAGTGTTTAAATGATAAAACCATGGAGCTAAAACTAAGTAGGTGACTAAACACGGCCGACTAAACATGCTAAAAATAAATGCGTCCGTACGGACGCTGCCATATTCTTCAGTAAACGAACGGTGGCGCTATACACTTTATCCACGTTAAACTTTTCCCTAGTCGTACGTTACTTAATTATAACATTTGCTATGTTTTGTTTTAAATTAGTATTCCTTATATAAATTCATCATCATAATTGTATGTAGGCCTAGGCCTATAGTAATATACATGTATACGTTTCGTCGCATTAATTACCTTTGTATCGTGTTCTAGTTCAAGTTCAACCCTCTCTAATAACTCTGTAATTCCATTTCTGGTGAAACGATAGCGTCTATAAATTTCATCGTCTGTCAAAGAATCAAGCGGGCATCTACGCGGTCTACGCTCTCCAAACAATCTTTCTCGGCGTAATGCCCGGCCAGCTTCTCTGTCTAGCAGCAGCATAAACGCCATTTTTTCCCCTGCAACTTGAGTTACGACGACCCTTGAGGTCGTCGTAAGTTACGATGTATTACATACTGTTGCCATGGGATTTACGAATCATTGAACGCATCGTAAGTTTCGTGAAATCGTTTTTAGGCCATTTTGTAAGTTGCGATGCATCTGCATCACAACTTATGTTTACGATGCATCGTAGCGTTTCGTGAAATCGACCGCTGGTCACACACCTGTCTGTTATTGGCATATGTCTTACTACATGGGTCCACACAGTGATGGTCTTGTAACTGGTCACACACCTGTCTGTTATTGGCATATGTCTTACTACATGGGTCCACACAAGGATGGTCTTTTAACTGGTCACACACCTGTCTGTTATTGGCATTTGTCTTACTACATGGATCCACACAGTGATGGTCTTGTAACTGGTCACACACCTGTCTGTTATTGGCTTATGTCTTACTACATGGATCCACACATTGATGGTCCTGTAACTGGTCACACACCTGTCTGTTATTGGCATATGTCTTACAACATGGGTCCACACCGTGATGGTCCTGTGACTGATCACACACCCGTCTATTTTTGGCATATGTCTTACTACATGGGTCCACACAGTGATGGTCCTGTGACTGGTCACACACCTGTCTGTTATTGGCATATGTCTTACTACATGGGTCCACACAGTGATGGTCCTGTGACTGCTCACACACCTGTCTGTTATTGGCATATGTCTTACTACATGGGTCCACACAGTGATGGTCCTGTGACTGATCACACACCTGTCTGTTATTGGCATATGTCTTACTACATGGGTCCACACAGTGATGGTCCTGTGACTGGTCACACACCTGTCTGTTATTGGCATTTGTCTTACCTAATGGGTCCACACAGTGATGGTCCTGTAACTGGTCACACACCTGTCTGTTGTTGGCATTTGTCTTACTACATGGGTCCACACAGTGATGGTCCTGTAACTGGTCACACACCTGTCTGTTATTGGCATATGTCTTACTACATGGTTCCACACAGTGATGGTCCTGTAACTGGTCACACACCTGTCTGTTATTGGCATTTGTCTTACTACATGGGTCCACACAGTGATGGTCCTGTGACTGAACACACACCCGTCTATTTTTGGCATATGTCTTACTACATGGGTCCACACAGTGATGGTCCTGTGACTGGTCACACTCCTGTCTGTTATTGGCATATGTCTTACTACATGGGTCCACACAGTGATGGTCCTGTGACTGGTCACACACCAAGTCTGTTATTGGCATATGTCTTACTACATGGGTCCACACAGTGATGGTCCTGTAACTGGTCAAACACCTGTCTGTTATTGGCATATGTCTTACAAAATGGGTCCACACAGTGATGGTCCTGTGACTGATCACACACCTGTCTGTTATTGGCATATGTCTTACTACATGGTTCCACACAGTGATGGTCCTGTAACTGGTCACACACCTGTCTGTTATTGGCATATGTCTTACTACATGGGTCCACACAGTGATGGTCCTGTGACTGGTCACACACCTGTCTGTTATTGGCATTTGTCTTACCTAATGGGTCCACACAGTGATGGTCTTGTAACTGGTCACACACCTGTCTGTTGTTGGCATTTGTCTTACTACATGGGTCCACACAGTGATGGTCCTGTGACTGATCACACACCTGTCTATTTTTGGCATATGTCTTACTACATGGGTCCACACAGTGATGGTCCTGTAACTGGTCACACACCTGTCTGTTATTGGCATATGTCTTACTACATGGTTCCACACAGTGATGGTCCTGTAACTGGTCACACACCTGTCTGTTATTGGCATTTGTCTTACTACATGGGTCCACACAGTGATGGTCCTGTGACTGAACACACACCCGTCTATTTTTGGCATATGTCTTACTACATGGGTCCACACAGTGATGGTCCTGTGACTGGTCACACTCCTGTCTGTTATTGGCATATGTCTTACTACATGGGTCCACACAGTGATGGTCCTGTGACTGGTCACACACCTGTCTGTTATTGGCATATGTCTTACTACATGGGTCCACACAGTGATGGTCCTGTAACTGGTCACACGCCTGTCTGTTATTGGCATATGTCTTACTACATGGGTCCACACAGTGATGGTCCTGTAACTGGTCAAACACCTGTCTGTTATTGGCATATGTCTTACAAAATGGGTCCACACAGTGATGGTCCTGTGACTGATCACACACCTGTCTGTTATTGGCATATGTCTTACTACATGGTTCCACACAGTGATGGTCCTGTAACTGGTCACACACCTGTCTGTTATTGGCATATGTCTTACTACATGGGTCCACACAGTGATGGTCCTGTAACTGGTCACACACCTGTCTGTTATTGGCGTATGTCTTACTACATGGGTCCACACAGTGATGGTCCTGTAACTGGTCACACACCTGTCTGTTATTGGCGTATGTCTTACTACATGGGTCCACACAGTGATGGTCCTGTAACTGGTCACACACCTGTCTGTTATTGGCGTATGTCATACTACATGGGTCCACACAGTGATGGTCCTGTAACTGGTCACTAACCATTTGTTATTGACATACATGTCTCACTGTTACTAAAATAAACTACAACAACTCCGAAGACTTCATGCTTTTTTGTTGTTGGTTGTTTGTATAGATGAGCTCAACAAGGCACTGAAGGGCAGGCTAGAATATACGAGAAGCGGCAAGCATGCCTTTTTTGTGGCAGTATGGTTTCCAATGCAGCCAGTGAAATCATTGAAGGTACATGAAGATTTATTGTCCCATTTCTTCCCCACATACAAAATGTATGCAATTGAGCTCTTTCTATTATTTTTAACTTGATCATCTAAGAAAAATGGAATTATATGTAACACAAGCAGGATCAACTTCACGGTGAAGGCCCTATGGCTAAGGGCTCCAACATGGTCCTGTAACTGGTCACACACTATCTGTTATTGGCATATGTCTTACTACATGGGTCCACACAGTGATGGTCCTGTAACTGGTCACACACCTGTCTGTTATTGGCTTATGTCTTACTACATGGATGCACACAGTGATGGTCTTGTAACTGGTCACACACCTGTCTGTTATTGGCATATGTCTTACTACATGGGTCCACACAAGGATGGTCCTGTAACTGGTCACACACCTGTCTGTTATTGGCATTTGTCTTACTACATGGGTCCACACAGTAATAGTCCTGTAACTGGTCACACGTCTGTCTGTTTTTGGCGTATGTCTTACTACATGGGTCCACACAGTGATGGTCCTGTAACTGGTCACACACCTGTCTGTTATTGGCATATGTCTTACAACATGGGTCCACATAGTGATGGTCCTGTGACTGATCACACACCTGTCTGTTTTTGGCATATGTCTTACTACATGGGTCCACACAGTGATGGTCCTGTGACTGGTCACACACCTGTCTGTTATTGGCATTTGTCTTACTACATGGGCCACACAGTGATGGTCCTGTAACTGGTCACACACCTGTCTGTTATTGGCATATGTCTTACTACATGGGTCCACACAGTGATGGTCCTGTGACTGGTCACACACCTGTCTGTTATTGGCATATGTCTTACTACATGGGTCCACACAGTGATGGTCCTGTAACTGGTCACACACCTGTCTGTTATTGGCATTTGTCTTACTACATGGGTCCACACAGTGATGGTCCTGTAACTGGTCACACACCTGTCTGTTATTGGCATATGTCTTACTACATGGGTCCACACAGTGATGGTCTTGTAACTGGTCACACACCTGTCTGTTATTGGCATATGTCTTACTACATGGGTCCACACAAGGATGGTCTTTTAACTGGTCACACACCTGTCTGTTATTGGCATTTGTCTTACTACATGGGTCCACACAGTGATGGTCCTGTAACTGGTCACACACCTTTCTGTTATTGGCATATGTCTTACTACATGGGTCCACACAGTGATGGTCCTGTAACTGGTCACACACCTGTCTGTTATTGGCATATGTCTTACAATTTGGGTCCACACAGTAATGGTCCTGTAACTGGTCACACACCTGTCTGTTATTGGCATATGTCTTACTACATGGGTCCACACAGTGATGGTCCTGTAACTGGTCACACACCTGTCTGTTATTGGCATATGTCTTACAACATGGGTCCACACCGTGATGGTCCTGTGACTGATCACACACCCGTCTATTTTTGGCATATGTCTTACTACATGGGTCCACAAAGTGATGGTCCTGTGACTGGTCACACACCTGTCTGTTATTGGCATATGTCTTACTACATGGGTCCACACAGTGATGGTCCTGTGACTGGTCACACACCTGTCTGTTATTGGCATATGTCTTACTACATGGGTCCACACAGTGATGGTCCTGTGACTGATCACACACCTGTCTGTAATTGGCATATGTCTTACTACATGGGTCCACACAGTGATGGTCCTGTGACTGGTCACACACCTGTCTGTTATTGGCATTTGTCTTACCTAATGGGTCCACACAGTGATGGTCCTGTAACTGGTCACACACCTGTCTGTTGTTGGCATTTGTCTTACTACATGGGTCCACACAGTGATGGTCCTGTAACTGGTCACACACCTGTCTGTTATTGGCATATGTCTTACTACATGGTTCCACACAGTGATGGTCCTGTAACTGGTCACACACCTGTCTGTTATTGGCATTTGTCTTACTACATGGGTCCACACAGTGATGGTCCTGTGACTGAACACACACCCGTCTATTTTTGGCATATGTCTTACTACATGGGTCCACACAGTGATGGTCCTGTGACTGGTCACACTCCTGTCTGTTATTGGCATATGTCTTACTACATGGGTCCACACAGTGATGGTCCTGTGACTGGTCACACACCTGTCTGTTATTGGCATATGTCTTACTACATGGGTCCACACAGTGATGGTCCTGTAACTGATCACACACCTGTCTGTTATTGGCATATGTCTTACAAAATGGGTCCACACAGTGATGGTCCTGTGACTGATCACACACCTGTCTGTTATTGGCATATGTCTTACTACATGGTTCCACACAGTGATGGTCCTGTAACTGGTCACACACCTGTCTGTTATTGGCATATGTCTTACTACATGGGTCCACACAGTGATGGTCCTGTGACTGGTCACACACCTGTCTGTTATTGGCATTTGTCTTACCTAATGGGTCCACACAGTGATGGTCTTGTAACTGGTCACACACCTGTCTGTTGTTGGCATTTGTCTTACTACATGGGTCCACACAGTGATGGTCCTGTGACTGATCACACACCCGTCTATTTTTGGCATATGTCTTACTACATGGGTCCACACAGTGATGGTCCTGTAACTGGTCACACACCTGTCTGTTATTGGCATATGTCTTACTACATGGTTCCACACAGTGATGGTCCTGTAACTGGTCACACACCCGTCTGTTATTGGCATTTGTCTTACTACATGGGTCCACACAGTGATGGTCCTGTGACTGAACACACACCCGTCTATTTTTGGCATATGTCTTACTACATGGGTCCACACAGTGATGGTCCTGTGACTGGTCACACTCCTGTCTGTTATTGGCATATGTCTTACTACATGGGTCCACACAGTGATGGTCCTGTGACTGGTCACACACCTGTCTGTTATTGGCATATGTCTTACTACATGGGTCCACACAGTGATGGTCCTGTAACTGGTCACACACCTGTCTGTTATTGGCATATGTCTTACTACATGGTTCCACACAGTGATGGTCCTGTAACTGGTCACACACCTGTCTGTTATTGGCATATGTCTTACTACATGGGTCCACACAGTGATGGTCCTGTAACTGGTCACACACCTGTCTGTTATTGGCGTATGTCTTACTACATGGGTCCACACAGTGATGGTCCTGTGACTGGTCACACACCTGTCTGTTATTGGCGTATGTCTTACTACATGGGTCCACACAGTGATGGTCCTGTAACTGGTCACACACCTGTCTGTTATTGGCGTATGTCTTACTACATGGGTCCACACAGTGATGGTCCTGTAACTGATCACACACCTGTCTGTTATTGGCATATGTCTTACAAAATGGGTCCACACAGTGATGGTCCTGTGACTGATCACACACCTGTCTGTTATTGGCATATGTCTTACTACATGGTTCCACACAGTGATGGTCCTGTAACTGGTCACACACCTGTCTGTTATTGGCATATGTCTTACTACATGGGTCCACACAGTGATGGTCCTGTGACTGGTCACACACCTGTCTGTTATTGGCATTTGTCTTACTACATGGGTCCACACAGTGATGGTCCTGTGACTGGTCACACACCTGTCTGTTATTGGCATTTGTCTTACTACATGGGCCACACAGTGATGGTCCTGTAACTGGTCACACACCTGTCTGTTATTGGCATATGTCTTACTACATGGGTCCACACAGTGATGGTCCTGTGACTGGTCACACACCTGTCTGTTATTGGCATATGTCTTACTACATGGGTCCACACAGTGATGGTCCTGTAACTGGTCACACACCTGTCTGTTATTGGCATTTGTCTTACTACATGGGTCCACACAGTGATGGTCCTGTAACTGGTCACACACCTGTCTGTTATTGGCATATGTCTTACTACATGGGTCCACACAGTGATGGTCTTGTAACTGGTCACACACCTGTCTGTTATTGGCATATGTCTTACTACATGGGTCCACACAAGGATGGTCTTTTAACTGGTCACACACCTGTCTGTTATTGGCATTTGTCTTACTACATGGGTCCACACAGTGATGGTCCTGTAACTGGTCACACACCTGTCTGTTATTGGCATATGTCTTACTACATGGGTCCACACAGTGATGGTCCTGTAACTGGTCACACACCTGTCTGTTATTGGCATATGTCTTACAATTTGGGTCCACACAGTAATGGTCCTGTAACTGGTCACACACCTGTCTGTTATTGGCATATGTCTTACTACATGGGTCCACACAGTGATGGTCCTGTAACTGGTCACACACCTGTCTGTTATTGGCATATGTCTTACAACATGGGTCCACACCGTGATGGTCCTGTGACTGATCACACACCCGTCTATTTTTGGCATATGTCTTACTACATGGGTCCACACGGTGATGGTCCTGTGACTGGTCACACACCTGTCTGTTATTGGCATATGTCTTACTACATGGGTCCACACAGTGATGGTCCTGTGACTGGTCACACACCTGTCTGTTATTGGCATATGTCTTACTACATGGGTCCACACAGTGATGGTCCTGTGACTGATCACACACCTGTCTGTAATTGGCATATGTCTTACTACATGGGTCCACACAGTGATGGTCCTGTGACTGGTCACACACCTGTCTGTTATTGGCATTTGTCTTACCTAATGGGTCCACACAGTGATGGTCCTGTAACTGGTCACACACCTGTCTGTTGTTGGCATTTGTCTTACTACATGGGTCCACACAGTGATGGTCCTGTAACTGGTCACACACCTGTCTGTTATTGGCATATGTCTTACTACATGGTTCCACACAGTGATGGTCCTGTAACTGGTCACACACCTGTCTGTTATTGGCATTTGTCTTACTACATGGGTCCACACAGTGATGGTCCTGTGACTGAACACACACCCGTCTATTTTTGGCATATGTCTTACTACATGGGTCCACACAGTGATGGTCCTGTGACTGGTCACACTCCTGTCTGTTATTGGCATATGTCTTACTACATGGGTCCACACAGTGATGGTCCTGTGACTGGTCACACACCTGTCTGTTATTGGCATATGTCTTACTACATGGGTCCACACAGTGATGGTCCTGTAACTGATCACACACCTGTCTGTTATTGGCATATGTCTTACAAAATGGGTCCACACAGTGATGGTCCTGTGACTGATCACACACCTGTCTGTTATTGGCATATGTCTTACTACATGGTTCCACACAGTGATGGTCCTGTAACTGGTCACACACCTGTCTGTTATTGGCATATGTCTTACTACATGGGTCCACACAGTGATGGTCCTGTGACTGGTCACACACCTGTCTGTTATTGGCATTTGTCTTACCTAATGGGTCCACACAGTGATGGTCTTGTAACTGGTCACACACCTGTCTGTTGTTGGCATTTGTCTTACTACATGGGTCCACACAGTGATGGTCCTGTGACTGATCACACACCCGTCTATTTTTGGCATATGTCTTACTACATGGGTCCACACAGTGATGGTCCTGTAACTGGTCACACACCTGTCTGTTATTGGCATATGTCTTACTACATGGTTCCACACAGTGATGGTCCTGTAACTGGTCACACACCTGTCTGTTATTGGCATTTGTCTTACTACATGGGTCCACACAGTGATGGTCCTGTGACTGAACACACACCCGTCTATTTTTGGCATATGTCTTACTACATGGGTCCACACAGTGATGGTCCTGTGACTGGTCACACTCCTGTCTGTTATTGGCATATGTCTTACTACATGGGTCCACACAGTGATGGTCCTGTGACTGGTCACACACCTGTCTGTTATTGGCATATGTCTTACTACATGGGTCCACACAGTGATGGTCCTGTAACTGGTCACACACCTGTCTGTTATTGGCATATGTCTTACTACATGGTTCCACACAGTGATGGTCCTGTAACTGGTCACACACCTGTCTGTTATTGGCATATGTCTTACTACATGGGTCCACACAGTGATGGTCCTGTAACTGGTCACACACCTGTCTGTTATTGGCGTATGTCTTACTACATGGGTCCACACAGTGATGGTCCTGTGACTGGTCACACACCTGTCTGTTATTGGCGTATGTCTTACTACATGGGTCCACACAGTGATGGTCCTGTAACTGGTCACACACCTGTCTGTTATTGGCGTATGTCATACTACATGGGTCCACACAGTGATGGTCCTGTAACTGGTCACTAACCATTTGTTATTGACATACATGTCTCACTGTTACTAAAATAAACTACAACAACTCCGAAGACTTCATGCTTTTTTGTTGTTGGTTGTTTGTATAGATGAGCTCAACAAGGCACTGAAGGGCAGGCTAGAATATACGAGAAGCGGCAAGCATGCCTTTTTTGTGGCAGTATGGTTTCCAATGCAGCCAGTGAAATCATTGAAGGTACATGAAGATTTATTGTCCCATTTCTTCCCCACATACAAAATGTATGCAATTGAGCTCTTTCTATTATTTTTAACTTGATCATCTAAGAAAAATGGAATTATATGTAACACAAGCAGGATCAACTTCACGGTGAAGGCCCTATGGCTAAGCGCTCCAAAATGGTCCTGTAACTGGTCACACACTATCTGTTATTGGCATATGTCTTACTACATGGGTCCACACAGTGATGGTCCTGTAACTGGTCACACACCTGTCTGTTATTGGCTTATGTCTTACTACATGGATGCACACAGTGATGGTCTTGTAACTGGTCACACACCTGTCTGTTATTGGCATATGTCTTACTACATGGGTCCACACAAGGATGGTCCTGTAACTGGTCACACACCTGTCTGTTATTGGCATTTGTCTTACTACATGGGTCCACACAGTAATAGTCCTGTAACTGGTCACACGTCTGTCTGTTATTGGCGTATGTCTTACTACATGGGTCCACACAGTGATGGTCCTGTAACTGGTCACACACCTGTCTGTTATTGGCATATGTCTTACAACATGGGTCCACATAGTGATGGTCCTGTGACTGATCACACACCTGTCTGTTTTTGGCATATGTCTTACTACATGGGTCCACACAGTGATGGTCCTGTGACTGGTCACACACCTGTCTGTTATTGGCATTTGTCTTACTACATGGGCCACACAGTGATGGTCCTGTAACTGGTCACACACCTGTCTGTTATTGGCATATGTCTTACTACATGGGTCCACACAGTGATGGTCCTGTGACTGGTCACACACCTGTCTGTTATTGGCATATGTCTTACTACATGGGTCCACACAGTGATGGTCCTGTAACTGGTCACACACCTGTCTGTTATTGGCATTTGTCTTACTACATGGGTCCACACAGTGATGGTCCTGTAACTGGTCACACACCTGTCTGTTATTGGCATATGTCTTACTACATGGGTCCACACAGTGATGGTCTTGTAACTGGTCACACACCTGTCTGTTATTGGCATATGTCTTACTACATGGGTCCACACAAGGATGGTCTTTTAACTGGTCACACACCTGTCTGTTATTGGCATTTGTCTTACTACATGGGTCCACACAGTGATGGTCCTGTAACTGGTCACACACCTGTCTGTTATTGGCATATGTCTTACTACATGGGTCCACACAGTGATGGTCCTGTAACTGGTCACACACCTGTCTGTTATTGGCATATGTCTTACAATTTGGGTCCACACAGTGCTGGTCCTGTAACTGGTCACACACCTGTCTGTTATTGGCATATGTCTTACTACATGGTTCCACACAGTGATGGTCCTGTAACTGGTCACACACCTGTCTGTTATTGGCATATGTCTTACTACATGGGTCCACACAGTGATGGTCCTGTAACTGGTCACACACCTGTCTGTTATTGGCGTATGTCTTACTACATGGGTCCACACAGTGATGGTCCTGTGACTGGTCACACACCTGTCTGTTATTGGCGTATGTCTTACTACATGGGTCCACACAGTGATGGTCCTGTAACTGGTCACACACCTGTCTGTTATTGGCGTATGTCTTACTACATGGGTCCACACAGTGATGGTCCTGTAACTGATCACACACCTGTCTGTTATTGGCATATGTCTTACAAAATGGGTCCACACAGTGATGGTCCTGTGACTGATCACACACCTGTCTGTTATTGGCATATGTCTTACTACATGGTTCCACACAGTGATGGTCCTGTAACTGGTCACACACCTGTCTGTTATTGGCATATGTCTTACTACATGGGTCCACACAGTGATGGTCCTGTGACTGGTCACACACCTGTCTGTTATTGGCATTTGTCTTACTACATGGGTCCACACAGTGATGGTCCTGTGACTGGTCACACACCTGTCTGTTATTGGCATTTGTCTTACTACATGGGCCACACAGTGATGGTCCTGTAACTGGTCACACACCTGTCTGTTATTGGCATATGTCTTACTACATGGGTCCACACAGTGATGGTCCTGTGACTGGTCACACACCTGTCTGTTATTGGCATATGTCTTACTACATGGGTCCACACAGTGATGGTCCTGTAACTGGTCACACACCTGTCTGTTATTGGCATTTGTCTTACTACATGGGTCCACACAGTGATGGTCCTGTAACTGGTCACACACCTGTCTGTTATTGGCATATGTCTTACTACATGGGTCCACACAGTGATGGTCTTGTAACTGGTCACACACCTGTCTGTTATTGGCATATGTCTTACTACATGGGTCCACACAAGGATGGTCTTTTAACTGGTCACACACCTGTCTGTTATTGGCATTTGTCTTACTACATGGGTCCACACAGTGATGGTCCTGTAACTGGTCACACACCTGTCTGTTATTGGCATATGTCTTACTACATGGGTCCACACAGTGATGGTCCTGTAACTGGTCACACACCTGTCTGTTATTGGCATATGTCTTACAATTTGGGTCCACACAGTAATGGTCCTGTAACTGGTCACACACCTGTCTGTTATTGGCATATGTCTTACTACATGGGTCCACACAGTGATGGTCCTGTAACTGGTCACACACCTGTCTGTTATTGGCATATGTCTTACAACATGGGTCCACACCGTGATGGTCCTGTGACTGATCACACACCCGTCTATTTTTGGCATATGTCTTACTACATGGGTCCACACAGTGATGGTCCTGTGACTGGTCACACACCTGTCTGTTATTGGCATATGTCTTACTACATGGGTCCACACAGTGATGGTCCTGTGACTGGTCACACACCTGTCTGTTATTGGCATATGTCTTACTACATGGGTCCACACAGTGATGGTCCTGTGACTGATCACACACCTGTCTGTAATTGGCATATGTCTTACTACATGGGTCCACACAGTGATGGTCCTGTGACTGGTCACACACCTGTCTGTTATTGGCATTTGTCTTACCTAATGGGTCCACACAGTGATGGTCCTGTAACTGGTCACACACCTGTCTGTTGTTGGCATTTGTCTTACTACATGGGTCCACACAGTGATGGTCCTGTAACTGGTCACACACCTGTCTGTTATTGGCATATGTCTTACTACATGGTTCCACACAGTGATGGTCCTGTAACTGGTCACACACCTGTCTGTTATTGGCATTTGTCTTACTACATGGGTCCACACAGTGATGGTCCTGTGACTGAACACACACCCGTCTATTTTTGGCATATGTCTTACTACATGGGTCCACACAGTGATGGTCCTGTGACTGGTCACACTCCTGTCTGTTATTGGCATATGTCTTACTACATGGGTCCACACAGTGATGGTCCTGTGACTGGTCACACACCTGTCTGTTATTGGCATATGTCTTACTACATGGGTCCACACAGTGATGGTCCTGTAACTGATCACACACCTGTCTGTTATTGGCATATGTCTTACAAAATGGGTCCACACAGTGATGGTCCTGTGACTGATCACACACCTGTCTGTTATTGGCATATGTCTTACTACATGGTTCCACACAGTGATGGTCCTGTAACTGGTCACACACCTGTCTGTTATTGGCATATGTCTTACTACATGGGTCCACACAGTGATGGTCCTGTGACTGGTCACACACCTGTCTGTTATTGGCATTTGTCTTACCTAATGGGTCCACACAGTGATGGTCTTGTAACTGGTCACACACCTGTCTGTTGTTGGCATTTGTCTTACTACATGGGTCCACACAGTGATGGTCCTGTGACTGATCACACACCCGTCTATTTTTGGCATATGTCTTACTACATGGGTCCACACAGTGATGGTCCTGTAACTGGTCACACACCTGTCTGTTATTGGCATATGTCTTACTACATGGTTCCACACAGTGATGGTCCTGTAACTGGTCACACACCTGTCTGTTATTGGCATTTGTCTTACTACATGGGTCCACACAGTGATGGTCCTGTGACTGAACACACACCCGTCTATTTTTGGCATATGTCTTACTACATGGGTCCACACAGTGATGGTCCTGTGACTGGTCACACTCCTGTCTGTTATTGGCATATGTCTTACTACATGGGTCCACACAGTGATGGTCCTGTGACTGGTCACACACCTGTCTGTTATTGGCATATGTCTTACTACATGGGTCCACACAGTGATGGTCCTGTAACTGGTCACACACCTGTCTGTTATTGGCATATGTCTTACTACATGGTTCCACACAGTGATGGTCCTGTAACTGGTCACACACCTGTCTGTTATTGGCATATGTCTTACTACATGGGTCCACACAGTGATGGTCCTGTAACTGGTCACACACCTGTCTGTTATTGGCGTATGTCTTACTACATGGGTCCACACAGTGATGGTCCTGTGACTGGTCACACACCTGTCTGTTATTGGCGTATGTCTTACTACATGGGTCCACACAGTGATGGTCCTGTAACTGGTCACACACCTGTCTGTTATTGGCGTATGTCATACTACATGGGTCCACACAGTGATGGTCCTGTAACTGGTCACTAACCATTTGTTATTGACATACATGTCTCACTGTTACTAAAATAAACTACAACAACTCCGAAGACTTCATGCTTTTTTGTTGTTGGTTGTTTGTATAGATGAGCTCAACAAGGCACTGAAGGGCAGGCTAGAATATACGAGAAGCGGCAAGCATGCCTTTTTTGTGGCAGTATGGTTTCCAATGCAGCCAGTGAAATCATTGAAGGTACATGAAGATTTATTGTCCCATTTCTTCCCCACATACAAAATGTATGCAATTGAGCTCTTTCTATTATTTTTAACTTGATCATCTAAGAAAAATGGAATTATATGTAACACAAGCAGGATCAACTTCACGGTGAAGGCCCTATGGCTAAGCGCTCCAAAATGGTCCTGTAACTGGTCACACACTATCTGTTATTGGCATATGTCTTACTACATGGGTCCACACAGTGATGGTCCTGTAACTGGTCACACACCTGTCTGTTATTGGCTTATGTCTTACTACATGGATGCACACAGTGATGGTCTTGTAACTGGTCACACACCTGTCTGTTATTGGCATATGTCTTACTACATGGGTCCACACAAGGATGGTCCTGTAACTGGTCACACACCTGTCTGTTATTGGCATTTGTCTTACTACATGGGTCCACACAGTAATAGTCCTGTAACTGGTCACACGTCTGTCTGTTATTGGCGTATGTCTTACTACATGGGTCCACACAGTGATGGTCCTGTAACTGGTCACACACCTGTCTGTTATTGGCATATGTCTTACAACATGGGTCCACATAGTGATGGTCCTGTGACTGATCACACACCTGTCTGTTTTTGGCATATGTCTTACTACATGGGTCCACACAGTGATGGTCCTGTGACTGGTCACACACCTGTCTGTTATTGGCATTTGTCTTACTACATGGGCCACACAGTGATGGTCCTGTAACTGGTCACACACCTGTCTGTTATTGGCATATGTCTTACTACATGGGTCCACACAGTGATGGTCCTGTGACTGGTCACACACCTGTCTGTTATTGGCATATGTCTTACTACATGGGTCCACACAGTGATGGTCCTGTAACTGGTCACACACCTGTCTGTTATTGGCATTTGTCTTACTACATGGGTCCACACAGTGATGGTCCTGTAACTGGTCACACACCTGTCTGTTATTGGCATATGTCTTACTACATGGGTCCACACAGTGATGGTCTTGTAACTGGTCACACACCTGTCTGTTATTGGCATATGTCTTACTACATGGGTCCACACAAGGATGATCTTTTAACTGGTCACACACCTGTCTGTTATTGGCATTTGTCTTACTACATGGGTCCACACAGTGATGGTCCTGTAACTGGTCACACACCTGTCTGTTATTGGCATATGTCTTACTACATGGGTCCACACAGTGATGGTCCTGTAACTGGTCACACACCTGTCTGTTATTGGCATATGTCTTACAATTTGGGTCCACACAGTAATGGTCCTGTAACTGGTCACACACCTGTCTGTTATTGGCATATGTCTTACTACATGGGTCCACACAGTGATGGTCCTGTAACTGGTCACACACCTGTCTGTTATTGGCATATGTCTTACTACATGGGTCCACACAGTGATGGTCCTGTAACTGGTCACTAACCATTTGTTATTGACATACATGTCTCACTGTTACTACATTAAACTACAACTCCGAAGACTTCATGCTTTTTTGTTGTTGGTTGTTTGTATAGATGAGCTCAACAAGGCACCGAAGGGCAGGCTAGAATATACGAGAAGCGGCAAGCATGCCTTTTTTGTGGCAGTATGGTTTCCGAGGCAGCCAGTGAAATCATTGAAGGTACATGAAGATTTATTGTCCCATTTCTTCCCCACATACAAAATGTATGCAATTGAGCTCTTTCTATTTTTTTTAACTTGATCATCTTAGAAAAATGGAATTATATGTAACACAAGCAGGATCAACTTCACGGTGAAGGCCCTATGGCTAAGCGCTCCAAACTGTTATTGGCATATGTCTTACTACATGGGTCCACACAGTGATGGTCCTGTAACTGGTCACACACTATCTGTTATTGGCATATGTCTTACTACATGGGTCCACACAGTGATGGTCCTGTAACTGGTCACCCACCTGTCTGTTATTGGCTTATGTCTTACTACATGGATGCACACAGTGATGGTCTTGTAACTGGTCACACACCTGTCTGTTATTGGCATATGTCTTACTACATGGGTCCTCACAAGGATGGTCCTGTAACTGGTCACACACCTGTCTGTTATTGGCATTTGTCTTACTACATGGGTCCACACAGTAATAGTCCTGTAACTGGTCACACGTCTGTCTGTTATTGGCGTATGTCTTACTACATGGGTCCACACAGTGATGGTCCTGTAACTGGTCACACACCTGTCTGTTATTGGCATATGTCTTACAACATGGGTCCACACAGTGATGGTCCTGTGACTGATCACACACCTGTCTGTTTTTGGCATATGTCTTACTACATGGGTCCACACAGTGATGGTCCTGTGACTGGTCACACACCTGTCTGTTATTGGCATTTGTCTTACTACATGGGCCACACAGTGATGGTCCTGTGACTGGTCACACACCTGTCTGTTATTGGCATATGTCTTACGACATGGGTCCACACAGTGATGGTCCTGTAACTGATCACACACCTGTCTGTTATTGGCATATGTCTTACTACATGGGTCCACACAGTGATGGTCCTGTAACTGGTCACACACCTGTCTGTTATTGGCATTTGTCTTACTACATGGGTCCACACAGTGATGGTCCTGTTACTGGTCACACACCTGTCTGTTATTGGCATATGTCTTACTACTTGGGTCCACACAGTGATGGTCCTGTAACTGATCACACACCTGTCTGTTTTTGGCATAGTACTTACTACATGGGTCCACACAGTGATGGTCCTGTAATTGATCACACACCTGTCTGTTTTTGGCATATGTCTTACTACATGGGTCCACACAGTGATGGTCCTGTAACTGGTCACTAACCATTTGTTATTGACATACATGTCTCACTGTTACTACAATAAACTACAACAACTCAAAAGACTTCATGCTTTTTTGTTGTTGGTTGTTTGTATAGATGAGCTCAACAAGGCACCAAAGGGCAGGCTAGAATATACGAGAAGCGGCAAGCATGTCTTTTTTGTGGCAGTATGGTTTCCAAGGCAGCCAGGCACATGAAAGATGTGCACGCTGGTGAGTCTGAGGTGAAACATGCAAAGGCCAAGGAGCCCAAGTCAACTAACAGGCGACATACTGTTGAATTTGAGAGGCTCCGTTTGAAAGGGAATTTCTACCATAATATGGAGGTGCTGTCAACTGGTGTGGGTCAGATCATCGTTGCCAGAAATCCAATCCTCAGATTGCTCCAATCCTCAGAAAGCCCACAAAATAAGAAAAGAATTGTTCAAATCCCCCCCCCCTAAAAAAACAGGACATAAAGTACCCAATTTTTTGGCCCCACCCAATTTCAAGTGGATTTGAATGCTCCGAAAGGCGTGTATTTGATTGCAGTGCAGAAACGTCTGTCTGTTTTGAATTTTAAACAGTGCGTCTGAAAATACGTAAGCCATGGACAGGAGAAGAGAAACAGGCGATCTACCAGCACCTCGGGGGACACATACGGAAAAATCAACTGCCAGGTAAAGCAGTCTGCGAAAGTGTGATAGCAGCACATCCCCGAACATCCCCGATTTTTTTAAATTTTTTTTTTTTTTTTATACTTTCCAATGGCCTCCTGTGAATGTGATAAAATCTGATGCCCCAGTATGAGTTTTCTTTTATTTTGTGGATCATTCATAAGAGATGAGTAGTTACTGGTCTTTTTAAGTCTCCAGTTGGAGGTTTAGTGATTTGTGACAAGAAACTTGATAGGTTTATGCTTTTTCGATCAGTCTTAAGAGAGGAATTTTTTAAGTAGTGCCTGATCTCTCTAAGTCTGCAGATGGAGATTTATGTAGGTGCGACAACTCCGATACCCCCAGAACATGAGTTTTCTTTTACACTCCTGTCTGTTATTGGCATATGTCTCACTACATGGGTCCACACAGTCATGGTCCTGTGACTGGTCACACACCTGTCTGTTTGGTTTCCAAGGCAGCCAGGCACATGAAAGATATGCACGCTGATGAGTCTGAGGTAAAACATGCCAAGGCCAAGGAGCCCAAGTCAACTAACAGGCGACCTACTGTTGAATTTGAGAGGCTCCGTTTGAAAGGGAATTTCTACCATAATATGGAGGTGCTGTCAACTGGTGTGGGTCAGATCATCGTTGCCAGAAATCCTCCCTTCGGTCAAGAGGTCCAATCTTCAGATAACCTGCCATGCCCATTTTGCATGTTCCGTCGGCAATGGTCCATCATCAGATATCCATGGTGGTAAGGGGTGACAAGTTAATACTGGCCTTCGGTAGGAATCTGATGGCAAAGGTTTGACCTGGGAAAGCTCAGTACGTATTAATTGTATTGGACAGTTTGAAACATGGGAATGTTTCTTTTTTGGGGAGTAGCTGAATTAAACCTAAATGTTACAGGCATTTTTAGTTTAATTTGGCAATATTCATGTGTATGTTATCCTATTGTATTGAAGGGGATAAGAGTTTCTTTGGGTTTACCAGAATTTGGAACTATCCTCTAGTTAACGGATGTATTGCTTATTGTATCATATTTGTTTAGTCATTCAACTAAGTCATTCTTTTTCTGGTGCCATTTGATTTGTTTCTGGTGCCATTTGATTTGTATACAGACTCGACCTGGTACAGATAAGGGGAAAGAGAGGTCGCGCAGTGCCTGTGCTTCTGACCAGTGGAAGTCTTGATGGAAAACCGTGAAGCAGTTGGGGCGCATAATGCGAATCCCTATATATTTGCTCGCCCCCGAAACTCCTTGAAACAAGTGAGAGGATGGGATTGCCTAACTGCTGTTGCCAAGCAGGCTAATCTGCAAGAGCCTCCTGCAGAAACGAGCACAAAGCTGAGAAAGTATGTTGCAACGGTGTCTCAGATTATAGACCTAAACAGCAATGCGCTCGACTGGCTAGCAAGGCACCTGTGCCACGACATAACTGTCCACAGGGACTTCTACCGCCAACACGAGTCGACACTAGAGCTTGCGAAAGTCAGCAAGCTACTTCTTGCTGTAGACAAAGGCAAGATAGCAAAACTGTCTGGCCGAAAACTTGATGATATTGATTTGGAAGGTAAGGAACCATTAGGTGCATTAATTAGGATTCCCATACTGTGACCTGGGACTTTTCTGGGAATATGGATGGACCTGAGATATTTGCATATTATTGCAAATATGTTTTTCCTTTTAAATTGTGGTTTCATTTTGAAATATGACAAAAGTGTTCAAAAGCCCAAATTGACACTAAAGTTTGTAGTCCAGAGTGACGATAAGATTCAACAATCTGAATAGGCAATAAAAAGTGATATTTTAAATTTCTATTTATTGGCCCTAATTCATTTTAGAATAATTAGTCTTTGGACAGTAGAAACCTTGTTTTCCATTTGGACAATCGGTCCTTCAGGTAATTAATTGGACTAAATTTGGACTACCAAAGCTTTTGACTGTAATGAAATTTAGGACTAAAGAACCTTAAACACTGTTGTATCAAATGATCAGATAAAAGAACCTTAGTTTATTTTTGGACCAATAACCCCCCCGGTAGATTGGGGCTTTGGACTATTTGGCAGACCACTACACAAATGTATGGTGTTTACCTTGGAATAATTTCGGGAAGAATGCTGTTTTGAAGTTCATGTCCTGTTGAAAAGTGGAAAACAGAGAAAGTGCCAGTTTTAGAAGAGCAAATGTCCACAAAGGGACCTAATATCTGAACAAATCGTCGAAGATACTTTATTATAGTTATATTAATATGTTCTGGATTTAAAAATCATCAAGTTAAAAATTAGCCCACAGCATTTTGGGCCCTTTTTCCATTCAACCTGTTCCAAGGTGCATCATCTTTTGTACGAGAAGGTCACATTTTACCTCCTTCGAATGATTCTTTCCAATGCCCACTGTCTATTCCTACATTATGTTTAATAAGAGCCTTCAAAGGGTATTATATGCCACTAATACCAAAGGACAACTTTTATTCTATTTCAAGGTGTTTTGGCTGATGAATCATCAAGTGAAGAGGAGGATGCAGGTACGTAAAATAATTTTGTTATCAGATTGAGATTGCAGATTAATTTTCATAGAATAATTGAGGTATGTGTGGGGGGGGGCGCATTATACATTTACAGTTGCAGGTTTATACATGTCCACATTCTCTTGTGTTTAAAAACATCATAAATACATAGCCATAAACTAATACCTGGGACAGTTTAGCGGTTCCTATTAGTCGAGAGGCTGCCATGTGCGGGTGTTTTCAGCAAGGTTTTAAAACACTCTGCTAGTGTCTCGCTAAATGTGGAATTTTGTGGGAAAATGCCCATGCGGATTTATTGGTTGAAATTTGACACGCACCAGTAGTACGCATGGGAGATGTTACCAGTGAACCCTTTATGTATGAGTCATATTCACAAGTCACTATCGCTGCTGCCTATCGCCTAACATCACACCACATCACGTGTCAATTCCATAATCATGAGTAAATAGTTAGTGCTACTCACACGAGGTGCAAACCATTAATAGCTGGAATCAAGTTTGAAAGAAAATAAAAGTTTCAAACAAAATCACTGGAAAATTGAAATTATATATATGTTTTGACACTTGACCGAAGACAGTATTTATTTTATTTATTCCTGAGAGAGTGATATATTTTGGAAAATGTAAAAAAAACTTTGCGATTCATGATTTCTTGCCTTAATTTGTTTCAATTGACGCAAATGTTTGCAAAGACCCGTCATCAGGTGGCAGGAAGCTGGGCGCCCAGCAGGTAAGGTTCTGCTTATTTTCTTTCCTCTGGATCTGTTACTGATCTTCATTTTTCACAAGTAGATGAGTTCACTTTATAAAATTGAATTGAATGGGATAGTTGTTTAAATAAGTGGGGGGAGTGGAATAAATTAACATTAAAAAGTGTCGACTCGACGAAATTCTAAATTTCCAGTGTGAAAAACAGTAGCTTCCATTTCACAATTTAAAGCCGTTTAATATTGTTTTATATATACAGATCCTTGTGCTTATTCAAATAGCCCCTTCATGAATGTGACGTTACCGCAAGACAGGTGCAGTGCGCAAATTCCTTGCGCGCTTTGTCACGTAACTCTTTGTGACGCCATTTCTTATAAACGCCAAGTTGCCTATTCAACTTCATTCTCGGTTGAGCAACCTTATCTCGCTGACATGCGCATTTTGTTCTCCGTGCAATATGAATCCTAACCTGATAATGCAAATCAAGAGATACTATCGGCCATCAGATCGTTGGCTAACTCGATAGACAGTAAAGTAGATTCAGCCTTTAAGAGGCAGCGTACCCTTGCCCGACAGTCCACCAGACTTTAAAAGCGACGGTAACAAGGACCAGTTTCGCCACGAAGAAAAGCTCTCCAGCCTAATTGACTCGGCCTTAGCATCGTTAGACGCCGGAGACGTCAACGCAGCCAGAGAGGCCCTCAAGCAAGCCAGCATTGAAATCAAACAGCGGCAGAAGCTGATCAGGTTGGCCGATCGTTCTTCCCAAGGTTGGGCCACGGTTAAAGAATACGTCACCGACAATTAAGCCGACGACTCGGACGATGAGAAACGACTCAGAAAGGCGGAGAAAATGGCGACCAGCAAGAAATCAGAAGCCGCTAAGAAGTCCAAGGCCAAGGCTCGCAATCCTGTACGTCCTTACCCTGCTGCGAGTTCTTTTCGTACCTACAGCCGGTACACATATCGTCAAGATTTCCGGTCCTGTTTCCAGTGCGGAATCGCAGGACATATCCGATCCAACTGCCCCTCTCTTCGGGCCCTCCAACAGCCTCAGTGCCGGTCACAACCTTCAGCCACTGATACCACCACAGCATAGGGACTGGGAAGAGCAGGACTCAACTACTCCTGTCCCATCCGGTGTAAAGGGTAAGCTGAAACCTCGCTTCTTATTTTGGCGAGACATACTTAAGTGTAGTATTTTTGTACAAGAGGTTATTTCAGATGGATACAAGATTCCATTTTATGTCACTCCTCCTCTTGCTGTTTTGTCAAACAATAAGTCAAGTCTATCCCATGCACAATTTGTGGAAACTGCCATCGCGGATTTGCTCGCAAAGAATTGTATCACGCAATGCACTGTTACCCCATACTGCTGCAATCCTTTGACTGTCGCAGAAGGTAAAAAGTTGCGATTAGTGCTTGACCTACGACACCGGAATAAGTACATTTGGAAAGAGAAATTCAAGTACGAAGATCCCACCACATCGCTCCGTCACTCGATTACAATCAGTACTACTTTTCTTTTGATCTTGAGTTGGGTTACCATCACGTCGATATCTTCCCATCTCATCAAAAATATCTTGGTTTCTCTTGGCATCATAACGATTCAGTCACCCGATATTATACCTTTACTGTTCTTCTTTTCGGTTTAAGTAGCGCCTGTCACTTATTCACCAAATTAAACAGGCCTATAGTGCACCATTGCCATCAAAACGGTATCGTGGCCCATATGTACATCGACGACGGACTCATTGTCTCCCCCGACTTTGAGTCAGCTTCTGCCAATGTTTCCTTTGTGCGCAACCTCATAACCTGCAGCGGATTCGTTCCTAGCAAAACAAAATGTGTCTGGTCACCCACTAAAACAATTCAGTACTTGGGTCATACCATCAACTCCGACGCATTTCGCTTTCAGGTACCACAAAGCAAAATTCACAAGATTCTCACGTTCATTTCATCCGTGCTGGATTCCCACCAGTCCAACCAAGCCATTCCCGTACGAGACTTAGCGCGATTTACCGGTCACATAATTTCATCCTCATTAGCACTCGGTCCAGTCGCTAGATTTAAGACACGTTTGTTGCTACCGCGCCATTGATTCGCGTCACTCTTGGTCCGATTCATTTGTTCTCCCTGCTGACGCCGTTTCGGAACTCAGCAATTACAGTCCCTGAATGGTTTTACCATACGAGGCAGGCTAGTCCACTCTTTGACTATCTATTCCGATGCAAGCGACACGGGCTACGGTGGTTACGTCGAAGGTCACCCTTACTTTTAAGTACACGGTACCTGGGTCCTTATTCACAAAGCACCCGTAAATGCTTGCGGGCGCGCAACTTCCCCGCAACCCTCACTTAAGCACTTGCGGGTTATTCACGAAGCCCCCTTAAATCTGCGTGTGCCCGTAAACCACCCGTAAATTTGCGGGACCTCCAGACGTCCCGCAAGCACACCATAACTTGCGTGGATCATCTCGATTGTCACAATGGCGGCACTCTTGGCATGTATTTTGGATCTACGAACTGAATCGACGTGCCGGTTCATCTTCCATGACCGGTTGAACCAACTATAGGATGAGTTAAAAAGAAAGTGACCGAATTTGGAAAATGTGTTCAAAATATTTGGCGCGTTCCATTTTCATGGGCGTCAATCGGTGGGGGACAAGTCCTCCCCCACTTTTTTTTTTTTAAGTGGCGGATATCATATCGTTGCCCCCCCCCCCCCCCCACTTTTTCTATCCCCGAATAAAAGTTGTAGCCTTCCTTAATGATTCTATAGTAGCTGATTCAATGACTCCAAACTCAAAAAATGATGTTTAAAAGATTATCTTTTGCCCACAAAAGTGGTTTGAGTGCTCAGAAATTGCCTCAGATCGCACCACAGAGCAAGCATCTAGAATCCAAAAACTTTCGGGGCCCGCTCCATGCCGTAATAGGTATGTCCTCCACTTTTGGGAAGCGACTGCCGCCCTTTGTATTTTTTTATGGGACGAAATACATCTTATGGGATTTTAAGTGTGAACATTTCACTTAAATTGCACAGTCTAATCCTAAGTTATGTCTGTTTCAATAAAACGATCACAAACTTGTTTACCATTCATCACGTGATGCAAACTGAACACCCATTGAGTACAATGAAACGTGGACTTTCCCACCTCCACTGAATGAACGAGAGCATGGGAAAGGATACAAAAATCACCATCAATAAAAAAAAAAATAGAGCTAACTTGTTTCTTATATATTGAAAGCATACATTCTGACAGTGGTTTCTGTCTTGAGTTCAATTATTAAAGGGAACCTGCAAAAAGATTTGTATGACTTAAATAGATTTAAAACAAATTTCTTGCCATGTTACTATGACTTTCAACCTTCTTTTGTAGTAGTAAAAGGGAGAAATTTCAACATTTCAATTTTTATGCTATTGAAAATGTCCATATTCATGAGCCACAGCGTGATATCATTCAAAGCAGAACAAAAGTGTCTCTACAGCTTTGTGTATCTATCAAACTTTCTTTATTTTCTTGCAGTAAGTTCCACTTTTTACTTGCTTATCATGTTAAACAGCTTGTTTGGACACTAGCAGTTGCCACTAGTTTTTTCGAAGCTTTTTTTTGTGGGTGACTTTGAAGGAATTATGTTTGTACTGTTCATATGCACTTTTGACAAGGAGTTTCTTGTGCGACAAAAGCAAAATGGCGCCCATTACATGCGATTGTATTTGATGAAAGGATTTGCTAACAATTGAAAAACTACCACTTTCTTGTCACTTCCAACGAAAACAAGTATTACGATCTTGTATGTATTGTTGTGACACATAATAATGTGCAAGAGAACAAGATGAGCTGAATTTCCACTGCGTGTTTCCTTTAAAGTCTTGTTGGCATTTTAAAGTTTGTCTGTAATATGATTCTCACTAAACTCAATAGCTTCCAATGACATTCAAGGACAGCTATAAAAATGGGCTACGTTTGTAACACATGCATAACTTCTGAAAGCATTGGTAAATTTTAGTGATTCATTTTTAATTTTCTTTAAATGAGTGGAAGAACATGCTCTTAAAGACATGCTTGATTGGTGTTGATTGTTTGCTAAGAAAACAAAGACAAGTTAATCTTTAATCGACTCTGCCTGTAATTTTTACAACGAGCAAGAACTCTGAAATGGGATAAAATGTCTTGGCATGTGTTTTTTTTATGTTCAACCAATTAGTTGCGAGTGCCCGCAACATGCGGGTCCACTAAGGGAACTCTAAGGGTGCTTCGTGAATACCACTTAACGCAAGTCTTACGTGCCCTTAACTTCCACTTACGGGTCCCCGCAACGCAAACATTTACGGGTGCTTTGTGAATAAGCACCCTGGTCCCCAGTAGAGCAACGAAAAAGTTCTACTTGGCGCGAACTAGCCGCAGTAAGTCACGTACTTAAGCAGTTGCAAAAAGCAGTGACGGGCCAGAACGTCAAATGGTTTACCGACAATTCCAGTGTCCCAATTATCATTCAGTGTGGCAGCCCCAAACCCAACTTGCATGAACTCGCAAAATCAATATTTCACATGGCCGACGAATTCAATTGCGTCTTGTTACCCGAGTGGCTACCTTGAAACGAGAACAAACTCGCCGATGAAATCATTCGATTTCAAGACTTCGACGACTGGTCTATCGACCGGGGATCATTTCGGTTTATAGATAGTCTATGGGGTCCTCGCACTATTGACCGTTGCGCCATCAACCATAACGCTAAATTCACGCGGTTTAACTCAAGGTTTTGGTGTAAAGGCGTGGCTGAAGTCGATGCATTCTCTCAGAATTGGTCGGGCGAAATTAATTATTTTTGTCCTCCAGTATCCTTGATTATACAGGTCTTCAAAAGAATTCTCTCTGACAATGCCACCGGCACATAAGTCGTACCACACTGGCCCACGTCTTCCTTCTGGCCAATCATTTGCCCAGATGGCATACATTTCCATAGTAGGGTGGTCGATTGGAGATGGATGAATATTTCATTCAGTCCGTCTTCCTTGGGGACAAGTTCAGTGTTTTGCCAAACCCCATCATTCGCTTCCATAGCGATTCATTTTGATCCCTCATTAGCGCGACACACATGGTTAAGACTAGGCACTTGCCCTCAGCGCGACTCTCGCCCGTGAGTACTGTTTGCGTATTTAAGCGGACTTCGTTCCGCAATTTTCTACACGGCCATTCCTGGTCGATGCCAATTTGCGAGCATCAAGTGTAAAAGTATGGTTTATCGTTGTTGGTACAGTAAAACATGATACTGCGACCCGTTTATTGGTCTGATTGCATACTTAATGCATTTTGTGTAGTATATTACATTTTTGTATTGTTTTGAGATTCCCATATCGTTTTTCCTTTCCACCTTTTTTGGCGTTCTCAGCGTGGTAGGCGGCTCTTTCTACCAATAGTACTCCAAAATTGTGTACTTGTGTTCTTATTACTCTTCACATGATGAAGATATAGTAAAAAAAAAAGAATTTTCTTTCGGAAGAATGAAGAAAGAAAATATATTTTTTTAACTTCCATTGCCAAAACTTACAAGCATTATTTGCACACAAAAATGGTTTGGATTAGCCGAATTGTTTACTGTCCTTCAGGTAATAAATTGGACTAAATTTGGACTACCAAAGCTTTTGACTGTAATGAAATTTAGGACTAAAGAACTTCAAACACTGTTGTATCAAATGATGAAATAAAAGAACCCTAGTTTATTTTTGGACCAATAACCCCCGGTAGATTGGGGCTTTGGACTATTTGGCAGACCACTACACAAACCTATTGCGTTTACCTTGAAATAATTTCGGGAAGGAGGCTGCCATGTGCGGGTGTTTTCTGCAAGGTTTTAAGACACTCTGCCTAGTGTCTCGCTAAATGTGGAATTTTGTGGGAGAATGCCCAAACCGATTTATTGGTTGAAATTTGACACGCACCAGTAGTACGCATGGGAGATGTTACCAGTGAACCCTTTATGTATGAGTCATATTCACAAGTCACTATCGCTGCTGCCTATCGCCTAACATCACACCACATCACGTGTCAATTCCATTATTATGAGGAAATAGTTAGTGCTACTCACACGAGGTGCAAACCATTAATAGCTGGAATCAAGTTTGAAAGAAAATAAAAGTTTCAAACAAAATCACTGGAAAATTGAAATTATATATATGTTTTGACACTTGACCGAAAACAGTATTTATTTGATTTATTCCTGAGAGAGTGATATATTTTGGAAACGTGATGATTTCTCTTCTAATAGATCAGACATGTTTCCGAAAACGTAAAAAAAACTTTGCAATTCAAAATTTCTTGCCTAAATTTGTTTCAATTTACTCAGATGTTTGCAAAGACCCGTCATCAGGTGGCAGGAAGCTGGGCGCCCAGCAGGTAAGGTTCTGCTTATTTTCTTTCCTTTGGATCTGTTACTGATCTTCATTTTTCACAAGTAGATGAGTTCACTTTTATAAAATTGAATTGAATACCCATTCAATTCAAATTGAATGGGTATTCAAATAAACTTTTACAAAAACTTTTTAAACAATTTATTTTACCTCTCCCCCCCCCCCCTGCTTATTTAAACAACTAAGTGGGGGGAAGAAGTGAATAAATTTACATTAAAAAGTGTTTTTTAAAGGGCAAGCCAGGCACGTCAACTGCGGGCACGGTATTTTTGGAATTTTTTTTTTTTTTTTTAATTAATGTTAAGCAAAAAATTTAAAATCATGAAAGCATGTTACCAATGAAGGATCTGGGGGCAAAAGGGACCAACCTCCCAGCCCTCCCCCTGCCAAGAATGAAAGAAAAAAAAGCAAAAACACAGGAAAAAAAGAAATGCTTTGGAAATTTCACGAAAAAGAGACATTTTCATTTCCCATCCTTCAAAGCCACACAAGCTCAGATATAGAAATTTCAGATTCCCCCCCCCCCCCCAAAAAAAAACCCAAAACACAATGAAAAAAACAAAATCTAAAATTGATGCCCAAACACCCAAAATAAGTGTGCTGGTTTCCCCTTTATTTCCATGTATTTCCTCCCCCAATCCAGCAATTTATTTTCATGTCATTCCTTTGACAGCTAAAAAGTTACAAATGGAGCCCAAAAAGCCTAGTAGTCATGGTCGCACAAAGGTCATGGCTACTACATTTTTAAAAAATGACTTGAAGATTTACAAATATTTGAGTCAAAGCAATTAGTTTGCAAATTACTGATGGTTTCAATATCCCAGAGCACTACGCGTGTATGTCGTGTGAAACCTATTGTACCTTTCATTTCCTGTTTGTATTGATGTAATACGGTACCATGTGCACACTTCACAACACTGGTCTTTCTACGTTGTTGTTTTTTAAGGGGAAGCCAAGCACATCAACTGCAGGTCTTTCATTTTTCATTTTTATTTTTTATAACATTCAACAAAATTTCAAAAGCACAAAGCAATGTTGTAGGGATGGGGCGCAACAGGGGCCATGAAGCAACAGGGGCCATGAAGCCTCTTCCTTCCACCTTCCCTTTTGCTGAGAAAAAAAAATCAAGAATCAAAAACACAGACAAAATAAGAAACTTTAATGAAAAAAGCATGACTGGGTGGGGATAATTTTAATTTCCCATCCTTTTGTGTGCAGTCCAATCCTCAGATTGCTCCAATCCTCAGAAAGCCCACAAAATAAGAAAAGAATTGTTCAAATCCCCCCCCCCCCTAAAAAAAAAAAAACGGGACATAAAGTACCCAATTTTTTGGCCCACCCAATTTCAAGTGGATTTGAATGCTCCGAAAGGCGTGTATTTGATTGCAGTGCAGAAACGTCTGTCTGTTTTGAATTTTAAACAGTGCGTCTGAAAATACGTAAGCCATGGACAAGGAGAAGAGAAACAGGCGATCTACCAGCACCTCGGGGGACACATACGGAAAAATCAACTGCCAGGTAAAGCAGTCTGCGAAAGTGTGATAGCAGCACATCCCCGAACATCCCCGAGATTTTTTTTTTAATATTTTTTTTTATACACTTTCCAATGGCCTCCTGTGAATGTGATAAAATCTGATGCCCCAGTATGAGTTTTCTTTTACTTTGTGGATCATTCATAAGAGAAGAATGAGTAGTTACTGGTCTTTTTAAGTCTCCAGTTGGAGGTTTAGTGATTTGTGACAAGAAACTTGATAGGTTTATGCTTTTTCGATCAGTCTTAAGAGAGGAATTTTTTAAGTAGTGCCTGATCTCTCTAAGTCTGCAGATGGAGATTTATGTAGGTGCGACAACTCCGATACCCCGAGAACATGAGTTTTCTTTTACTTTTGGATCATTCATAAGAGAAGAACAAGTAGTATGGTCTATCTAATTCTGTGATTGGTTTATTGGAAGTAGCTAACTGCCTTGTCCCTACATTTAAGTCTATAGTTGAAGTTTCAACTAATATCTGATAGCCAGGAATGTGATATCTTTTTTGGGACTTTTTGATCACTCATCATAAGAGAAGAACCTGAGGAGTAGCTAATGGCCTGCTGAGTCTGCTCTTGAAGGTTATTATTGATTAATGACAGAAATCTTGAATGCCCAGAACTTGATTTGCTTTTTGACTGTTTGGATCAATCATAAGAGAGTAGTGCTTCTTGTTCCCTCTAATTCTTCGGTTTGAGATTAAGTGATGTGTGATCATCTGATTCCCCAGAACATGAGTTTTCATAAAAGAAAAATATTCCGCTTGGAAGTCTTTTGATTTGTGACATGTTTTGATGGCCCAGAACTTGAATTTGTCCTTTCTTTTATATCATAAATACGAGAAGAAACGTATTGTTAGGTAACAGTTTCGTCTCGACATGTAAGTTTATTGTTCTATAGTTGGCGTTCAACTGATAGCTTAGAAATCTGATAGCCAGGGACATGATTGGTTTTGGACTTTTTGGATCAATCTTAGGAGAACCGTATGAGTAGCTAATAACCTGTTAAGTATGTAGTTGGAGGTTTAGTGATTTGTGATACAAATTTTAATAACCCAGAACTTGATTTGCTTTGTGACTGTTTCAACCAATCATAAGAGAGGAATCTTATGAGTAGTGCCTGGTGTTCTAAGACTGCAGTTGGAGATTTAGTGATGTGTGACAAATATCCTGATACATAATAGCCAAGAACATGATTCACTTACACTTTATCAATCACAAGAGAAGAATGAGTAGTTGTTGTCATTTTCTCCAAGTATTTGGGTGATATGTGAAAGATCTCATTATAGCCAAAACTTGATTTCTTTCTTTTTTGCAGTACTCGGACGTATTTGAGTAGGGCTGTGAAATTGTTTGAGAAATTTGTTAATAACTATTGTTGCAGATTTTTCTTTGAATTGCTCATAAACGAAATATCTTCAATTTAACGCCTGGTTCATTCGATTTAGGTTGAAATTGAAGATCACGCAGATCGGCATTCGACAATCAAAATGATTCATTCTATTTCACTATACAAGCATTCTAACGCATTTTAGCTTCACTCGTCCCTATCAAAGATGCATTCATATTAAAAGTATCGAGTTGTTCATTCAATTTCATCTAAACCATTAGTAAGGAGTTGATCGGGCATTCGTTTTCATTAATGGGCAAACATATTTCACATTTTGTCAAACATCTTTTAAGACTTCATACGTGTCTGTATTCCTAAGCTTAAATCATTTGATGACTTCAAACCGTAGACTGACTTTCTTTCTTACTTAAAGGGTATGTGCAATGAATTTTTCTGAGGAATTCTTTTGCGCAACTTTGTGAAATGTAGGAAAACTACACATTTAATAACACTCTTTGTGTTAATCTGATTTTGCAAATGTGCACTTCTTTAAATTTAAAAGTTTCCATGCTTTTCCGGACTAACGCTGTTAATGTGATGTCATTTCAGGAAGACACTGTTCAGTTAAGGGTTTTTTCTTTCAAATTATTCATACAAAATTTGCTAATTGAAAACATTGGTGGGAAAGGGTTGGTCATTGTCTTACTGCCATGTACTGACACATCATTATAATCATCACAGGTTTTCTAATGAATATGAAACTTTGCATTAGCATAAAAACGGAGAAGGCACCAAAACCTCAAAATAGAAAATAAAACTTGCAAATAAGGTTAAATGTGACAAAAAGATGTATTTTCAAGGTCAATCAAAGTTGACCTATCAAAGAATTATGTCAAGGTTTCCTTATTGATAAAGTTGTTGCGAAGTAGTAGTTTTTGCAGTTTTGAAAACGGAGATACTTTTGCAAGTAATTTTACGTCAAATGTTACATATCTGTAAAACTAAGTACACTGATTATGTGTAGAATATTATTGAAATGAAGAAGACTCCGTATTGTTCAAAAACTGTGCAAATGCATTCTCGTTTTTTATTCAACGTTCAGCCAATTTTGCAATGTACATTTTTTGACTCGCTTGCTTGTTGGGTTCGATGTGTATATAAGTGAAACAATTGTTCGTTAAAGAGAAAAACAAATGAAATAAAAATCTTTCCCAATAATTTTTTTGTTGTTTGGTAGTCCCGTTATTTTTCAATTGTTTTAATAATTCTTTAAATAAATATAAATGAAATATCTGAAGAATTTTTGTAATACACTTTAACGATATTCAGAATTTTTTTTAAGTTCAAGTTCATCACCAAGTCTTAATAGTGATTTTTTTTTTTAATTGTGCATTTCTAAAGTTTTTTTGATACACATCAAGAAATCTTAACGATTTGTTTAAATTTATTCAAGTTCAAGTTCATCACCAGTTCTTGACGGTGATTTTCTTTTTTAAATTTTATGTGCATTTTTAAAATATTTTTTATCAATTTTTTTCCGATTTCTTTTTTTGTTCAAGTTCAAGTTCATCACCAAGTCTTAACGGTGATTTTTTTTTTTAAATTGTGCATTTCTGAAGATTTTTTATTCACGTCACGAAATTCTTAACGATTTGTTTAAATTGATTCAAGTTCAAGTTCATCACCAGTTCTTGACGGTGATTTTTTTTTTTAAATTGTATGTGCATTCTTTAAATATTTTTTCATCACGAATTTTTCTCCGATTTGTTTATTTTTTTTCAAGTTCAAGTTCAAAAATAATTGTCTGAATTTCTGAAGAAAATTCGAAATTTTAACGGATTTTTTGTGTGTTTAATCCCTATAGCTACGGTTGATTTTAGATAGACTACTGTTTTCGAGGTGTATGAGGTATCCTAACCATCGTTATCATAGCGCAATCTCATTGGGCCTGAGCCTCGCACAAGAAACATCCAAGCAACGATCCATTTCTGCCTCAATCGTCTCGAATTCCGTCAGATTTGGTTACATTCTACAAGTTCAAGTTCAGAAACTATTCTCTAAATTTCTGAAGAAAATTCATAATTTTAGCAGATTTTTTGTGTGTTATCCCCTAATAGCTACGGTCGATTTTAGATAGGCTACTGTTTTCGAGGTGTATGAGGCGTAGGGTATCACATCCAATCATCGTTATCATAGCGCAATCTCATTGCCTGAGCCTCGCACAAGAAACATCCAAGCAACGATCCATTTCTGACTCAAACGTCTCGAATTCTGTCAGATTTGGTTACATTCTTCAAGTTCAAGTTCAGAAACTATTCTCTAAATTTCTGAAGAAAATTCATAATTTTAGCAGATTTTTTGTGTGTTATCCCCTAATAGCTACGGTCGATTTTAGATAGGCTACTGTTTTAGAGGTGTATGAGGCGTAGGGTATCACATCCTAACCAATCGTTATCATAGCGCAATCTCATTGCCTGAGCCTCGCACAAGAAACATCCAAGCAACGATCCATTTCTGACTCAAACGTCTCGAATTCTGTCAGATTTGGTTACATTCTTCAAGTTCAAGTTCAGAAACTATTCTCTAATTTTCTGAAGAAAATTTGAAATTTTAGCAGATTTTTTGTGTGTTATCCCCTATAGCTACGGTCGATTTTAGATAGACTACTGTTTTCGAGGTGTATGAGGCGTAGGGTATCACATCCTAACCATCGTTATCATAGCGCAATCTCATTGCCTGAGCCTCGCACAAGAAACATCCAAGCAACGATCCATTTCTGACTCAAACGTCTCGAATTCTGTCAGATTTGGTTACATTCTTCAAGTTCAAGTTCAGAAACTATTCTCTAAATTTCTGAAGAAAATTTGAAATTTTAGCAGATTTTTTGTGTGTTATCCCCTATAGCTACGGTCGATTTTAGATAGACTACTGTTTTCGAGGTGTATGAGGCGTAGGGTATCACATCCTAACCATCGTTATCATAGCGCAATTTCATTGCCTGAGCCTCGCACAAGAAACATCCAAGCAACGATCCATTTTCTGCCTCAATCGTCTCGAATTCTGTCAGATTTGGTTACATTCTTCAAGTTCAAGTTCAGAAACTATTCTCTAATTTTCTGAAGAAAATTTGAAATTTTAGCAGATTTTTTGTGTGTTATCCCCTATAGCTACGGTCGATTTTAGATAGACTACTGTTTTCGAGGTGTATGAGGCGTAGGGTATCACATCCTAACCATCGTTATCATAGCGCAATCTCATTGCCTGAGCCTCGCACAAGAAACATCCAAGCAACGATCCATTTCTGACTCAAACGTCTCGAATTCTGTCAGATTTGGTTACATTCTTCAAGTTCAAGTTCAGAAACTATTCTCTAAATTTCTGAAGAAAATTTGAAATTTTAGCAGATTTTTTGTGTGTTATCCCCTATAGCTACGGTCGATTTTAGATAGGCTACTGTTTTCGAGGTGTATGAGGCGTAGGGTATCACATCCTAACCATCGTTATCATAGCGCAATCTCATTGCCTGAGCCTCGCACAAGAAACATCCAAGCAACGATCCATTTCTGACTCAAACGTCTCGAATTCTGTCAGATTTGGTTACATTCTTCAAGTTCAAGTTCAGAAACTATTCTCTAAATTTCTGAAGAAAATTTGAAATTTTAGCAGATTTTTTGTGTGTTATCCCCTATAGCTACGGTCGATTTTAGATAGGCTACTGTTTTCGAGGTGTATGAGGCGTAGGGTATCACATCCTAACCATCGTTATCATAGCGCAATCTCATTGCCTGAGCCTCGCACAAGAAAACATCCAAGCAACGATCCATTTCTGACTCAAACGTCTCGAATTCTGTCAGATTTGGTTACATTCTTCAAGTTCAAGTTCAGAAACTATTCTCTAAATTTCTGAAGAAAATTTGAAATTTTAGCAGATTTTTTGTGTGTTATCCCCTATAGCTACGGTCGATTTTAGATAGGCTACTGTTTTCGAGGTGTATGAGGCGTAGGGTATCACATCCTAACCATCGTTATCATAGCGCAATCTCATTGCCTGAGCCTCGCACAAGAAACATCCAAGCAAACGATCCATTTCTGACTCAATCGTCTCGAATTCTGTCAGATTTGGTTACATTCTTCAAGTTCAAGTTCAGAAACTATTCTCTAAATTTCTGAAGAAAATTTGAAATTTTAGCAGATTTTTTGTGTGTTATCCCCTATAGCTACGGTCGATTTTAGATAGGCTACTGTTTTCGAGGTGTATGAGGCGTAGGGTATCACATCCTAACCATCGTTATCATAGCGCAATCTCATTGCCTGAGCCTCGCACAAGAAACATCCAAGCAAACGATCCATTTCTGACTCAATCGTCTCGAATTCTGTCAGATTTGGTTACATTCTTCAAGTTCAAGTTCAGAAACTATTCTCTAATTTTCTGAAGAAAATTTGAAATTTTAGCAGATTTTTTGTGTGTTATCCCCTATAGCTACGGTCGATTTTAGATAGGCTACTGTTTTCGAGGTGTATGAGGCGTAGGGTATCACATCCTAACCATCGTTATCATAGCGCAATTTCATTGCCTGAGCCTCGCACAAGAAACATCCAAGCAACGATCCATTTTCTGCCTCAATCGTCTCGAATTCTGTCAGATTTGGTTACATTCTTCAAGTTCAGAAAATATTTTCTGAATTTCAGAAGAAAATTCGAAATTTTAGCCGATTTTTTTTGTAATTGCCTATAGCCTGCGGTAAGTTTGACATCGATTAATGTTTTCGATGTTGTTATCATAGCGCAAATTAATAATCAGCTCGTCGCACAAGAAACATCCAAACAACGATCCATTTCTGCTGATAACGCTTTCCGTGTTGTCGCAGCTCTGTTTCACGTGCTTCAGATGTGAAATGCGTGCAGAAATGTAGCCAGAGCCCAGCATTTAAGCATGAATGACGCTCGTTCCGCCGATAACTTGAACCAACTGCAGCTATAGGCGAAAACATAAAAAAAAAACCGCTTGGGATTTGGTGACTTCTTTATAGGGCACTTTGGACACTGACGGACCCATATACCTTGACATCACTAGCGCATCCTATCCATAAATACTTGCTCCAGACCTTCTGAAATGTTTTATTGCTGTCCAAATGACCACCATCAGGTCCATCATGTGCTAGTTCCATTACCTCATCTTGCAGTGCCGTAGGAACCAACAGCAGTCTTTCCATCGTCTGTAGAAAACACCATTGTGCAGCTCCAACTGATCCCACTGGAACCAGTATTCTTTTGTCACAACGTCCACAGCACTCACTGTTGACAGCTCTCTTTTTTTGACCGGTTTCCTTCCACATCATGACAGAGGCCAGCAATGGATCGGTATGTTGAGCCTTCCTCAACTCGTCTGTATTCCAGCAAGGTATATGGACAGTATTACTTCGTTGGATGAAGGGGGGAAGTAGTTTTTCCCATAAAGGTAGTGTTTGAATTGACGCAGGTAAGTGACAAAAGCAAGAAGTTCTTCATTCCGAGTGACACCGTATCGTCTTTCTACCTTGCTGAGAGTTCAGCAGGCAATAACAGACTCCTCTTTCATGCCATTATAAGCCTGCAAAAGAACGGCTCCGTTTCCCCTCGTCACAGGCATCAGTGTCCAATAAGAAAGGCTTGCTGAAGTCTGGGTAGGCCAGGATTGGACTGGTGGTGAGGAATTTCTTCAACTGCCAGGTCACATTTAACCGTAGCTATAGGGGATAACACACAAAAAATCTGCTAAAAAATCGAATTTTCTTCAGAAATTTGGAGAATAGTTTCTGAACTTGAACTTGAAGAATGTAACCAAATCTGACAGAATTCGAGACGATTGAGGCAGAAATGGATCGGTGCTTGGATGTTTCTTGTGCGAGGCTCAGGCAATGAGATTGCGTTATGATAACGATGGTTAGGATGTGATACCCTACGCTTCATACACCTCGAAAACTGTAGTCTATCTAAAAATCAACCGTAGCTTTAGGGGATAACACACAAAAAATCTGCTAAAATTTCGAATTTTCTTCAGAAATTTAGAGAATAGTTTCTGAACTTGAACTTGAAGAATGTAACCAAATCTGACGGAATTCAAGACGATTGAGGCAGAAATGGATCGTATGTTTCTTGTGCGAGGCTCAGGCAATGAGATTGCGCTATGATAACGATGGTTAGGATGTGATACCCTACGCCTCATACACCTCGAAAACAGTAGTCTATCTAAAATCAACCGTAGCTATAGGGATAAAACACACAAAAAATCCGTTAAAATTTCGAATTTTCTTCAGAAATTCAGACAATTATTTTGGTACTTGAACTTGAAAAAAAAAGAAATCGGAGAAAAATTTGTGATGAAAACATATTTTAAAAATGCACATAAAAATTAAAAAAAAAATCACCGTCTTGAACTTGAATCAATTTAAACAAATCGTTCAGAAATTCGTGACGTGAATAAAAAATCTTCAGAAATGCACAATTTAAAAAAAAAAACACCGTTAAGACTTGGTGATGAACTTGAACTTGAACAAAAAAAGAAATCGGAGAAAAATTTGTGATGAAAAAAATATTTTAAAAATGCACATAAAATTTAAAAAAGAAAATCACCGTCAAGAACTGGTGATGAACTTGAACTTGAGTAAATTTAAACAAATCGTTAAGATTTCTTGATGTGTATCAAAAAAACTTCAGAAATGCACAATTAAAAAAAAAATATCACTATTAAGACTTGGTGATGAACTTGAACTTTAAATAAATTCTGAATATCGTTAAAGTGTATTACAAAAATTCTTCAGATATTTCATTTATATTTATTTAAAGAATTATTAAAACAATTGAAAAATAACGGGACTACCAAACAACAAAAAAAATTATTGGGAAAGATTTTTATTTCATTTATTTTTCTCTTTAACGAACAATTGTTTCACTTATATACACATCGAACCCAACAAGCAAGCGAGTCAAAAAATGTACATTGCAAAATTGGCTGAACGTTGAATAAAAAACGAGAATGCATTTGCACAGTTTTTGAACAATACGGAGTCTTCTTCATTTCAATAATATTCTACACATAATCAGTTTACCTAGTTTTACAGATATGTAACATTTGACGTAAAATTACTTGCAAAAGTATCTCCGTTTTCAAAACTGCAAAAACTACTACTTCGCAACAACTTTATCAATAAGGAAACCTTGACATAATTCTTTGATAGGTCAACTTTGATTGACCTTGAAAATACATCTTTTTGTCACATTTAACCTTATTTGCAAGTTTTATTTTCTATTTTGAGGTTTTGGTGCCTTCTCCGTTTTTATGCTAATGCAAAGTTTCATATTCATTAGAAAACCTGTGATGATTATAATGATGTGTCAGTACATGGCAGTAAGACAATGACCAACCCTTTCCCACAAATGTTTTCAATTAGCAAATTTTGTATGAATAATTTGAAAGAAAAAACCCTTAACTGAAACAGTGTCTTCCTGAAATGACATCACATTAACAGCGTTAGTCCGGAAAAGCATGGAAACTTTTAAATTTAAAGAAGTGCACATTTGCAAAATCAGATTAACACAAAGAGTGTTATTAAATGTGTAGTTTTCCTACATTTCACAAAGTTGCGCAAAAGAATTCCTCAGAAAAATTCATTGCACATACCCTTCAAGTAAGAAAGAAAGTCAGTCTACGGTTTGAAGTCATCAAATGATTTAAGCTTAGGAATACAGACACGTATGAAGTCTTAAAAGATGTTTGACAAAATGTGAAATATATTTGCCCATTAATGAAAACGAATGCCCGATCATCTTGAATTGAATGAACAACTCGATACTTTTAATATGAATGCATCTTTGATAGGGACGAGTGAAGCTAAAATGCGTTAGAATGCTTGTATAGTGAAATAGAATGAATCATTTTGATTGTCGAATGCCGATCTGCGTGATCTTCAATTTCAACCTAAATCGAATGAACCAGGCGTTAAATTGAAGATATTTCGTTTATGAGCAATTCAAAGAAAAATCTGCAACAATAGTTATTAACAAATATCTCAAACAATTTCACAGCCCTACTCAAATACGTCCGAGTACTGCAAAAAAGAAAGAAATCAAGTTTTGGGCTATAATGAGATCTTTCACATATCACCCAAATTACTTGGAGAAAATGACAACAACTACTCATTCTTCTCTTGTGATTGATAAAGTGTAAGTGAATCATGTTCTTGGCTATTATGTATCAGGATATTTGTCACACATCACTAAATCTCCAACTGCAGTCTTAGAACACCAGGCACTACTCATAAGATTCCTCTCTTATGATTGGTTGAAACAGGCACAAAGCAAATCAAGCTCTGGGTTATTAAAATTTGTATCACAATTCACTAAACCTCCAACTACATACTTAACAGGTTATTAGCTACTCATACGGTTCTCCTAAGATTGATCCAAAAAGTCCAAAACCAATCATGTCCCTGGCTATCAGATTTCTAAGCTATCAGTTGAACGCCAACTATAGAACAATAAACTTACATGTAGAGACAAAACTGTTACCTAACAATACGTTTCTTCTCGTATTTATGATATAAAAGAAATGACAAATTCAAGTTCTGGGCCATCAAAACATGTCACAAATCAAAAGACTTCCAAGCGGAATATTTTTCTTTTATGAAAACTCATGTTCTGGGGAATCAGATAGATCACACATCACTTAATCTCAAACCGAAGAATTAGAGGGAACAAGAAGCACTACTCTCTTATGATTGATCCAAACAGTCAAAAAGCAAATCAAGTTCTGGGCATTCAAGATTTCTGTCATTAATCAATAATAACCTTCAAGAGCAGACTCAGCAGGCCATTAGCTACTCCTCAGGTTCTTCTCTTATGATGAGTGATCAAAAGGTCCCAAAAAAGATATCACATTCCTGGCTATCAGATATTAGTTGAAACTTCAACTATAGACTTAAATGTAGGGACAAGGCAGTTAGCTACTTCCAATAAACCAATCACAGAATTAGATAGACCATACTACTTGTTCTTCTCTTATGAATGATCCAAAAGTAAAAGAAAACTCATGTTCTGGGGGTATCGGAGTTGTCGCACCTACATAAATCTCCATCTGCAGACTAAGAGAGATCAGGCACTACTTAAAAAATTCCTCTCTTAAGACTGATCGAAAAAGCATAAACCTATCAAGTTTCTTGTCACAAATCACTAAACCTCCAACTGGAGACTTAAAAAGACCAGTAACTACTCATTCTTCTCTTATGAATGATCCACAAAGTAAAAGAAAACTCATACTGGGGCATCAGATTTTATCACATTCACAGGAGGCCATTGGAAAGTGTATAAAAAAAAAAATTAAAAAAAAAATCTCGGGGATGTTCGGGGATGTGCTGCTATCACACTTTCGCAGACTGCTTTACCTGGCAGTTGATTTTTCCGTATGTGTCCCCCGAGGTGCTGGTAGATCGCCTGTTTCTCTTCTCCTGTCCATGGCTTACGTATTTTCAGACGCACTGTTTAAAATTCAAAACAGACAGACGTTTCTTGCACTGCAATCAAATACACGCCTTTCGGAGCATTCAAATCCACTTGAAATTGGGTGGGGCCAAAAAATTGGGTACTTTATGTCCTGTTTTTTTTTTTTTTAGGGGGGGATTTGAACAATTCTTTTCTTATTTTGTGGGCTTTCTGAGGATTGGAGCAATCTGAGGATTGGACTGCACACAAAAGGATGGGAAATTAAAATTATCCCCACCCAGTCATGCTTTTTTCATTAAAGTTTCTTATTTTGTCTGTGTTTTTGATTCTTGATTTTTTTTTCTCAGCAAAAGGGAAGGTGGAAGGAGGAGGCTTCATGGCCCCTGTTGCGCCCCCATCCCTACAACACTGCTTTGTGCTTTTGAAATTTTGTTGAATGTTATAAAAAATAAAAATGAAAAATGAAAGACCTGCAGTTGATGTGCTTGGCTTCCCCTTGAAAAACAACAACGTAGAAAGACCAGTGTTGTGAAGTGTGCACATGGTACAGTATTACATCAATACAAACAGGAAATGAAAGGTACAATAGGTTTCACACGACATACACGCGTAGTGCTCTGGGATATTGAAACCATCAGTAATTTGCAAACTAATTGCTTTGACTAAAATATTTGTAAATCTTCAAGTCATTTTTTAAAAATGTAGTAGCCATGACCTTTGTGCGACCATGACCTTTGTGCGACCATGACTACTAGGCTTTTTGGGCTCCATTTGTAACTTTTTAGCTGTCAAAGGAATGACATGAAAATAAATTGCTGGATTGGGGGAGGAAATACATGGAAATAAAGGGGAAACCAGCACACTTATTTTGGGTGTTTGGGCATCATTTTAGATTTTGTTTTTTTCATTGTGTTTTGGGGTTTTTTTTGGGGGGGGATCTGAAATTTCTATATCTGAGCTTTTGTGGCTTTGAAGGATGGGAAATGAAAATGTCTCTTTTTCGTGAAATTTCCAAAGCATTTCTTTTTTTCCTGTGTTTTTGCTTTTTTTTTCTTTCATTCTTGGCAGGGGGAGGGCTGGGAGGTTGGTCCCTTTTGCCCCCAGATCCTTCATTGGTAACATGCTTTCATGATTTTAAATTGTTTGCTTAACATTAATTAAAAAAAAAATAAAAAATTCCAAAAATACCGTACCCGCAGTTGACGTGCCTGGCCTTGCCCTTTAAAAAACACTTTTTAATGTAAATTTATTCACTTCTTCCCCCCACTTAGTTGTTTAAATAAGCAGGGGGGGGGGGGGAGGTGAATAAATTGTTAAAAAAGTTTTTGTAAAAGTTTATTTGAATACCCATTCAATTTGAATTGAATGGGTATTCAATTCAATTTTATAAAAGTGAACTCATCTACTTGTGAAAAATGAAGATCAGTAACAGATCCAAAGGAAAGAAAATAAGCAGAACATTACCTGCTGGGGCCGCGACTTCCTGCCACCTGATGACGGGTCTTTGCAAACATCTGAGTAAATTGAAACAAGTGAAGGCAAGAAATTTTGAATCGCAAAGTTTTTTTTACGTTTTCGGAAACATGTCTGATCTATTAGAAGAGAAATCATCACGTTTCCAAAATATATCACTCTCTCAGGAATAAATCAAATAAATACTGTTTTCGGTCAAGTGTCAAAACATATATATAATTTCAATTTTCCAGTGATTTTGTTTGAAACTTTTATTTTCTTTCAAACTTGATTCCAGCTATTAATGGTTTGCACCTCGTGTGAGTAGCACTAACTATTTCCTCATAATTATGGAATTGACACGTGATGTGGTGTGATGTTAGGCGATAGGCAGCAGCGATAGTGACTTGTGAATATGACTCATACATAAAGGGTTCACTGGTAACATCTCCCATGCGTAAGAACCACTAAATTGTCCCAGGTATTAGTTTATGACTATGTATTTTTGATGTTTTTAAACACAAGAGAATGTGGACATGTATAAACCTGCAACTGTAAATGTATAATGCGCCCCACACATACCTCAATTATTCTATGAAAATTAATCTGCAATCTCAATCTGATAACAAAATTATTTTACGTACCTGCATCCTCCTCTTCACTTGATGATTCATCAGCCAAACACCTTGAAATAGAATAAAAGTTGTCCTTCGGTATTAGTGGCATATAATACCCTTTGAACGCTCTTATTAAACATAATGTAGGAATAGACAGTGTTATTGGCGATGCCTTCGACTCTTTTTCAAAATTGAGAAAATTGAACTCATTATGGGATTGATCTTTGTTGTGGGAACAAGGGGATTTAGGAAAGTTATCAAATCCAGCAAAGATATCAGTGGGCATTGGAAGAATCATTCGAAGGAAGTAAAATGTGACCTGCTCGTACAAAAGATGATTCACCTTGGTTGAATGAAAAAAGGGCCCAAAATGCTGTGGGCTAATTTTTAACTTGATGATTTTTAAATCCAGAACATATAAATATAACTATAATAAAGTATCTTCGACGATTTGTTCAGATATCAGGTTCCTTTGTTGACATTTGATATTCTAAAACTGCCACTATGTCTGTTTTCCACTTTTCAACAGGACATGAACTTCAAAATAGCATCCTTCCCGAAATTATTTCAAGGTAAACGCAATAGGTTTGTGTAGTGGTCTGCCAAATAGTCCAAAGCCCCAATCTACCGGGGGTTATTGGTCCAAAAATAAACTAGGGTTCTTTTATTTCATCATTTAATACAACAGTGTTGAAGGTTCTTTAGTCCTAAATGTCATTACAGTCAAAAGCTTTGGTAGTCCAAATTTAGTCCAATTTATTACCTGAAGGACAGTAAACAATTCGGCTAATCCAAACCATTTTTGTGTGCAAATAATGCTTGTGAGTTTTGACAATGGAAGTTAAAAAAATATATTTTCTTTCTTCATTCTTCCGAAAGAAAATTCTTTTTTTTTACTATATCTTCATCATGTGAAGAGTAATAAGAAAACAAGTACACAATTTTGGAGTACTATTGGTAGAAAGAGCCGCCTACCACGCTGAGAACGCCAAAAAAGGGGGAAAGGAAAAACGATATGGGAATCTCAAAACAATACAAAAATGTAATATACTACACAAAATGCATTTAAGTATGCAATCAGACCACTAAACGGGTCGCAGTATCATGTTTTACTGTACCAACAACGATAAACCATACTTTTACACTTCATGCTCGCAAATTGGCATCGACCAGGAATGGCCGTGTAGAAAATTGCGGAACGAAGTCCGCTTAAATACGCAAACAGTACTCACGGGCGAGAGTCGCGCTGAGGGCAAGTGCCTAGTCTTAACCATGTGTGTGGCGCTAATGAGGGATCAAAATGAATCGCTATGGAAGCGAATGATGGGGTTTGGCAAAACACTGAACTTGTACCCAAGGAAGACGGACTGAATGAAATATTCATCCATCTCCAATCGACCACCCTACTATGGAAATGTATGCCATCTGGGCAAATGATTGGCCAGAAGGAAGACGTGGGCCAGTGTGGTACGACTTATGTGCCGGTGGCATTGTCAGAGAGAATTCTTTTGAAGACCTGTATAATCAAGGATACTGGAGGACAAAAATAATTAATTTCGCCCGACCAATTCTGAGAGAATGCATCGACTTCAGCCACGCCTTTACACCAAAACCTTGAGTTAAACCGCGTGAATTTAGCGTTATGGGTGATGGCGAAACGGTCAATAGTGCGAGGACCCCATAGACTATCTATAAACCGAAATGATCCCCGGTCGATAGACCAGTCGTCGAAGTCTTGAAATCGAATGATTTCATCGGCGAGTTTGTTCTCGTTTCAAGGTAGCCACTCGGGTAACAAGACGCAATTGAATTCGTCGGCCATGTGAAATATTGATTTTGCGAGTTCATGCAAGTTGGGTTTGGGGCTGCCACACTGAATGATAATTGGGACACTGGAATTGATGGTAAACCATTTGACGTTCTTGCCTGTCACTGCTGTTTGCAACTGCTTAAGTACGTGACTTACTGCGCTAGTTCGCGCCAAGTAGAACTTTTTCGTTGCTCTACTGGGGACCAGGTACCGTGTACTTAAAAGTAAGGGTGACCTTCGACGTAACCACCGTAGCCCGTGTTGCTTGCATCGGAATAGATAGTCAAAGAGTGGACTAGCCTGCCTCGTATGGTAAAACCATTCAGGGACTGTAATTGCGTGAGCCAGAATAATCTGAGTTCCGAAACGGCGTCAGCAGGGAGAACAAATTAATCGGGCCAAGAGTGACGCGAATCAATGGCGCAGTAGCAACAAACGTGTCTTAAATCTAGCGACTGGACCGAGTGCTAATGAGGATGAAATTATGTGACCGGTAAATCGCGCTAAGTCTCGTACGGGAATGGCTTGGTTGGACTGGTGGGAATCCAGCACGGATGAAATGAACGTGAGAATCTTGTGAATTTTGCTTTGTGGTACCTGAAAGCGAAATGCGTCGGAGTTGATGGTAAGACCCAAGTACTGAATTGTTTTAGTGGGTGACCAGACACATTTTGTTTTGCTAGGAACGAATCCGCTGCAGGTTATGAGGTTTCGCACAAAGGAAACATTGGCTGAAGCTGACTCAAAGTCGGGGGAGACAATGAGTCCGTCGTCGATGTACATATGGGCCACGATACCGTTTTGATGGCAATGGTGCACTATAGGCCTGTTTAATTTGGTGAATAAGTGACAGGCGCTACTTAAACCGAAAAGAAGAACAGTAAAGGTATAATATCGGGTGACTGAATCGTTATGATGCCAAGAGAAACCGAGATATTTTTGATGAGATGGGAAGATATCGACGTGATGGTAACCCAACTCAAGATCAAAAGAAAAGTAGTACTGATTGTAATCGAGTGACGGAGCGATGTGGTGGGATCTTCGTACTTGAATTTCTCTTTCCAAATGTACTTATTCCGGTGTCGTAGGTCAAGCACTAATCGCAACTTTTTACCTTCTGCGACAGTCAAAGGATTGCAGCAGTATGGGGTAACAGTGCATTGCGTGATACAATTCTTTGCGAGCAAATCCGCGATGGCAGTTTCCACAAATTGTGCATGGGATAGACTTGACTTATTGTTTGACAAAACAGCAAGAGGAGGAGTGACATAAAATGGAATCTTGTATCCATCTGAAATAACCTCTTGTACAAAAATACTACTCTTAAGTATGTCTCGCCAAAATAAGAAGCGAGGTTTCAGCTTACCCTTTACACCGGATGGGACAGGAGTAGTTGAGTCCTGCTCTTCCCAGTCCCTATGCTGTGGTGGTATCAGTGGCTGAAGGTTGTGACCGGCGCTGAGGCTGTCGGAGGGCCCGAAGAGAGGGGCAGTTGGATCGGATATGTCCTGCGATTCCGCACTGGAAACAGGACCGGAAATCTTGACGATATGTGTACCGGCTGTAGGTACGAAAAGAACTCGCAGCAGGGTAAGGACGTACAGGATTGCGAGCCTTGGCCTTGGACTTCTTAGCGGCTTCTGATTTCTTGCTGGTCGCCATTTTCTCCGCCTTTCTGAGTCGTTTCTCATCGTCCGAGTCGTCGGCTTAATTGTCGGTGACGTATTCTTTAACCGTGGCCCAACCTTGGGAAGAACGATCGGCCAACCTGATCAGCTTCTGCCGCTGTTTGATTTCTGTGCTGGCTTGCTTGAGGGCCTCTCTGGCTGCGTTGACGTCTCCGGCGTCTAACGATGCTAAGGCCGAGTCAATTAGGCTGGAGAGCTTTTCTTCGTGGCGAAACTGGTCCTTGTTACCGTCGCTTTTAAAGTCTGGTGGACTGCCAGCAAGGGTACGCTGCCTCTTAAAGGCTGAATCTACTTTACTGTCTATCGAGTTAGCCAACGATCTGATGGCCGATAGGTATCTCTTGATTTGCATTATCAGGTTAGGATTCATATTGCACGAACAAAATGCGTATGTCAGCGAGATAAGGTTGCTCAACCGAGAATGAAGTTGAATAGGCAACTTGGCGTTTATAAGAAATGGCGTCACAAAGAGTTACGTGACAAAGCGCGCAAGGAATTTGCGCACTGCACCTGTCTTGCGGTAACGTCACATTCATGAAGGGGCTATTTGAATAAGCACAAGGATCTGTATATATAAAACAATATTAAACGGCTTTAAATTGTGAAATGGAAGCTACTGTTTTTCACACAGGAAATTTAGAATTTCGTCGAGTCGACACTTTTTAATGTTAATTTGTTCCACTCCCCCCACTTATTTAAACAACTACCCCATTCAATTCAATTTTATAAAGTGAACTCATCTACTTGTGAAAAATGAAGATCAGTAACAGATCCAAAGGAAAGAAAATAAGCAGAACCTTACCTGCTGGGTGCCCAGCTTCCTGCCACCTGATGACGGGTCTTTGCAAACATCTGCGTAAATTGAAACAAATTAAGGCAAGAATTTATGAATCGCAAAGTTTTTTTTACATTTTCGGAAACATGTCTGATCTATTAGTGAAGAAATCATCACGTTTCCAAAATATATCACTCTCTCAGGAATGAATCAAATAAATACTGTTTTCGGTCAAGTGTCAAAACATATATATAATTTCAATTTTCCAGTGAGTTTGTTTGAAACTTTTATTTTCTTTCAAACTTGATTCCAGCTATTAATGGTTTGCACCTCGTGTGAGTAGCACTAACTATTTACTCATAATTATGGAATTGACACGTGATGTGGTGTGATGTTAGGCGATAGGCAGCAGCGATAGTGACTTGTGAATATGACTCATACATAAAGGGTTCACTGGTAACATCTCCCATGCGTACTACTGGTGCGTATCAAATTTCCACCAATAAATCCGCATGGGCATTTTCCCACAAAATTCCACATTTAGCGAGACACTAGCAGAGTGTTTTAAAACCTTGCTGAAAACACCCGCACATGGCAGCCTCTCGACTAATAGGAACCGCTAAACTGTCCCAGGTATTAGTTTATGGCTATGTATTTATGATGTTTTTAAACACAAGAGAATGTGGACATGTATAAACCTGCAACTGTAAATGTATAATGCGCCCCCCCCCCCCCACACATACCTCAATTATTCTATGAAAATTAATCTGCAATCTCAATCTGATAACAAAATTATTTTACGTACCTGCATCCTCCTCTTCACTTGATGATTCATCAGCCAAAACACCTTGAAATAGAATAAAAGTTGTCCTTTGGTATTAGTGGCATATAATACCCTTTGAAGGCTCTTATTAAACATAATGTAGGAATAGACAGTGGGCATTGGAAAGAATCATTCGAAGGAGGTAAAATGTGACCTTCTCGTACAAAAGATGATGCACCTTGGAACAGGTTGAATGGAAAAAGGGCCCAAAATGCTGTGGGCTAATTTTTAACTTGATGATTTTTAAATCCAGAACATATTAATATAACTATAATAAAGTATCTTCGACGATTTGTTCAGATATTAGGTCCCTTTGTGGACATTTGCTCTTCTAAAACTGGCACTTTCTCTGTTTTCCACTTTTCAACAGGACATGAACTTCAAAACAGCATTCTTCCCGAAATTATTCCAAGGTAAACACCATACATTTGTGTAGTGGTCTGCCAAATAGTCCAAAGCCCCAATCTACCGGGGGGGTTATTGGTCCAAAAATAAACTAGGGTTCTTTTATCTGATCATTTGATACAACAGTGTTTAAGGTTCTTTAGTCCTAAATTTCATTACAGTCAAAAGCTTTGGTAGTCCAAATTTAGTCCAATTAATTACCTGAAGGACCGATTGTCCAAATGGAAAACAAGGTTTCTACTGTCCAAAGACTAATTATTCTAAAATGAATTAGGGCCAATAAATAGAAATTTAAAATATCACTCTTTATTGCCTATTCAGATTGTTGAATCTTATCGTCACTCTAGACTACAAACTTTAGTGTCAATTTGGGCTTTTGAACACTTTTGTCATATTTCAAAATGAAACCACAATTTAAAAGGAAATTAACATATTTGCAATAATATGCAAATATCTCAGGTCCATCCATATTCCCAGAAAAGTCCCAGGTCACAGTACGAGAATCCTAATTAATGCACCTAATGGTTCCTTACCTTCCAAATCAATATCATCAAGTTTTCGGCCAGACAGTTTTGCTATCTTGCCTTTGTCTTCAGCAAGAAGTAGCTTGCTGACTTTCGCAAGCTCTAGTGTCGACTCGTGTTGGCGGTAGAAGTCCCTGTGGACAGTTATGTCGTGGCACAGGTGCCTTGCTAGCCAGTCGAGCGCATTGCTGTTTAGGTCTATAATCTGAGACACCGTTGCAACATACTTTCTCAGCTTTGTGCTCGTTTCTGCAGGAGGCTCTTGCAGATTAGCCTGCTTGGCAACAGCAGTTAGGCAATCCCATCCTCTCACTTGTTTCAAGGAGTTTCGGGGGCGAGCAAATATATAGGGATTCGCATTATGCGCCCCAACTGCTTCACGGTTTTCCATCAAGACTTCCACTGGTCAGAAGCACAGGCACTGCGCGACCTCTCTTTCCCCTTATCTGTACCAGGTCGAGTCTGTATACAAATCAAATGGCACCAGAAACAAATCAAATGGCACCAGAAAAAGAATGACTTAGTTGAATGACTAAACAAATATGATACAATAAGCAATACATCCGTTAACTAGAGGATAGTTCCAAATTCTGGTAAACCCAAAGAAACTCTTATCCCCTTCAATACAATAGGATAACATACACATGAATATTGCCAAATTAAACTAAAAATGCCTGTAACATTTAGGTTTAATTCAGCTACTCCCCCAAAAAAGAAACATTCCCATGTTTCAAACTGTCCAATACAATTAATACGTACTGAGCTTTCCCAGGTCAAACCTTTGCAATCAGATTCCTACCGAAGGCCAGTATTAACTTGTCACCCCTTACCACCATGGATATCTGATGATGGACCATTGCCGACGGAACATGCAAAATGGGCATGGCAGGTTATCTGAAGATTGGACCTCTTGACCGAAGGGAGGATTTCTGGCAACGATGATCTGACCCACACCAGTTGACAGCACCTCCATATTATGGTAGAAATTCCCTTTCAAACGGAGCCTCTCAAATTCAACAGTAGGTCGCCTGTTAGTTGACTTGGGCTCCTTGGCCTTGGCATGTTTTACCTCAGACTCATCAGCGTGCATATCTTTCATGTGCCTGGCTGCCTTGGAAACCATACTGCCACAAAAAAGGCATGCTTGCCGCTTCTCGTATATTCTAGCCTGCCCTTCGGTGCCTTGTTGAGCTCATCTATACAAACAACCAACAACAAAAAAGCATGAAGTCTTTTGAGTTGTTGTAGTTTATTGTAGTAACAGTGAGACATGTATGTCAATAACAAATGGTTAGTGACCAGTTACAGGACCATCACTGTGTGGACCCATGTAGTAAGACATATGCCAATAACAGACAGGTGTGTGACCAGTTACAGGACCATCACTGTGTGGACCCATGTAGTAAGACATATGCCAATAACAGACAGGTGTGTGACCAGTTACAGGACCATCACTGTGTGGAACCATGTAGTATGACATATGCCAATAACATACAGGTGTGTGACCAGTTACAGGACCATCACTATGTGGACCAATGTAGTAAGACATTTGCCAATAACAGACAGGTGTGTGACCAGTTACTGGACCATCACTGTGTGGACCCATGTATGCCAATAACAGACAGGTGTGTGACCAGATACTGGACCATCACTGTGTGGACCCATGTATTAAGACAAATGCCAATAACAGACAGGTGTGTGACCAGTTACTGGACCATCACTGTGTGGACCCATGTATGCCAATAACAGACAGGTGTGTGACCAGATACTGGACCATCACTGTGTGGACCCATGTATTAAGACAAATGCCAATAACAGACAGGTGTGTGACCAGTTACAGGACCATCACTGAGTGGACCCATGTAGTAAGACAAATGCCAATAACAGACAGGTGTGTGACCAGTTACAGCTAGGACCATCAGTGTGTGGCCCATGTAGTAAAACAAATGCCAATAACAGACAGGTGTGTGACCAGTTACAGGACCATCACTGTGTGGACCCATGTAGTAAGACATACGCCAATAACAGACAGGTGTGTGACCAGTTACAGGACCATCACTGTGTGGACCCATGTAGTAAGACATACGCCAATAACAGACAGGTGTGTGACCAGTTACAGGACCATCACTGTGTGGACCCATGTAGTAAGACATACGCCAATAACAGACAGGTGTGTGACCAGTTACAGGACCATCACTGTGTGGACCCATGTAGTAAGACAAATGCCAATAACAGACAGGTGTGTGACCAGTTAAAAGACCATCCTTGTGTGGGCCCATGTAGTAAGACAAATGCCAATAACAGACAGGTGTGTGACCAGTCACAGGACCATGACTGTGTGGACCCATGTAGTGAGACATATGCCAATAACAGACAGGAGTGTAAAAGAAAACTCATGTTCTGGGGGTATCGGAGTTGTCGCACCTACATAAATCTCCATCTGCAGACTTAGAGAGATCAGGCACTACTTAAAAAATTCCTCTCTTAAGACTGATCGAAAAAGCATAAACCTATCAAGTTTCTTGTCACAAATCACTAAACCTCCAACTGGAGACTTAAAAAGACCAGTAACTACTCATTCTTCTCTTATGAATGATCCACAAAGTAAAAGAAAACTCATACTGGGGCATCAGATTTTATCACATTCACAGGAGGCCATTGGAAAGTATAAAAAAAAAAAAAAAAAAAAAAAATCGGGGATGTTCGGGGATGTGCTGCTATCACACTTTCGCAGACTGCTTTACCTGGCAGTTGATTTTTCCGTATGTGTCCCCCGAGGTGCTGGTAGATCGCCTGTTTCTCTTCTCCTGTCCATGGCTTACGTATTTTCAGACGCACTGTTTAAAATTCAAAACAGACAGACGTTTCTGCACTGCAATCAAATACACGCCTTTCGGAGCATTCAAATCCACTTGAAATTGGGTGGGGCCAAAAAATTGGGTACTTTATGTCCTTTTTTTTTTTTTTTAGGGGGGGGGGGATTTGAACAATTCTTTTCTTATTTTGTGGGCTTTCTGAGGATTGGAGCAATCTGAGGATTGGACTGCACACAAAAGGATGGGAAATTAAAATTATCCCCACCCAGTCATGCTTTTTTCATTTTGTCTGTGTTTTTGATTCTTGATTTTTTTTTTCTCAGCAAAAGGGAAGGTTGAAGGAGGAGGTTTCATGGCCCCTGCTGCGCCCCCATCCCTACAACACATTGCTTTGTGCTTTTGAAATTTTGTTTAATGTTATAAAAAATAAAAATGAAAAATGAAAGACCTGCAGTTGATGTGCTTGGCTTCCCCTTAAAAAACAACAACGTAGAAAGACCAGTGTTGTGAAGTGTGCACACGGTACCGTTATTACATCAATACAAACAGGAAATGAAAGGTACAATAGGTTTCACACGACATACATGCGTAGTGCTCTGGGATATTGAAACCATCAGTAATTTGCAAACTAATTGCTTTGACTCAAATATTTGTAAATCTTCAAGTCATTTTTTAAAAATGTAGTAGCCATGACCTTTGTGCGACCATGACTACTAGGCTTTTTGGGCTCCATTTGTAACTTTTTAGCTGTCAAAGGAATGACATGAAAATAAATTGCTGGATTGGGGGAGGAAATACATGGAAATCAAGGGGAAACCAGCACACTTATTTTGGGTGTTTGGGCATCAATTTTAGATTTTGTTTTTTTCATTGTGTTTTGGGGTTTTTTTGGGGGGGGGGGGATCTGAAATTTCTATATCTGAGCTTTGTGGCTTTGAAGGATGGGAAATGAAAATGTCTCTTTTTCGTGAAATTTCCAAAGCATTTCTTTTTTTCCTGTGTTTTTGCTTTTTTTCTTTCATTCTTGGCAGGGGGAGGGCTGGGAGGTTGGTCCCTTTTGCCCCCAGATCCTTCATTGGTAACATGCTTTCATGATTTTAAATTGTTTGCTTAACATTAATTTAAAAAAAAAAAAAAAAATTCCAAAAATACCGTACCCGCAGTTGACGTGCCTCGCTTGCCCTTTAAAAAACACTTTTTAATGTAAATTTATTCACTTCTTCCCCCCACTTAGTTGTTTAAATAAGCAGGGGGGGGGGGGAAGAAGTGAATAAATTGTTTAAAAAGTTTTTGTAAAAGTTTAATTGAATACCCATTCAATTTGAATTGAATGGGTATTCAATTCAATTTTATAAAAGTGAACTCATCTACTTGTGAAAAATGAAGATCAGTAACAGATCCAAAGGAAAGAAAATAAGCAGAACCTTACCTGCTGGGCGCCCAGCTTCCTGCCACCTGATGACGGGTCTTTGCAATATCTGAGTAAATTGAAACAAATTAAGGCAAGAAATTTTGAATCACAAAGTTTTTTTTACGTTTTCGGAAACATGTCTGATCTATTAGTGAAGAAATCATCACATTTCCAAAATATATCACTCTCTCAGGAATAAATCAAATAAATACCGTTTTCGGTCAAGTGTCAAAACATATATATAATTTCAATTTTCCAGTTTATGACAATGTATTTTTGATGTTTTTAAACACAAGAGAATGTGGACATGTATAAACCTGCAACTGTAAATGTATAATGCGCCCCACACATACCTCAATTATTCTATGAAAATTAATCTGCAATCTCAATCTGATAACAAAATTATTTTACGTACCTGCATCCTCCTCTTCACTTGATGATTCATCAGCCAAAACACCTTGAAATAGAATAAAAGTTGTCCTTCGTATTAGTGGCATATAATACCCTTTGAACGCTCTTATTAAACATAATGTAGGAATAGACAGTGTTATTGGCGATGCCTTTGACTCTTTTTCAAAATTGAGAAAATTGAACTCATAATGGGATTGATCTTTGTTGTGGGAACAAGGGGATTTAGGAAAGTTATCAAATCCAGCAAAGATATCAGTGGGCATTGGAAGAATCATTCAAAGGAAGTAAAATGTGACCTGCTCGTACAAAAGATGATGCACCTTGGTTGAATGGGAAAAGGGCCCAAAATGCTGTGGGCTAATTTTTAACTTGATGATTTTTAAATCCAGAACATATAAATATAACTATAATAAAGTATCTTCGACGATTTGTTCAGATATCAGGTTCCTTTGTTGACATTTGATATTTTAAAACTGCCACTATGTCTGTTTTCCACTTTTCAACAGGACATGAACTTCAAAATAGCATCCTTCACGAAATTATTTCAAGGTAAACGCAATAGGTTTGTGTAGTGGTCTGCCAAATAGTCCAAAGCCCCAATCTACCGGGGGTTATTGGTCCAAAAATAAACTAGGGTTCTTTTATTTCATCATTTGATACAACAGTGTTTTGGTTTTGGTAGTCCAAATTTAGTCCAATTAATTACCTGAAGGACAGTAAACAATTTGGCTAATCCAAACCATTTTTGTGTGCAAATAATGCTTGTGAGTTTTGGCAATGGAAGTTAAAAAAAATACATTTTCTTTCTTCATTCTTCCGAAAGAAAATTCTTTTTTTTACTATACATGTATCTTCATCATGTGAAGAGTAATAAGAACACAAGTACACAATTTTGGAGTACTATTGGTAGAAAGAGCCGCCTACCACACTGAGAACGCCAAAAAAGGGGGAAAGGAAAAACGATATGGGAATCTCAAAACAATACAAAAATGTAATATACTACACAAAATGCATTAAGTATGCAATCAGACCACTAAACGGGTCGCAGTATCATGTTTTACTGTACCAACAACGATAAACCATACTTTTACACTTCATGCTCGCAAATTGGCATCGACCAGGAATGGCCGGGTACAAAATTGCGGAACGAAGTCCGCTTAAATACGCAAACAGTACTCACGGGTGAGAGTCGCGCTGAGGGCAAGTGCCTAGTCTTAACCATGTGTGTGGCGCTAATGAGGGATCAAAATGAATTGCTATGGAAGCGAATGATGGGGTTTGGCAAAACACTGAACTTGTACCCAAGGAAGACGGACTGAATGAAATATTCATCCATCTCCAATCGACCACCCTACTATGGAAATGTATGCCATCTGGGCAAATGATTGGCCAGAAGGAAGACGTGGGCCAGTGTGGTACGACTTATGTGCCGGTGGCATTGTCAGAGAGAATTCTTTTGAAGACCTGTATAATCAAGGATACTGGAGGACAAAAATAATTATTTTCGCCCGACCAATTCTGAGAGAATGCATCGACTTCAGCCACGCCTTTACACCAAAACCTGGAGTTAAACCGCGTGAATTTAGCGTTATGAGGTGATGGCGAAACGGTCAATAGTGCGAGGACCCCATAGACTATCTATAAACCGAAATGATCCCCGGTCGATAGACCAGTCGTCGAAGTCTCGAAATCGACTGATTTCATCGGCGAGTTTGTTCTCGTTTCTAGGTACCCACTCAGGTAACAAGGCCATGTGAAATATTGATTTTGCGAGTTCATGCAAGTTGGGTTTGGGGCTGCCACACTGAATGATAATTGGGACACTGGAATTGTCGGTAAACCATTTGACGTTCTGGCCTGTCACTGCTTTTTGCAACTGCTTAAGTACGTGACTTACTGCGGCTAGTTCGCGCCAAGTAGAACTTTTTCGTTGCTCTACTGGGGACCAGGTACCGTGTACTTAAAAGTAAGGGTGACCTTCGACGTAACCACCGTAGCCCGTGTCGCTTGCATCGGAATAGATAGTCAAAGAGTGGACTAAGCCTGCCTCGTATGGTAAAACCATTCAGGGACTGTAATTGCGTGAGCCAGAATAATCTGAGTTCCGAAACGGCGTCAGCAGGGAGAACAAATTAATCGGACCAAGAGTGACGCGAATCAATGGCGTGGTAGCAACAACGTGTCTTAAATCTAGCGACTGGACCGAGTGCTAATGAGGATGAAATTATGTGACCGGTAAATCGCGCTAAGTCTCGTACGGGAATGGCTTGGTTGGACTGGTGGGAATCCAGCACGGATGAAATGAACGTGAGAATCTTGTGAATTTTGCTTTGTGGTACCTGAAAGCGAAATGCGTCGGAGTTGATGGTAAGACCCAAGTACTGAATTGTTTTAGTGGGTGACCAGACACATTTTGTTTTGCTAGGAACGAATCCGCTGCAGGTTATGAGGTTGCGCACAAAGGAAACATTGGCTGAAGCTGACTCAAAGTCGGGGGAGACAATGAGTCCGTCGTCGATGTACATAAAGGCCACGATACCGTTTTGACGGCAATGGTGCAACTATAGGCCTGTTTAATTTGGTGAATAAGTGACAGGCGCTACTTAAACCGAAAAGAAGAACAGTAAAGGTATAATATCGGGTGACTGAATCGTTATGATGCCAAGAGAAACCGAGATATTTTTGATGAGATGGGAAGATATCGACATGATGGTAACCCAACTCAAGATCAAAAGAAAAGTAGTACTGATTGTAATCGAGTGACGGAGCGATGTGGTGGGATCTTCGTACTTGAATTTCTCTTTCCAAATGTACTTATTCCGGTGTCGTAGGTCAAGCACTAATCGCAACTTTTTACCTTCTGCGACAGTCAAAGGATTGCAGCAGTATGGGGTAACAGTGCCTTGCGTGATACAATTCTTTGCGAGCAAATCCGCGATGGCAGTTTCCACAAATTGTGCATGGGATAGACTTGACTTATTGTTTGACAAAACAGCAAGAGGAGGAGTGACATAAAATGGAATCTTGTATCCATCTGAAATAACCTCTTGTACAAAAATACTACACTTAAGTATGTCTCGCCAAAATAAGAAGCGAGGTTTCAGCTTACCCTTTACACCGGATGGGACAGGAGTAGTTGAGACCTGCTCTTCCCAGTCCCTATGCTGTGGTGGTATCAGTGGCTGAAGGTTGTGACCGGCGCTGAGGCTGTTGGAGGGCCCGAAGAGAGGGGCAGTTGGATCGGATATGTCCTGCGATTCCGCACTGGAAACAGGACCGGAAATCTTGACGATATGTGTACCGGCTGTAGGTACGAAAAGAACTCGCAGCAGGGTAAGGACGTACAGGATTGCGAGCCTTGGCCTTGGACTTCTTAGCGGCTTCTGATTTCTTGCTGGTCGCCATTTTCTCCGCCTTTCTAAGTCGTTTCTCATCGTCCGAGTCGTCGGCTTAATTGTCGGTGACGTATTCTTTAACCGTGGCCCAACCTTGGGAAGAACGATCGGCCAACCTGATCAGCTTCTGCCGCTGTTTGATTTCTGTGCTGGCTTGCTTGAGGGCCTCTCTGGCTGCGTTGACGTCTCCGGCGTCTAACGATGCTAAGGCCGAGTCAATTAGGCTGGAGAGCTTTTCTTCGTGGCGAAACTGGTCCTTGTTACCGTCGCTTTTAAAGTCTGGTGGACTGTCGGCAAGGGTACGCTGCCTCTTAAAGGCTGAATCTACTTTACTGTCTATCGAGTTAGCCAACGATCTGATGGCCGATAGTATCTCTTGATTTGCATTATCAGGTTAGGATTCATATTGCACGGAGAACAAAATGCGTATGTCAGCGAGATAAGGTTGCTCAACCGAGAATGAAGTTGAATAGGCAACTTGGCGTTTATAAGAAATGGCGTCACAAAGAGTTACGTGACAAAGCGCGCAAGGAATTTGCGCACTGCACCTGTCTTGCGGTAACGTCACATTCATGAAGGGGCTATTTGAATAAGCACAAGGATCTGTATATATAAAACAATATTAAACGGCTTTAAATTGTGAAATGGAAGCTACTGTTTTTCACACTGGAAATTTAGAATTTCGTCGAGTCGACACTTTTTAATGTTAATTTATTCCACTCCCCCCACTTATTTAAACAACTACCCCATTCAATTCAATTTTATAAAGTGAACTCATCTACTTGTGAAAAATGAAGATCAGTGACAGATCCAAAGGAAAGAAAATAAGCAGAACCTTACCTGCTGAGTGCCCAGCTTCCTGCCACCTGATGACGGGTCTTTGCAAACATCTGCGTAAATTGAAACAAATTAAGGCAAGAATTTATGAATCGCAAAGTTTTTTTTACATTTTCGGAAACATGTCTGATCTATTAGTGAAGAAATCATCACGTTTCCAAAATATATCACTCTCTCAGGAATAAATCAAATAAATACTGTTTTCGGTCAAGTGTCAAAACATATATATAATTTCAATTTTCCAGTGATTTTGTTTGAAACTTTAATTTTTTTTCAAACTTGATTCCAGCTATTAATGGTTTGCACCTCATGTGAGTACTGAGTAGCACTAACTATTTACTCATAATTATGGAATTGACACGTGATGTGGTGTGATGTTAGGCGATAGGCAGCAGCGATAGTGACTTGTGAATATGACTCATACATAAAAGGATTCACTGGTAACATCTCCCATGCGTACTACTGGTGCGTGTCAAATTTCAACCAATAAATCCGTATGGGCATTTTCCCACAAAATTCCACATTTAGCGAGACACTAGGCAGAGTGTTTTAAAACCTTGCTGAAAACACCCGCACATGGCAGCCTCTCGACTAATAGGAACCGCTAAACTGTCCCAGGTATTAGTTTATGGCTATGTATTTATGATGTTTTTAAACACAAGAGAATGTGGACATGTATAAACCTGCAACTTTAAATGTATAATGCGCCCCCCCCCCCCACACATACCTCAATTATTCTATGAAAATTAATCTGCAATCTCAATCTGATAACAAAATTATTTTACGTACCTGCATCCTCCTCTTCACTTGATGATTCATCAGCCAAAACACCTTGAAATAGAATAAAAGTTGTCCTTTGGTATTAGTGGCATATAATACCCTTTGAAGGCTCTTATTAAACATAATGTAGGAATAGACAGTGGGCATTGGAAAGAATCATTCGAAGGAAGTAAAATGTGACCTTCTCGTACAAAAGATGATGCACCTTGGTACAGGTTGAATGGAAAAAGGGCCCAAAATGCTGTGGGCTAATTTTTAACTTGATGATTTTTAAATCCAGAACATATTAATATAACTATAATAAAGTATCTTCGACGATTTGTTCAGATATAAGGTCCCTTTGTGGACATTTGCTCTTCTAAAACTGGCACTTTCTCTGTTTTCAAATTTTCAACAGGACATGAACTTCAAAACAGCATTCTTCCCGAAATTATTCCAAGGTAAACACCATACATTTGTGTAGTGGTCTGCCAAATAGTCCAAAGCCCCAATCTACCGGGGGTTATTGGTCCAAAAATAAACTAAGGTTCTTTTATCTGATCATTTGATACAACAGTGTTTAAGGTTCTTTAGTCCTAAATTTCATTACAGTCAAAAGCTTTGGTAGTCCAAATTTAGTCCAATTAATTACCTGAAGGACTGATTGTCCAAATGGAAAACAAGGTTTCTACTGTCCAAAGACTAATTATTCTAAAATGAATTAGGGCCAATAAATAGAAATTTAAAATATCACTTTTTATTGCCTATTCAGATTGTTGAATCTTATCGTCACTCTGGACTACAAACTTTAGTGTCAATTTGGGCTTTTGAACACTTTTGTCATATTTCAAAATGAAACCACAATTTAAAAGGAAATTAACATATTTGCAATAATATGCAAATATCTCAGGTCCATCCATATTCCCAGAAAAGTCCCAGGTCACAGTACGAGAATCCTAATTAATGCACCTAATGGTTCTTTACCTTCCAAATCAATATCATCAAGTTTTCGGCCAGACAGTTTTGCTATCTTGCCTTTGTCTACAGCAAGAAGTAGCTTGCTGACTTTCGCAAGCTCTAGTGTCGACTCGTGTTGGCGGTAGAAGTCCCTGTGGACAGTTATGTCGTGGCACAGGTGCCTTGCTAGCCAGTCGAGCGCATTGCTGTTTAGGTCTAATAATCTGAGACACCGTTGCAACATACTTTCTCAGCTTTGTGCTCGTTTCTGCAGGAGGCTCTTGCAGATTAGCCTGCTTGGCAACAGCAGTTAGGCAATCCCATCCTCTCACTTGTTTCAAGGAGTTTCGGGTGCGAGCAAATATATAGGGATTCGAATTATGCGCCCCAACTGCTTCACGGTTTTCCATCAAGACTTCCACTGGTCAGAAGCACAGGCACTGCGCGACCTCTCTTTCCCCTTATCTGTACCAGGTCGAGTCTGTATACAAATCAAATGGCACCAGAAACAAATCAAATGGCACCAGAAAAAGAATGACTTAGTTGAATGACTAAACAAATATGATACAATAAGCAATACATCCGTTAACTAGAGGATAGTTCCAAATTCTGGTAAACCCAAAGAAACTCTTATCCCCTTCAATACAATGGGATAACATACACATGAATATTGCCAAATTAAACTAAAAATGCCTGAAACATTTAGGTTTAATTCAGCTACTCCCCCAAAAAAGAAACATTCCCATGTTTCAAACTGTCCAATACAATTAATACGTACTGAGCTTTCCCAGGTCAAACCTTTGCAATCAGATTCCTACCGAAGGCCAGTATTAACTTGTCACCCCTTACCACCATGGATATCTGATGATGGACCATTGCCGACAGAACATGCAAAATGGGCATGGCAGGTTATCTGAAGATTGGACCTCTTGACCGAAGGGAGGATTTCTGGCAACGATGATCTGACCCACACCAGATGACAGCACCTCCATATTTATGGTAGAAATTCCCTTTCAAACGGAGCCTCTCAAATTCAACAGTAGGTCGCCTGTTAGTTGACTTGGGCTCCTTGGCCTTGGCATGTTTCACCTCAGACTCATCAGCGTGCATATCTTTCATGTGCCTGGCTGCCTTGGAAACCATACTGCCACAAAAAAGGCATGCTTGCCGCTTCTCGTATATTCTAGCCTGCCCTTCGGTGCCTTGTTGAGCTCATCTATACAAACAACCAACAACAAAAAGCATGAAGTCTTCGGAGTTGTTGTTGTTTATTGTAGTAACAGTGAGACATGTATGTCAATAACAAATGGTTAGTGACCAGTTACAGGACCATCACTGTGTGGACCCATGTAGTAAGACATATGCCAATAACAGACAGGTGTGTGACCAGTCACAGGACCATCACTGTGTGGACCCATGTAGTAAGAAATATGCCAATAACAGACAGGTGTGTGACCAGTCACAGGACCATCACTGTGTGGACCCATGTAGTAAGAAATATGCCAATAACAGACAGGTGTGTGACCAGTCACAGGACCATCACTGTGTGGACCCATGTAGTCAGACATACGCCAATAACAGACAGGTGTGTGACCAGTTACAGGACCATCACTGTGTGGACCCATGTAGTAAGACATATGCCAATAACAGACAGGTGTGTGACCAGTTACTGGACCATCACTGTGTGGACCCATGTAGTAAGACATATGCCAATAACAGACAGGTGTGTGACCAGTTACAGGACCATCACTGTGTGGACCCATGTAGTAAGACAAATGCCAATAACAGACAGGTGTGTGACCAGTTACAGGACCATCACTGTGTGGACCCATGTAGTAAGACATATGCCAATAACAGACAGGTGTGTGATCAGTTACAGGACCATCACTGTGTGGACCCATGTAGTAAGACATATGCCAATAACAGACAGGTGTGTGACCAGTCACAGGACCATCACTGTGTGGACCCATGTAGTAAGACATATGCCAATAACAGACAGGTGTGTGACCAGTCACAGGACCATCACTGTGTGGACCCATGTAGTAAGACATATGCCAATAACAGACAGGTGTGTGACCAGTTACAGGACCAGCACTGTGTGGACCCATGTAGTAAGACATATGCCAATAACAGACAGGTGTGTGACCAGTTACAGGACCAGCACTGTGTGGACCCATGTAGTAAGACATATGCCAATAACAGACAGGTGTGTGACCAGTTACAGGACCATCACTGTGTGGCCCATGTAGTAAGACAAATGCCAATAACAGACAGGTGTGTGACCAGTCACAGGACCATCACCGTGTGGAACCATGTAGTAAGACATATGCCAAAAACAGACAGGTGTGTGATCAGTCACAGGACCATCACTGTGTGGACCCATGTAGTAAGACATACGCCAATAACAGACAGGTGTGTTACCAGTTACAGGACCATCACTGTGTGGACCCATGTAGTAAGACATATGCCAATAACAGACAAGTGTGTGACCAGTCACAGGACCATCACTGTGTGGACCCATGTAGTAAGACATACGCCAATAACAGACAGGTGTGTGACCAGTCACAGGACCATCACTGTGTGGACCCATGTAGTAAGACATATGCCAATAGGAACCGCTAAACTGTCCCAGGTATTAGTTTATGGCTATGTATTTATGATGTTTTTAAACACAAGAGAATGTGGACATGTATAAACCTGCAACTTTAAATGTATAATGCGCCCCCCCCCCCCACACATACCTCAATTATTCTATGAAAATTAATCTGCAATCTCAATCTGATAACAAAATTATTTTACGTACCTGCATCCTCCTCTTCACTTGATGATTCATCAGCCAAAACACCTTGAAATAGAATAAAAGTTGTCCTTTGGTATTAGTGGCATATAATACCCTTTGAAGGCTCTTATTAAACATAATGTAGGAATAGACAGTGGGCATTGGAAAGAATCATTCGAAGGAAGTAAAATGTGACCTTCTCGTACAAAAGATGATGCACCTTGGTACAGGTTGAATGGAAAAAGGGCCCAAAATGCTGTGGGCTAATTTTTAACTTGATGATTTTTAAATCCAGAACATATTAATATAACTATAATAAAGTATCTTCGACGATTTGTTCAGATATAAGGTCCCTTTGTGGACATTTGCTCTTCTAAAACTGGCACTTTCTCTGTTTTCAAATTTTCAACAGGACATGAACTTCAAAACAGCATTCTTCCCGAAATTATTCCAAGGTAAACACCATACATTTGTGTAGTGGTCTGCCAAATAGTCCAAAGCCCCAATCTACCGGGGGTTATTGGTCCAAAAATAAACTAAGGTTCTTTTATCTGATCATTTGATACAACAGTGTTTAAGGTTCTTTAGTCCTAAATTTCATTACAGTCAAAAGCTTTGGTAGTCCAAATTTAGTCCAATTAATTACCTGAAGGACTGATTGTCCAAATGGAAAACAAGGTTTCTACTGTCCAAAGACTAATTATTCTAAAATGAATTAGGGCCAATAAATAGAAATTTAAAATATCACTTTTTATTGCCTATTCAGATTGTTGAATCTTATCGTCACTCTGGACTACAAACTTTAGTGTCAATTTGGGCTTTTGAACACTTTTGTCATATTTCAAAATGAAACCACAATTTAAAAGGAAATTAACATATTTGCAATAATATGCAAATATCTCAGGTCCATCCATATTCCCAGAAAAGTCCCAGGTCACAGTACGAGAATCCTAATTAATGCACCTAATGGTTCTTTACCTTCCAAATCAATATCATCAAGTTTTCGGCCAGACAGTTTTGCTATCTTGCCTTTGTCTACAGCAAGAAGTAGCTTGCTGACTTTCGCAAGCTCTAGTGTCGACTCGTGTTGGCGGTAGAAGTCCCTGTGGACAGTTATGTCGTGGCACAGGTGCCTTGCTAGCCAGTCGAGCGCATTGCTGTTTAGGTCTAATAATCTGAGACACCGTTGCAACATACTTTCTCAGCTTTGTGCTCGTTTCTGCAGGAGGCTCTTGCAGATTAGCCTGCTTGGCAACAGCAGTTAGGCAATCCCATCCTCTCACTTGTTTCAAGGAGTTTCGGGTGCGAGCAAATATATAGGGATTCGAATTATGCGCCCCAACTGCTTCACGGTTTTCCATCAAGACTTCCACTGGTCAGAAGCACAGGCACTGCGCGACCTCTCTTTCCCCTTATCTGTACCAGGTCGAGTCTGTATACAAATCAAATGGCACCAGAAACAAATCAAATGGCACCAGAAAAAGAATGACTTAGTTGAATGACTAAACAAATATGATACAATAAGCAATACATCCGTTAACTAGAGGATAGTTCCAAATTCTGGTAAACCCAAAGAAACTCTTATCCCCTTCAATACAATGGGATAACATACACATGAATATTGCCAAATTAAACTAAAAATGCCTGAAACATTTAGGTTTAATTCAGCTACTCCCCCAAAAAAGAAACATTCCCATGTTTCAAACTGTCCAATACAATTAATACGTACTGAGCTTTCCCAGGTCAAACCTTTGCAATCAGATTCCTACCGAAGGCCAGTATTAACTTGTCACCCCTTACCACCATGGATATCTGATGATGGACCATTGCCGACAGAACATGCAAAATGGGCATGGCAGGTTATCTGAAGATTGGACCTCTTGACCGAAGGGAGGATTTCTGGCAACGATGATCTGACCCACACCAGATGACAGCACCTCCATATTTATGGTAGAAATTCCCTTTCAAACGGAGCCTCTCAAATTCAACAGTAGGTCGCCTGTTAGTTGACTTGGGCTCCTTGGCCTTGGCATGTTTCACCTCAGACTCATCAGCGTGCATATCTTTCATGTGCCTGGCTGCCTTGGAAACCATACTGCCACAAAAAAGGCATGCTTGCCGCTTCTCGTATATTCTAGCCTGCCCTTCGGTGCCTTGTTGAGCTCATCTATACAAACAACCAACAACAAAAAGCATGAAGTCTTCGGAGTTGTTGTTGTTTATTGTAGTAACAGTGAGACATGTATGTCAATAACAAATGGTTAGTGACCAGTTACAGGACCATCACTGTGTGGACCCATGTAGTAAGACATATGCCAATAACAGACAGGTGTGTGACCAGTCACAGGACCATCACTGTGTGGACCCATGTAGTAAGAAATATGCCAATAACAGACAGGTGTGTGACCAGTCACAGGACCATCACTGTGTGGACCCATGTAGTAAGAAATATGCCAATAACAGACAGGTGTGTGACCAGTCACAGGACCATCACTGTGTGGACCCATGTAGTCAGACATACGCCAATAACAGACAGGTGTGTGACCAGTTACAGGACCATCACTGTGTGGACCCATGTAGTAAGACATATGCCAATAACAGACAGGTGTGTGACCAGTTACTGGACCATCACTGTGTGGACCCATGTAGTAAGACATATGCCAATAACAGACAGGTGTGTGACCAGTTACAGGACCATCACTGTGTGGACCCATGTAGTAAGACAAATGCCAATAACAGACAGGTGTGTGACCAGTTACAGGACCATCACTGTGTGGACCCATGTAGTAAGACATATGCCAATAACAGACAGGTGTGTGATCAGTTACAGGACCATCACTGTGTGGACCCATGTAGTAAGACATATGCCAATAACAGACAGGTGTGTGACCAGTCACAGGACCATCACTGTGTGGACCCATGTAGTAAGACATATGCCAATAACAGACAGGTGTGTGACCAGTCACAGGACCATCACTGTGTGGACCCATGTAGTAAGACATATGCCAATAACAGACAGGTGTGTGACCAGTTACAGGACCAGCACTGTGTGGACCCATGTAGTAAGACATATGCCAATAACAGACAGGTGTGTGACCAGTTACAGGACCAGCACTGTGTGGACCCATGTAGTAAGACATATGCCAATAACAGACAGGTGTGTGACCAGTTACAGGACCATCACTGTGTGGCCCATGTAGTAAGACAAATGCCAATAACAGACAGGTGTGTGACCAGTCACAGGACCATCACCGTGTGGAACCATGTAGTAAGACATATGCCAAAAACAGACAGGTGTGTGATCAGTCACAGGACCATCACTGTGTGGACCCATGTAGTAAGACATACGCCAATAACAGACAGGTGTGTTACCAGTTACAGGACCATCACTGTGTGGACCCATGTAGTAAGACATATGCCAATAACAGACAAGTGTGTGACCAGTCACAGGACCATCACTGTGTGGACCCATGTAGTAAGACATACGCCAATAACAGACAGGTGTGTGACCAGTCACAGGACCATCACTGTGTGGACCCATGTAGTAAGACATATGCCAATAACAGACAGGTGTGTGACCAGTCACAGGACCATCACTGTGTGGACCCATGTAGTAAGACAAACGCCAATAACAGACAGGTGTGTGATCAGTCACAGGACCATCACTGTGTGGACCCATGTAGTAAGACATACGCCAATAACAGACAGGTGTGTGACCAGTCACAGGACCATCACTGTGTGGACCCATGTAGTAAGACATACGCCAATAACAGACAGGTGTGTGATCAGTCACAGGACCATCACTGTGTGGACCCATCTAGTAAGACATATGCCAATAACAGACAGGTGTGTGACCAGTTACAGGACCATCACTGTGTGGACCCATGTAGTAAGACATATGCCAATAACAGACAGGTGTGTGACCAGTTACAGGACCATCACTGTGTGGCCCATGTAGTAAGACAAATGCCAATAACAGACAGGTGTGTGACCAGTCACAGGACCATCACCGTGTGGACCCATGTAGTAAGACAAATGCCAATAACAGACAGGTGTGTGACCAGTTACAGGACCATCATTGTGTGGAACCATGTAGTAAGACATATGCCAATAACAGACAGGTGTGTGATCAGTCACAGGACCATCACTGTGTGGACCCATGTAGTAAGACATATGCCAATAACAGTTTGGAGCGCTTAGCCATAGGGCCTTCACCGTGAAGTTGATCCTGCTTGTGTTACATATAATTCCATTTTTCTTAGATGATCAAGTTAAAAATAATACAAAGGGCTCAATTGCATACTGAAAGAAACCTAGGAATTAGAGTTCGACCGGGTAGTGACGGAAACCTATTATGAATGTCAAAGATAACGTTACATGACAAACAATTAGGGTGAGAGTTAACTGTTTGTTATTCTGTTTTATCTCATTTCTGAGCTAGGGACTTGGTACACTTTGAAGATCCAGTGATAAGTTTCCATTAATCTTAATGCAACATATCTGAAAAAGGACTTCCCTTAACCGAATTATCAGATTGCAGAAGCATGCATTTAGTGTTTTCCTTCATTGTGCAACCATAAGCTGTAACTAGCAAATGCATTTACAGCACAACTCTTTTCAATCAGACCTGACTGTATTATGCAGTTAACAACGTTACAAGCACTAACCTGTTCCTTCAGATTTGGCACTGGTAGACCAGGAGCTGTTGGAGAAATAAATTTGGTAAGTGTTGTCAAAGATGACACTATAAAACAAGAAATTAGATTGTGGGATCAGTTAGCTCTTTAAATTCTAATTTCTAAATATGGTTTCTAAACAGATACACAGTTACAATGTGGAGTGAAAGAAAGGGCACTACAAGTGAAAGGGTATCAAATGCATGCAAGATGAATGCAAGTGGGAAGCAGGCTATGAAAACAGATTCAGGACACGATTGCAACAAGAGGGTGAATTTCCCTCATTTGAGCTCGCTCAAAGCGGGACTTCCATAGCAACATGAGGAATGATTGAGAGGACTTTTTAAAAATCTAAACCCTAAATAGAAGTGATTATTCAGCTTTCTATTGATACCAAGACCAGTTAACGCAATTGTAATGATGGCATTCCTGATTTTGCTGCAGCAGGTCACAAATTATTAGACGAATAAGGACAAAACCGACACTAACAAGATGGACAAGTTAAGTGTCAAATGTTTCAGTGTAAGAGTGGATATATGATACATGTTGATGCTACATTTGGTGGAATGTAAGAGAGACAGCAATCTTAAAGAGAAGAGTGCAAACTATGGAGAGTGCAAACTCTGAAGAGCACAAACTGAGTCTACATGCAGTGCAGGATATGGCATCATGGTGAATATTAAATTCACTTACTGTACAGTTTCTTCACCTATCATTTCAGCTGGAATTGATTACGGTACAAAAATAACACAGAAATGAGAATCAGGATTTATAAAATGCTGCACTATTATTTTCCAAGATGCTTTCTAACTGCATGATTTTTTTCATCACTTACAGTAAGTAGCTGTCCTCAACATGCATAAAGCAAACAAAACTAGAACGGCGAAGCCGCCATGGCTCGCTGTCCAAGGCAGGAAGGGAGGCTGAAGGTAGGGTTGGGGATGGGCATGACGGAAGGGGATCAGGATTCTTGTTGATGTGCCTAGGTGTAGGGGTCAGTTTTTAAATGTCAACATAAAAAGTCAACAGATTACCTAATAAATACATGTGAATATAGGTTAGCCGTCACTGTATTATGGGGGAGTTTTCCATTGTTAGAGTAATTAGGACCCAGTTGTGGATTTTTGCATCCCCATCAGTGTCTTCTGCTCCCCATACTTGTATTACCATGGGAAAACTCTTGTGTAGTCGCCACAAATGCAGAACAAGAATGGGTATACATGTACATGTAGACACAGCACCATCACCACCTCCCCCAAACCTTACCCCATCCCAAAACCTTACCCCATCCCCACCCCCCCCCCTCCCCCACCCAACCCCCTACCCACACCCATTCCATCCTCCCCTAATCATCCCCACCCTATCACCTACACATCCAAACCCCACCCAAACTCCAATCCCTATCTCCTTCCCCCTCCCCTGACCCGTACCCTCCCCAACCCCAACCCCCTACACCCACCTACCCTATCTTCCCCTATCTGTCCTTACCCACTTCTACACATCCCCACCCTAACCCTTACTCGATTCCAATATCCCGCCCACCCCATTCCCCCACCCATACATCCCCACCTGACCCCATGCAACCCCTACTCTGATCCCTATATACTGCCCCCTCCCTTTATCCAACCCCTACAACCCATCCCTACACATCCCCAACCCAACCCCTACTCCGATCCTATATCCCGCCCCCTGCCCAACCCCCTCCTAACCCAACCCCTTCATCCATGCCCATCCTCTCCCTACCTGTCTCCCCCTACCTGTCTCTCCCTACCTGTTCCCACCCCACCCCTACAAATCCCCACCCCACCCAAACCCAGTATTCCAACCCCTCTCCTCTCCCCACCCCACCCCACCCCAACCTGCCCCGCCCCGCCCATCCTAGCTCCCCTACTCATCCTACTCACACAAACCCTAACTCCAACCCTATCCCCCGACCCACCCCACCCCACCCTCCCCTACCCCATCCCTACTCCAACCCCATAAACTAAAAGATCAAACCAGAAGCTCATGCACATCCCCAAAATGCATAGTGTACATGTACATGTTATACCGGTATACACACATGTACATGTTATACCAGTATACGTGTACATGTAACAATTAAAAACTTTAACATTTCCTTGAATTAAAGTTCCTCAATAAAATCATAAAATTTACTGCAATGATATGAACCTAACTGAAGTTATAGGCCTAGAGATGATACCTGACAACTGCATTTAATTTTTTTCCCCAAGTTAACTAGAACCAAAAACTTCAACATTTTTATCTGAACGCGGACGGCCGGACGTCCGGACGGGCGCCCGGACAGACGGACGGAAATTGGTATTACATAGGCTCGCATCTGCTTCGCAGCTCGCCAAAAATGCTACAACTCTCAGAGAGTTTTGGCTGTCATTGGCCCGTGGCCTGTCAACTATTGACCCATTATCTGTCAACTATAACGTACTGAACTTGGAGGTCTGCTTTTGCACAAGGACAATATAAAACACATTCCTTTAAAGAATCACATCCAACACTATGTACCAAGGTTCATTTTTGTTTTACATCTACGGGGTGAGTCAAAAAAAGCGGAACACAAACCCCAAAAATGATATTTCATATTCAAAAAAATATGTAGCACCCAATTAATAATGACTGGAAAGCCAATTTCATAAGCTACTTTTAGATGAAAAAATTACTGAAATTTGTCAATCCGTTTAGGGAATAACACCATTTAAACAAAATGACCCTAAATCCTATCTCGTCCAAAAAATGTGATTTCAAGAATCGTTGTCACAATTCTAAACGTTAAAGGGTCATTGCATTTAAATCGTGATATTCTTTGAACGGATTGAGCAATTTCAATTATTTTTTCCATCTAAAATTAGCTTCTGGATTTGGCTTCCCAGTCGTTATTATTTTTGGTGCTACATATTCGTTTTAAATACAAAATATATTTTCTGGGTTCGGGTTCCGCTTTTTTTGACTCACAAGACTGTATTCAAGGACTGTAAAGACTACTGAGGGAATATTCAAGGGATTTAAGGCAGCAATCAATATTTGTTGTCTTTTGTTCTTTGAAATATTCATGCATTCTAAAAATAGAACACAGCTGCCATAAATGCCTGTTTATTTAATTTTAATATGGCATTTGAGAAAATCATATCACAACAACAAAACACCACTTTTAGAAGAAAAACAAATAACCACTAAATATTGTTCCCTAAATAATGTCTAATACCCCCAGTACATTTAATGTTAATTCCTAAACAATACAAAGTTCTTTTGCAAGTTTTTTTCCTAACAAACAGAACCATATTTTCTTTGGAATAACATGAATGTGAAAACCATCATCATCATCACACAATTACCTGTTGCTATTGAGGTACCTGACATCACATCCTCATGATCCTGAAAAGAAAAGTACAAAGACATTAGACAAAGTTTGCCAGCTTATTTATGTAAGTCATTTCACAAGGAATAAAGAAGAATCACTTCCTAATGTGCAGATCTTAAGTGACAGGCATCTGACCGAAAGACACGGTCTACAGGCCCCAGCAATACTGATGCAAAACAAATGTAAGTTGAAAGGTATAATGACAGTTATGCCCTTCACTGAAGTTCTTAAACGATATAAAAAGCTGAACAAATGATAGGCTAATTTTTCACAGATATCAAAGATGCAGTAGCCCATGTAAATAGAAAAATCAAACCAGGCTTCATGAAAAACTACAAAAAGTGCTGTGAGACAGATGATTTCAGAGCCACAAACTTTTAAAAACTAATTTTCAACCTAAACTTTACTCAGTTTACTTTATTCACAATAAAACATACCTTTATCAACCCACAAAATGTGAGTTGAGGAAAGGGGTCCTCTAGATCTTTGGACTTGGTACTCACAGTTTTCTGTAGATAAAATACATACATGAGCAATCAAGAGATTGTGTGGTGCTCCACTACGAAAAATTAGTCACAGATTTTAACAGTGTTTTATTTTGTAGTGGACATGTGTTACAATACATGTATACAATAAACTGAAAGAATCAAAATGTTATGTTGTCTATTAACCCTAACCTTCCTCAATCCTCCAGGCGTTTTGGAGGATTTGTGAGGATTGAAGCTGAAATGATTTAAGAGGATACATTGCTTTGTCCGCTACCTGGTGCAGGGTGAATAGACTGCATTGCTGGCATACTAGCAGGGCTCAATAGAAGGGATTAGCGAATACAGATACAAGGTATTAAAATAAACGTGAAAAACTCCTCACAGGAATATTCCTATAAAAAAGCCCAAGGGATTAACTTCATGTCAAAGTGGTCTTTTAATGTGAATTTAAGGGATGGGAATGTTCATAGTGTAAACACCTACACATGTACATTTGGTAACATTATAATACCATTACCTTTACTGTTGCCAGGATTTGTTCAAATCTGTTTTTGGCAACAGGGTAACTTTGTCTTTATGAGGAGATGGGGTTTTGCTTCAAACGTTGATATGCTGTTGAAGCCAACTCCATGCCTAATTCAATTCATCTGATATTTGAACAGGCCAAAGAATTGCAAACAAACCTACGTTGTATTGGAAATACGTACAACAAATAAACCAATTAACTTCAAACCTTTCTCCATGGTAGATTGGGGATCCCGTAATCATATCGCAGCTCTGCGCCAATGGGCAGATCTTCTGTGGCAAATAAGCACAGATGGTCATCAACTAACTGGGCTTTGCAGTTAATTTCTCTCCCACACCCATCATTTACCATTCTCCCAAGCCCTCTTGATTTTGTAGCATCCACGCTGAATAAGAAAAATAACAATGATCCTGATTAGGTCAACATTTCTTTGCTCAATTTAAATAATAATAACATTGAAAGAAATGTCCAGATGAACAAAAGCAACAGGCTCTTCAGGTTTGATCTCCATTTTCTACACCCTTGAATGCAAGGTAGGTACATAGCTCATAAGTTGCAACTGTTCAAAATGTACATGTACAGTCTTATTATACAAATATTAAGTGGCTCAAGTGAAATGGGAGGAACATTATCATAAGATGAAATCGAGTGAAATGGAAAAGTCCAGAGTGTTCCGAGCTATAATATTCCTCCCATTTCACAATTTGAAGCCACTCAATATTTGTTTTGTATATAATCGACATACATATCCTTGTCATTTGATTAGTGGAACTCACATCACGTGACATTCGTTATTACTCCCATTCACGTGGGGTCTCAAAAAGTACTATCCGTCCATGGGGAAGTCACCAGGATCATTCTTGTTCCAAGACATGGTATTTGTGTGCAAAGGCATGTTGGTGCGCATGTTCAGCGTAGCGAGTATTGTTCCAAAGAGCCAGCGCTACAGAGTGGGGTTCAAACCTTTTCATGAAGGTGTGGTTTGGAAGAGAGAAATACATTTCCCATCAATTTTGTAGTGAAATAAAAATTCAAATATATTGAATAACAAGGATCTATATGTCATGTATATAAAACAAATATTGAGTGGCTTTAAATTGTGAAATGGGAGGGATTTTATTGCTCTGTAAAATCTGGACTTTTCCAGTTCACTCGGCTTTGCCTCGTGAAATGGAAAGTCCAGATTTAACCTTGCGATAATATTCCTCCTGTTTCACTCTGAGCCACGCAATATTTGTATAATATACCTGACATATAGGTCCTTGTCATTTGATATATTTGAACTTTTATTTCAACATAAAACTGGTGGAAAATGTATTTCTCTCTTCCAAACCACCCCTTCACGAAAATGTTTGAACCCAACTCTGTAGGGCTGGCTCTTTGGAACAATATGCGCTACGCATTTACACACAAATACCGCGTCATGGAACAAGAATGACTCCTAATTGTTGAATAGTATTTCCCATTCCCCATGGGCAAATGGGACTTTTGAGCCCGGCATGAATGGGAGCAATAACGAATGTCACGGGATGTGAGTTCCACTAATCAAATGACAAGGATCTTTATGTCGCTTATATAAACTTTAATAGCTTCAACTCGTTACATTTTATTTAAATCGAGATGACGAGCAAGATGCAGTTTCATAAGTTTGAGAAAAAAAACAGAGAGTTCCCAGTGAAAAAGTCATGAGGTTGAGTCAGATTTGTTATCGAGTTACAACAAATCTAAGTCAGCTCAGCTAATTCAGAATTGATAGGCCAGTGTGACTGCCCATTAGTCTTTTACATTTTCTTTTTACTTAAAGGGCCCATGGAGTGAATATTTCTAAGGAACTTATTTTGTGATACTTTGTAATCTTCTTAAGTTTATGAAATAATTGAAATCCCTTTTTGATTAATTTTACTGAAAATTGCATTTGTTTAAACATTTACAATTTGCCATGCTTTTTCCGAGGAGTGATGGTGCCATGATGTCATTGCAGTAAGATGTTCATTCTTCTGAAATTGTGAACCCGAGAAATCTTGCTCATTGAAAACATTTGTGAAAAAAAGTTTGCTCATTAGCTTACTGCCATGAAATGACACAACAAATCACTAAAAAGAAAGCCAAGTCCACTCTCCATCATCTGTTCTGGTGGTGAGAGGAGTGAGGCTAAACAAAAAATACTTTTGCTTCCGGTTTCCCTACCTACCCTATTCTGACAGCCCCTACCCTAATTTCTTTATGGGAAAAATGAGAAAAAAAAACCCAACCAAAACCATTAATTTCTACGTTTTACCCTTGACTTCACGCAGACGCCTCCATATGATCGTACACACAAACAATATTGGCCAAAAAAAATTCCCTACCTACATTGTACCTACCCTTTTTTCAAATGCCATGCAATCGGAAGCAGAAGTATTTTTTTCCTGTTTTTGGCCTAGTGAATAAGAGATTTTTACCATCGTGTATTTCTCCCATCCTTATAGAAAAACATGAAGTTTCCATCCTTCGTCGCGTAGCTTGCCTCTCTGTGGGTTGCCTCTTTAAGTCCAATGTTTTCACCACAATATTCAAGTAGAAAATCCCCTCTCTTGAATTGTCGATGAGTGAAAACACCTCGTCCTGAAACAAAAGATAAAATAACTTTTTTTTATGCTGTATTGCCTATGTTGTGCTGTTATAAAGATGGCAAGTTTGGGATCAGTTCTGCAAAAGCCTTCCGCACATTAGTTCAGTTCGAGTTCAGCTACCATTAGTGGAGTATTGCCAAATAAGTGGTTGAACTTTTGAACTTTATCTACAGATGTAACATGTTCTAGCTTCTTCTTTTTTGGAAATAAATTTATGAATGGATGCAAATTTGCATGTGACTGATGAAAAAGTTTATTGGAAACAACATATGTCAGTGATTTATTGACTAAAGCGGTAAGACTTTCTCGCCTGGACATTTCTAATTTTTACCTTTTCCCAAGCATCAAATGCAAATTTAGATGAGAAAAATATGTGACACTTTTACATGCATGCAGGTTAAACTTAGAATTTGTTTGGCACATCTCATAGATTTTGAACAAGGGGTGTGAAGTGATGTCCAGGTAAGGCAATCTTTCCAATAATGCTTCATTTTTAAAGTATACATACATACATACATACATACATGTACACGATTGAACATAAATAGCAAAGTGTTTCTTACCAATAGCCTCATTGATGAAATGACATTCCAGTCCTTCTTGGTCAGTTTTAAGTTCAATATGTTTCTGCGCCACTTCCAGTGGTGGAAGGCATTTCTTTGAGCTACGTAAATTCCGATAAGTCATACCTGCTAAACTTCAGAAATAAAAAAAGTTCAAGTTTTTATATAGCCTACTTTGTATTTGGATTCATTAAAATGTATCTTGTCGTAAGTCGTACTTATGTCGAGGACATAACGCATTCAAAACATAGCGGGGGGGGGGGGGGGGGGGGCATTTTCGACATACTATATCCAGTACCCATCCAGTTTTGTACCATTTTCTCTAGTCTTTCAAAAATGAAACTCACCTCACCAATTGAGTAGATATATTCATAAACATACGATCCTCTGTCAATGGGGCAGATTTGCATAACATTTGAATAGAGGAGGATATTCAAACAGTCATGCATGATGTCAGTTTAGCTATGTTGTGAATTTTGTGACGGCCATTAATGAAAGATATTGAAAGAAAAAAATCAACCTTCATAGGATTTTTTTTTTTCTCTCCAACTTTTAAGTAAACGTGTCCCCTTCTGTGTTGCTAGTTTCAATTCTTAGGATCATGATGGCGATGCCCGTTTGACATACATTGTTAGCATGGCTAGTAGGTGATCACCATCTTTATTTTCGTGTTGCGTTTTGTCGTTGTCATCGTCACTTCACCGCCAAACTTCCTCAAAAATTCAAACCCTGCCCTTATCTATGACACAGGGCTACCTGTATGTTCTTAATGTCGCCAACTAGTTTGGTAGGTCAAATAATTTAACAGTGGATTTTATTCCCTTTTAGGAACCAGGCCCGTAGATACACGATCGCCGTAACGATAGCCACTGAATAAATATATGCCAGCAGTTAGCCCAGGTTGGATCACATCTTCATAGCATTACAACTGACGTCCAGGGTATTAATTCTACTACCAAAGCAAAACAAATTGTAAAACATTTTTTTCATATTTTCAAGTGATGGAGGAAGCGGAAATTCCGTTAACATACTCCTTGTGTCCACAACTGTGCATGCTCCGGGCAGCATGTTTACCACAAATAAACCGCAAGTTCTGCGCTTACATTGTAAACATTTTCAGTACAAACTCAAGGAATTCTCACCAAAAATCCTACAAAAACCATAAAAAAATTGCTAACCAAAAGGCCTACCGGTAGCATCAATCAGTTTCACCAGATCAGAATGGCAGTCACATGCATGAAAAAACAATGCCTCTAAACCCAGATACAAAGTCATAGTGAAAACCAAAACATAAAGAAAAATAAGTGAGAGAATTAGTCTTCGCACATAAGTTTGTAGCACTTGAATTCTAACACTATTTGCTGAATAAGCAGGTCCTGCCATGCTTCGAGTTTGAAAGATAACATGAGCTAGAGACTTACCCCTGGAGTTGTGTTGACAACAAAATGGCTGCCTCCTCAAACCTATGCACTGAGCATGCCCAGCAATGAAGGTCACAGGACCACACTCTCTCATAAGATGATAGAGGGCGACATTTCTTATAACTATCAGAGTCCACATTGTACCAAACACTTCATGCGAACTAAGCTTCAAAGTGTGGACCTCATTTTGGACAGTTAATTCATCTCTACATAGAGTCTCATTGGAAAATATGCAGTAAATCTGTGTGGACGTGTGCAAGTCCACACAAGAACGGCTTGTCTACAGTACGTTGGTGTGCAAGCTTTTGCAAGTCCACACAAGGTCTGCAATGCCAACACGCCCAGTCACACACACACACGCACAACCCATACATAGTACTGCAATAGGCATATGCACGCACACACACACCCATCTATAGAAATTGCCCTGTGGAGACCTATACAATCTTTCCCTATTGTGGAAATGTCTCCACAAGGATACAAATTTGAGCTCACACACACACACACGCACACACCCATACTTGTTTCAGATGACTAGTGTGGACTTTCCATTGCTTTCGTGTAGTTAAGAAAAACCAGTGAAAAAACTCATTTTTCTGAAACTGTGAAAACTCTTTCAACCCAATTTTTTTTCTATGATTCCCTTTAGTGTTTCTCTTCATTCTGCTACAGATAAACCTAACCCAAAAATGCCTCTAAACCTGTTTTCCAGAAATGGGGAAACACTGTGTGGACGTGGGGCAAGTCCACACAACGTCGGTGCTACCTACATTATGTGGACGTCTTTTGTTCGGAAGTCCACACTGCGTATGTAAGACAAGCTCACACGGACGGACAAGGCGAAAACAGTATGCCCCTTCGGCTTCGCCGGCAGGGCATAAAAAAAAAAATCTTGAGAGACAGGCGTTTTGGGAATATTGTTATGGTTATGGTTATGGTTTATATTTTTCATATCATAGCACAAACAACATAATAAACAGGAAACTATATAAAGAATGACAAACAATGATATGAGGGATCCAGGTAAAAAGCATATGCTTGTACAAGACCTGGAACCCATAATTACAAATTAAGCTAATAAATTAATATGTACATACAATAGGCTGAATTCACCATAAAGGGAAAATAAGTTTGTTCACCATAAAGGGAAAATAAGCTTTCTTGTCCAAGTTAACCTTACTTGGTAAAAAAATGGAAAAAATTAACTTGTACTAGATAAATATTCTAGTACAACTTAATTTTCATTAATAAAAAAAAAAAAATGAAATTACAGATCACATGTAAATGTAAAAAAATTATGCCTGCAGCACGCCATTCGTAAGATGCTGAATGGCGCACAATAAGGCACACAAATCTGAAAAACTACGGTCTTTTTTGGGGGGGGGTGTCACTTCAAAAGATGGTTTAAATACCCAAATGTCTAAAAAAATACCCTAATTTGGCACAATAAACTCCTTATTGTGCGCAATTCGGCATCTTACAAATTTACCGTATTTTGTACAGTTAACTGAAGTAGGGCTGGGTGCATGTGGTTGTGAAGAACTGCATACTTGTATACACAAGCTGTACTGCTGCATGCAGTATTTGCCGATTTGGGGGCACTTTTTTTTTTGGGGGGGGGGACAACGTTGAAAAGAGTAGATTAATTTAACAAATAATGAGTTTAACAAGTGACTTACTTTTATTTTTTTTTTTTTCGTTTTGCAAGCCAATTACTGATGGTCATTAGTATAGGTTTTCCCGGAACAATTTCGGAAAATGTGTGATTAAATTTGTGAAACATAAATTCAATTTGGCGCCGAGTTTGAGAACGACGTACATCCTGGTTTCATTTTCGCAATAACTAGCATTCAATTTCATTTTGCATCAATCAAATGAACGAATGTGCATAACGTTTCATTTAAGGGATTACAAATACGGGATTAGGCTTTCGGTTTGACGTATGTGTTGCCGATTATTACGAATGTGCAATCCAATTCGCAGAAAATCGATTGTCTATTGTGACACAGGCTGAATTGAACATTCTTTTTCATTTGTTACAATTTAAATTCGCATTTTCTGCATTCAATTTAAATAAATTATACAGGCCTATACAAATCATGATACAACTTTGATTCATTAATTAATCAATGTATGCCTTATTGATCATTAATGTGTTTGTTCTTATATACACGCCTATGTGAAATGTAGGCAAATGAAATGTGAATATGATATATAACATGGCCAATATGAAATCACTCAAAATAATCTTGTACCGTAGCCATATTATTGAGACGGTAAAGGGACACATCACGTGTCACGTTACATGGGATCTGCATGGGGACTTTTTGAATGTTCAAAAATTCAATCATTCAATCAACCATTCCACAACTGTTAATTTAATGCATAAATGAATTCCAATGCTTGACCAGGCATATGTTAAATAACACTGCGAGGGAAATCGGCTGCACATTTAGCGAAAAAGATTGATGATAAATTAAAAGGAAAACAGGATTGCGGATGTGCCTTCGATTTCGCGCTAAAATGAATTGTCAATACACTAAATGCAGAGCACATTCGGGAAATCGTACGCTGATTTTTTACGACTGAATGCACTTTCACGGAAAAAGAATTATCATTTGTTAAATAGAAGCAGAGATTTGGAACGTTCATTCTATTTCGCACAAAAACGAATGCTTCTTTTACAAATTCGTGTACACATTTTCCGAAATTGTCCAGGAAAACCTATATTTACATAATAAACATCATTTCATACAGAATTTTATTTATTTCTATAACACTTTTTGGAAAACACATGCACTTGATTTGAAAGTCTATTTTTGAAAATCTGGCTGCTAATAAGGAATAATATTTTGTTTATCTGCCACTGACTTTTATTGAACTTGAAATTATGCTTAGTCTCTTTAATCGGTTTGAAAGTCTGGATTTGAAAGTCAGTAGCCGATTTCACGAAAAATTGCGTAGCTCGTGCAATTTTATAGTGCAAATGGGCAAAAAATTTACGATCTTTTTTTAACGAAACGTGGCGTAGCTGCACAACGTTTTAAAAAATCTAAACATCTTGGACAAGGATAACAGCAGTTTGTTCACGAAACAGTCGTTGAATCACTTCAGCCCACCAGCCTATTTTTTATTCCCAGGACGGTTGGGGCCAAGTAATAAATAATTCAGCAGGTCATGAATTATTCAGTGATCGGGTCAGTGTGTTTATTCATGAGAACAGAACAATGATATTAAAAGCATCGTTGTTATTAATCAACCAGTTACATAAACGCAATTTCATACATGTACTTTAAAATGCGTTAATATACAAATAACGAATGTTTGTGAGTGCGATGGTAAGAATAATTTCATGAGTTGACAGATTGAATGTTCTATTCCACGAGGCGAAGCCGAGTGGAATAGAACATTCAATCTGTCACCGAATGAAATTATTCTTTCCATCGCACGAACGTAAAACATTCGTTATTTGTTTTATACAACACCTGAATAAATTCTCGTCATTTGATTGGTAAATTATAAACTACAATTTATTTTGATTTTAAAGATGTTGAACTACCCCTTCACGAAAATGTTTGAACCCAACGCTGTAAGCGCTGGCTCTTTGGAACAATACGCGCTACGCTGAACGCGCACACCAGCATGCATTTTGCACGCAAATACCGCGTCACGGAACAAGCGCAAAGTGAAACGGTATAACGCATGGGTATAACGCATGGTCGCACCGTGCATTATACCGAATAATAATATGTCACGTGATCTACAATTCACCAATCAGATGACGGGGATTTATTCAGGTGTTGTATAATGTAACCTAGTACCCTAGTGGATAGCGAGATGAGCTATGGATACAAAGATCCCTGGTTTGAATCCATGTTGTCACTGCTCATTTTCAATGTGACTATTTTTCTGATCTAAATTTATCGTTTAGGAAATTTTAATTGAAGGGAAAAGAGAGAATGAGAACCTAAGTTTCCTTACAATGATTCAAATGAAAAACTGAATTATGCATGACTTGGCCCCACTCTCCTAGGAAAAAAAAAACTTTCTTCAGAATCGTGCAGCAACTCAAAATATTATTGTCACTGGTAAAATAAAAATTCTTTTACTTCAAACGATAACGGGCTTCACGACGATCACGATTTGCTGGTAAAATAGGTCATTTGCAGTCGCTACCCTACAAGTCGAGGACTTTAGGAAATGTGTCATGAGTGAAATGTTGCGCAGCATGAAATGCTGCGCATCAGTGTGAAATGTGGCGCAAGTGGAGTTGCGCCATTACGTAATGTTCTGTGAAATCGGCTGCTGGCTCTTTATGTTGAAAAAATATCTTTTATTCTCTATCAACTATAAACTTTGTCGGAACGTTTTAAAAATAACATTTTACAAATTTAAATTAAACAAGCCATTTGTTTGACTTCGCAAAACTTCACTGTGATGTGCAGCTGGTCAACTGAACATACATGTAGAAGCCAATCTATTTGTTTAATAACTCTGTCATTTGCTGGATCTCATCGATGCTGCAGACTGTGAAGCGCTTATTAATAATGTGCACATCAACAGCACCATTGTCATCCGTTACTACCTGTAAATAGGGGAGGGGGGAGGGTTATTACCAAAGATGTCAGTAAGCCACCAATGATTAGAATTGGACCTTTTGTTTTACCTTCAATCAACGAGAAGCTTATTTTCATGACTCTTTTTGTGCACCAGCACTGTCATTTCTAAATGTCCTCATTGGTAATGTTTGACGTTAAAACTTATTTTTTTTGACACTCAAATTACTTAAAGATATAGTCCATCATTTGTGCATTTTGTTTTTGCAACAAAAGTGTTCAAATCTAATGAAGGATACTGAACAACTAACCTGATTAAGTTTCAGCTCAGTGCGCTTCAGCTGTATATTCCGAGAAAAAAAGCATTCTAGGATCTCAATTTCAAATCAAAAGTTGCTGAATCATGTTTTGAATTGTTTTGAATCGCAGCTATACGCGATGTCGCGCACTGATCCGACGAATTATAGCAACTGCGCCCTCCTGTGCATCGTGCCAATGCTTGCGCAAGCTGCGCCGAATAACAAAACGAACTACTAATTTAAATTTTCCTACAGTGCGTCTTAAGACGCACCGTTGCAAAAGGCCTTCTTTCGTTGATTACTTCAAAATGATAGCTTGCTAGAAAGGTTAATTTCACAGGGAGTTTAGTCCACTTACTATCTTTCAACCAAGTATGTTTTTCAACAATAATACGCCAGTTATTTTTTCAGATGGCTGCAAATGATGGACTATAGCTTTAATTACCAACATAAGTGACATGGTTCTTTGCTGTTTGATGTAGTTAAAGTGTACATGAACACATAAAATTAACAGTTTATTTTGTAGTTTTGTCTGTTTGGAACAACAAGATAATGACACAGAATACTTGTTTCAACAATTGTCAACAACTGTAGTACACAATATAAGATTTGAGGCTTTGCATGGTGGGGTATCGGTATCGTTTCGGTTTGCGGTAGTTCTTATAGAACTTACAGCAGGACTGTTCTTAACAGAACAAAACTACTTAGCAAAGTTGATAATAAGCAGGACAAGTTCTTCTCAGAACTAATATCTTCTAAGCAGTACCGTAATTTCCTGCAGATAAGACTTGTCTTATCTGACTTTCTAGACCACAAAAACATCGCTGCGCCTTATCTACAGGTGCGCCTTATCTGGTGTCACTTGAGTTCAAAGTGACGGTCTTTGTGTGAAGAATTCTTTCAATGCCGCAATCAATAATGCGGTCAACCAAGGCTCAACTCTCCAGACATTGTGACCGTATTTTCATTCCAACAATGCCGCGATGTGTTGATCCCCCATGATCGTGCTTTCATTCCAACAATGCCGCAATGCATTGATCCCCCTTAGTGATCGTGCTTTCATTTCAACAATGCCGTCTTACAAACATTTTTCTTTGTGGCCGTTTTTTCATTCCGAAAATGCTGCAATCAGAATGGGAGACTTTTGACGGACAGTGTCGTAGAGGGCAGCAAACATAGCGGTCCCAGGCAATTTTTGGCGCGAGGAAGAAAATGTTGCAGTTTCATTGCAATAATCAGCCGCTGGCGCAGCTGCGCTAATCTTGCTCGAGTATTTTATTTAGCCTCTTATTAACGAGGTTCGTACCAATATATAAATATGCAGGGTGCAGCCCGTGCCTATGGATCTATGACAATAGCTCTCTTGAAGGAGGAACTAAGGAGGCGAAACGCCAAAACATCTGGCAGAAAAAAGGAACTCGTCGAGAGGTAAGTCGAGGACTAACGTTAGGCCTGGCTTAGCCTTTGTTAACCTTGGCTTTATACTACTTACTAGTGCAGATAGCGCTTCCTATTTTGTCAACAGTTATTGTCAGCTAGGCCTACCATTTCTTTTGACATTTAAAGTCTTTCGAGCGCACGTACAAAGAAAATTAGGCCCTAGTTATTTTGAAGAAATAATGGCCCATCAGAAGGTCCTGAGTAGACCGTCAAAGTCGAAGGTCAATTTTGTGAGCGTGATTGTCCGAAATGGCCACCGCCGGCGCGGCAGGCTCAGGCTTGCGTGGTGGCCGGTAAACATGGCGGTCGGTCGCTCCATGCACTGCAACTTTGTGTGAAGTACAGCGGTACGATTTTCTCCGCCCATGGCATAAACGGCCGGTCTACATGTTCCCCTGTCAATTGCAATTTATAATGCATGTATTTACTTTGCCAATATTTTTATGTTAGCCTATTTTCCTCAAATTAAAGCGCTCTTGGATTTTTTAAAAAAATCAATTCCATTATTTTTTTTTATACGTAGGCCTAGTGGCTATAGTTACGGTAAACGGTAAACATAACGCAGCCTTCAAAAATGCTATCGGTACAGCATTGTAAAAAAACAAGGCGAACGTATAAATTAGGCCTAGCCTACAACTCCCCATTTTGCTCGAGTGTGTCGATAGCTCAGTTGGTAGAAGACCAAGGTGTGCCTGTGATGTTGAATACCAGTACGTTGGGGAACTAGACAGCTTCCGTAATGATAGCCGTTGAGGGTTGCGTTATGGGTACCGTAACTATAGCCACTGCGTTTTTTTATAACACAGACCTAGATAGGCTAGAGCCTAGTAATATTTAGAGTCTCTAAAATGTTCTTAAATTTGTTCTTATTTTCAGACTTGAGTGCTACGACAGAAATTTTAATTTCGGCCAAGGATGTGATTTGGAGGAGTCCGAGGAGGTGTATACTTTTTCTATGCCCAACTTGTCAACATACAAGGACGTAAATAGAGACAGCCAGGTTAGTAGACTTATTTAATCAACAGATAAAAATGAAAATCACAGCAGGAAATGTGCTGGGTAGCCATGTGTCAGAGTTTTTGCCTGCTGTGCATGTACATGTATGTGTGCTCTTGTGTGTAGGTCACTTGAATTTCGGAAATTATCATAGTGATCTATCCACTATGAAATCAAATTACTTTCTCAGGTCTGCTGATGTCTCCACAGAGTCTTGCATACAATTGAGTCTAGGTAATTCAAACTCAGCCAAGATACTATTTTAGCAAGAGACATTTCTGGGAGTCTTTCAGACATTGTTGGTCCCATTCATCATTATGTACATAAATGAATAGCTCAAAAGAGTTTGCAAGGGTTTGTTTTTCTTTCTTTCTTGCATACATGTACCTGTTCAACAGGCTACAGGACTCTCGCTATTATTATACCCACCCCCAAAAGCACTGTGTCAGTGAATTTGGATATGTTTGGATGACATTTTCACAAGTTACTAAGGATTTTCTTCTTTTATTTAGATTCCACATGTAACAAATGACACCCTGAAGGCCTTCATACAACAGTTTGGGAAGTCTGAAGATGGCAAGCCAGAGGCGATGTATCGGGACAGGTTTCTTCTCTCATTGCGTCACAGCAGCGAGGGTGACCATATATACATAGCAGCTAGAGTTGCAGCAGAAATGAAGAAGACGTTGGTATACAAAGTAGATGTAAAGTTAGACAAGTATGGGGTAGTGCAGGAAACTCAGTGTGAGTGTTCTGTTGGTATTGGCCCTAATGCTCACTGTAAGCATGTCGGTCTGGCTCTGTTTGCCCTTACTAAATAAACAAAAAGAAGGGGTTTTGACAATGCAAACTTGTACAGAAGTCCTGCAAACCCATCATCAGAGCAAGAAATATGATGGCTCCCCTTTGCAGATGTCTCAAATTAAACTTCGTAAATCTGAGGGGCTTCAACGACTTAATAATTTTGACCCAAGACCTGCTCAATATAGAAATACACGAGAGTATAATGATCACTTCAGAAATGTGTGGATAAATTCACAAGCAAAAGATCTGCCAATTCGGCAGTTATATGCACCTGCAAATATCTTTGCAGTGACTCATGATTACCTGGAACTAACTCATGAAGAATACTTTCTTAAGAGTCTTAATGTTACCAACATCACAGAGAACGATCTAGAACAGGTTGAAGAAGCTACAAGGGGACAAAGCACAAACAAGTTTTGGAAGGAAGAAAGAAGAAAACGACTTCATGCCTCCAACTTTGGCCGAATATGTAAGTCAGGGGTTAGAACAGACTTTGAAAAAATGGCTAGGTCATTGACAACTATCTCAGAGTTTTCCAGTAAACCCACAGATCATGGGCTGAAGTATGAATCTGTAGCTGTGGAGGCTTACAGCAGTAAGACAGGTAATTTGGTGAAAAGTTGTGGAATCCATGTGTGCATGGAAATCCCATATTTGGCATGTTCACCAGATGGCCTTGTTGATGATGATAGGATTATTGAAGTGAAGTGTCCTTACACATGTAAAGACAGTGCAGTAACTCCAACAAGTGTGCCCTATTTATTTATGGACAGCTCTGGAAAAATGGCATTAAAACACAGTCACAACTATTATTACCAGGTACAGGGGAATTTGTTGTGTACAAAAAGGAAATGGTGTGATTTTGTTGTGTGGACAACGAAAGATATGAAGATCATGCACATCCCCCGAGATGATGAGTTTATAAACGAACTCAAAATCAGACTCCGGGATTTCTTCGAACAGTTTTTCAAGGCAGCATTGCTTGAAACTTTTCTGTACAGAGTTACTGACAAGTATGACTTTTCCTAAGACAAAGGCAAAAGAAAACATCACAGAAAAGAAGTCCTGGTTTCTTGAGCTTCAAATGTTTTAGTCATGGAGTGGACATACATGTACATGTACTGTAGTTGTCACACTTTCATTTATTCTCTGCTAATGACAAACAAAATTCGTTAACCAGACCAAACGCAAGAACTGTTTTTCTTTTACTTGGATTCAATGGAAAACTTTTGAGACCATCCCTTTTTTAGTGTTTGATATATAACTGTCATGTACATGTAACAGTATTATATTTTATCTAAAGTGCATGGCATCAAACATTCTATATATGTAAATGCCTTTGATGGCCTGTTATAAGTCAGGGTTCCTAGCATTTCATGAAAACAAAATTCCCTGATTTTCCCCTGTGTTTTATCTGATGAATTTTCACAATTCTAGAATACTTATTTTGACCTATTTCCACACCAAAAAGCCACCATAGCCAATCATTCAGTGGATTGGCTGTTTGGACATGAGACATAATATAACAAACTGACCACTTTCTATTTTGGGCCAATCAAATTCCCTGACCTTTCCCTGATTTGAGGCATTTTTTCTCAAATTCCCTATCTGGAAAAAGGGAAACTCATTTTCCAGGTTTTCCCTGATTTCCAGCATGGCCAGGAACCCTGTAGATACATGTACATGAATCGTCTGCAAAGGGCCCTATTAACTAGAAATTAATAGAAGATAAATATATTGAAAATTATTTACGAAATGTATGTCAACTTGACTAGTGACATGTTTTAGCTCACAAAACTGTTGCAATACATGTACATGTACATTAGATGCTCTGGGTACAAACTTACAGTGTTTCTATTTGGTGAAAAACTATATCTTATGTTGATAACTTTTTCTCCTGCCATGTGTGCACAATAAATTATAATTCAATACATACATATGTACATTAGATGCTCTGGGGTACAAACTTAGTGTTTTTATTTAAAATAATATTATGTATGTCAATACCTTTTTTTCTTCGAACCTGTGCACAATAAATTATAATGCAATACATACATATGTATGCTCTGGAATACAAACCTACAGTGTTTATATTTAATTTAAAAATATGTATGTCAATAACTTTTTTCTTCTGCCACGTGTGCTCAATAAACTATAATTCAATACATGTATACATATGTACAGTAGATGCTCTGAGATACAAACTTAGTGTTTTTATTTAATAAAAAATTGTGTATGTCAATAACTTATTTTCTTCGAACCTGTGCAAAATAAATTATAATGCAATACATACATATGTATGCTCTGGAATACAGACTTACAGTGTTTCTATTTGGTGAAAAAATATCTCTATGTCACTAACTTTTTTCTTCTGCCATGTGTGCACAATAAATTATAGTTCAATACATACATACATGTATGTACATTAGATGCTCTGGGATACAAAGTTAGTATTTTTATTTAATGAAAAAATATGTATGTCAATAACTTATGTTCTTCTAACGTGTGCATAGTAAATTATAATAAATTTAAATGTATTTCAAAGTCAGAAACTCCTTGTTTTTTTGTCAGCATGTCAGATTTGTATAAAGTCTAGTCATAAATACCTCAGACAGTTTACCAATTCTATTGGTCAAAAGATGATAAAGGTACCAACTTGTTTTAAACACCTTCATAATTTTATAAGAAATTTTGACTCCTGTTTTATCAACTCTAACAATCATACAAGGCAGTATTCATCGTCACATGACATAGACATGCGCAATACAATCAATGAGTCCGTATTCCATAGAATCAACATTTCATTTCACACATGCCAATTTCCATACATTTGAGGATTTTAGTACTGTACACATGAGACTCATACCATTAATAATAAGGCTAGAGGGGTGTTTCACATATCACATATCACAAGGTGAATATGATGAACACAATTGTTGGGAAAAATGTAAAATTTTGACTTTTTTCTACTTGAAGGCATCAAAACAAAGACTTGGGCAAAGTCTAGCTTAAATCTGCACAAGACAAAATTAATGAGTTCCCAGCCAGCATTTAAAAACCACTTCAAAATTTACATTCATTTTCAAATTGTGACGAATGTTACATTCGCACTGAAAATAGCCAACAGTTTGTCTTGCATATTTTTAACCATAGTTAATAGTTACAGTATGATAGCACAACAAGTCACTAACTACATGGAACGCAAGATATTGAGTTTCTGTCAACCTTCATTAAACTTCAAAACATTTTTGTGACGGATGTTACATTTAAAAGACAAGCACCTTTGACTCTTGACACTCAGTTCAAATCCCTGTGAATTTTACACACTTGCGAAAAATCCTAGTATTTCCATCAGTGTGTGCTGGTCTGAGGTAGCCTGCACAAAATATTCAATTTTTAAAATCACATGGTTTTAGAAGAAATCCGCCATTTAAGCCTGTGACGGACGTTACAATTTCCGTGACAAACGTTACACTCTGTGAAACATCAATGTTTGCTACACTGCCAATGGAAAATTAGGTTGGAATAATTGCGATTTGTCTTGGTAAAACTCACCTACTAGCTTTCTCTCTGACTTAAAATAAAAAAATCACAATATTAAACATGCGTGTTTCATATGTTAAAACAAGGTGCAAAAATGACCACAAAAATCCACCATTTTAGCCCCAAAACAATTTTTTGGACAAAAATCACACTGAACTACATTCCATCCCACTGGCATGCCACTCAAATGAAAGATCTTGTTGTCCCCATTAATTTAATACCACACTTGTTGTTGTGATGTTTGTAGTTCTGAAGATATAAGTAAATTTCCATTTTACAACCATGTCCCCTTTTTCATGGAATCGCCCAATTAGAGAAATGCGGATGCCATGGTGGTACGACTACCAAAATCTACTGAGGAAAACCTCCTTAGGCACTGCTTGGAATGATGCATTTTCTGAAGTTAAGCAGCATGAAACAAACGAATGCGATGTTAGATGCTAGAGTCATCTCTGTCTGATTGAGTGGCTGTGTGAGAATTTTGTACGTTTTGCCAAGACCAATAATTCTCTCAACATGGACTCGCTTACTGGAAATTTTCCTATCCCTTAAAACACTCTTTCCTGACATTCTATTCTTCTTCCTGAAGAATGTTGGGATGTTTATGGTGACATCTACTGGTGCAAAAGTGTCCTGGATATCAAATCCCTTGTCTACCATGATGGCGTCTCCTGGATCTGTTCTCCTAGTCAGTCCACTGCGTTCTGCTATTTGTCGGTCGCTAGTTGAACCTCCATAAGCACAAGACATATAACTGACAAGACCCCCTGGGGTCACTCCAAGAACTGACTTTGCTGTATTGCGATTTTTGTATGTAGAAAAGGTGACTTGCTGAGCAGTGGGAGCTTTGGGTTTCTTTACAGGAAATTCAAACCCATCAAGGATAGTCCGTGTAGTGGGGAAGTTCCTCTTAAAATCTGATGGAGCATAAAAACTAACACAGTCTCTGCTGGGCCATATATCCACCTCTCTCCACTGAAGACTCATAAATCTCATCCAGGTTACAAAGATACAGTAAACTTCTGACTCACTTATTTTGAACATACGACTTAGTTCAAAGTTTGGCGTGTATCTTCTGCATTTTATAACAGTTAGAAAAAACTGATCTGGTACACAGATGCTGGGTCGTACACCGTGTAAGTATGTCAACTTAAATGCACTCGGCCCCAATGAAGCTAAAACATCAGAAAATGTGAGGTAATCTTGAAGACCTGTGTAATAATGCACTCCTGCTGAATCAGTCTTGAAATCCTCTATCGTAAACCCACGATTAGACTCTGTCTGTGTTTCGGAAGTGCACGTAGAATAGTTGGGCAGGGGATCAGTTTGAATGTGTACCTCCTGAATGACTGGAACACTCTCGATGTCAACCTGCATGGCAAGATTAAGATCTTGCACGACGGCATCATTCTCAGCTGATTCCCCTTTTCTGCATTCATCCTGTTTCACTTCTTCTTTCTCAAGCCTTCTCTTTTCATTCCGTTCCTTCAGTCGTTTTTCTCTTGACAGTGCTGGTGAAGAGGGTTCTACTTTACTCCATGCAAACTGGCTTGGGACAGCTGTTTTCTTTAGTTTTTTCTTGTTCACTTTGAAACCTGCAATTAACAATTGAAACATCATGATAAAAGTACTTAGATAAGTTGCATTAATGCAAAAGTGGTTGGTTGGCAAGAGCTTCCTCTCAAACTAATCATGAACATTCATAGAAGAGATTTTACAGACTTTTGTCTGAAATACAATTTATCTTTCAGACCTTTCATCTAAGTTTCAGCCCTCTTGTTCTAATTGGCTTGGTAATCTCATCCCTGTACATTTATGTTTTCAGCGTTTCAAGTGGGTGTAAAGGTATCTCTGTTTAATTAGGCCCTATTGTATTCTGTGTTGATTAATTAAGGACTCTTAACATGTGTAATAACATTGCAAAGTTTTTAAAAAAATCTGTGCAAATTCAATGGTAGACTTTTGAGATGCTTGGTGGCAGCAAACATACATGTAATGGTTCCACGTACATGTCAATTGTCCACTATTGTTTTTATCATGTTTGAGTTAATGTGCGCTTCTTCTTCCAGAAAGTACAATCCCTCTTAGAAGTTCAATTCCGAGTATTGTCGTACTACATGTGCAGTGTAAAGGTACGGGTACTCAAAACAATGCTAACAATAGCGGACCAGTCGTGTTGGACCATGTTGTATGTTTGCTACCACCAAGCGTCTCAAAGTCTCCCATTGAATGAGATGTTGTTGATGTTGCAAAAGAGAGATCTGAGCAAGCAATGAGACTCTGTGTTTCTTTGTTATTGTTTTTAATATGAACATTCCCTAACACTTATCGCAAATTCTGCCTGGTTGGTTGATTTTGCACAATGGACAAAAGGCACCATGGGAAGGAAACAGGAACAAACAGACAGTGTTCCTTTTTCCTTCCCACAATTCATTTCGACCATTAGTGGAAAATCAACCAGGCAGTATTTGCAACATTTATGCCACTTTGTCTTTGCCAGTACAAATTTATGCATGGATATCCATCATGTCCAGCAAAGAAACACAGTGCAACTTTACAATTGCAGACGCGGACATTAGAGAAATATCGTCTTTGCTACTAGTACTACACTGTCGTCCTGTTCATACCATGCCATGATCATCATTGAATATTGCTGAAAAATCGGGGGAAATTATGAATAGTTTTTGTTTTAAACTTACCCAGCACTGACTTCTCTTCGTAATCGGAGTCCAAAAAGTGCGCCTTGCACACAAGACTGCTAGCCGTTGGCCACCACGGTCGTATGGGTTTGAAACTATCCCTTTTGATGGCCCGTCTCCACTGGTTTCGTATTTTTTTGTCCTTGGGAAATGTGTGCCCTCCGCGGTGGCAACATCCGAACACGGCACAGCAAGATCCAGGCATTTGGTGCAAGGTTTCATTGAATGAGGTGCACTGCTTGTGCACGAATCAAGGACAACAAAATACGAACTCTTTACTTCCGGGACCGTTGAAGCACGCCCTCTTGCGATAAATTAGAACTAGTCAAAAGTCTCCCATTACTTAAACGTTTGGAAATCGCATTCACTCAAGTTCTATTGTGTGAACGTTGAGGGTGTTTATTGTACAGGATATCTTCGAAGTCTGCTTTAGACTTAGGATAATATGAAGTACTAATGTTTATTTGTTGCACTTTCGTTTGTTTTAAGATATCAAATAAGTTTAATGATCTTGAAAACAAAACTAACACTAAGAGAAGCGATGTATTAAACAAATATCTTATGAACGTGATTAACAAATTATAGGTTTGAAATAAAGGAAAAGAACTTTAAATACAAAAAAACATTACAACAATTTTTAAAAAATATAATAAAACATTTTTGTTACGTCTCCCCCGGTGTGACGGGATTATTTTCGTATGGTATATACATATAGGCGACGGAAGTTTTTGTATTAGTCACCGGTAGAGGGCGCAACATCTGGCTCGGAGGGACTGGGCAAGTCTACGAATCTGAGCCAGCGTGCGTGTTGCAATATCTTCAGACAGCGCGTGGACCATCATTTCTGGCCGCTGATTGGGCCGCACTGCATTAACAAAAGGCCAAGGAAGGCCAGGATCGGAAACCGCAAGCAAGCATGCACAGCGCGCGTTGGCTGAATGGATGAAGGTCGGTATCAATTTACATTGGTCTTTTCTTCATGGCTCTACATGTGACCAGCCAATGTGGTTACGGTTTAATTCATCCTCCGAACAGTGTGATCGTTCTAAGGCAACACAATGGCCCCTTTGTGGCGATGTACCGACACCGGGTGACGCTGGTGTTCTTCTGTGTACGGTCAAACATGCGTCTTATGCGGCGGTGCGCCTTATCTGTTGGCGTTTGAATTTTTTTGTGGTGATTTTAGGGACCTGCGCCTTATCCGCCGCGAGCCTTATCCGCCGCGAGCCTTATCCGCCGCGCGCCTTATCCGCAGGAAATTACGGTAGTTATTACCACATGGTGTTACTGCAAATCGAAATGTAGTACACAATATCTCAATTAACAACTCTGGTTTTCTTTTTCTTTAAAAGAAGGGCCTTCCCAAGGGAGGATCGGGGGGGGGGGGGGGATGGGGGCCATGCCCCCCCCCCAAAAAAAAACCCCAATTTTTTTTTTTTGGTGTCGCAATAAAGGCAGCCTCCGTATACCATTTTAGTGTAACTCAAAAACTACTCTCGGTCAAATGTGGACAGCATCTTGACAAACAGTATGAGCGAAGAGGATGGACCAACCTATTATTGAGTGGTCGGGAACAACCCGACCACTTTTCCGTACAGCACGTTTCCGCGGGTTTTCTCCTAAACGGTTTATGATAGGAACTTGTAACTTTCAATATATATCGACCCTCATCATAAGTGGTGCATATTACTCTGACTTCATTATGACGTCATCGGGTGTCAAATTACAAGCGATTTTCGTTTAAAAAATGACAATCTTCTTTCATCTGTAACTCTTGAACAAAATGATCAATTATGTTCCAACCCTGTAATCAGATAGACCATTAATTGCTGAACATTTTTGTCTTGTACGTGAATTTGCTTGACCTTTACTTCTGGGTCTACCGGAGGTCAAAGTTAGGTGAATTCAAAATGAAGACATTAGCTAAAAACCTTTTATTTGTTCACTGAACCTTTAAAAGAACATGAAAAGTATACAGTAAGGGAAAAGGTTAAAGAAAAAGAAATATTATTTTTGAGATTTTTTGTTGTTGGAAGATTGCTTAAAAAACGAGATGTTCACACACATAAATACAACTTTTTTCGGCATAATTTTTCATAAGTTGCATGATTTTTGTACATGTTTTCATCGTTTTGGACCCCAAAAAAGAGTATTGTTGGATGCCTGAGCAAATTTATGTCGTTAATTGATCCAGAGGTGCTCAGTATTTTATTTTGGAGTTACACCAAAATGTACTACATTGTAAAAGGACTTTTTTGTTTTGTTGTTTGAGTGTAGCAATCCTTTTGACTTGGAAATACCCGCAAAAAGTCAGAGGTTCTGAGGAAGACTTGCTTTGTCTTCGTCAAAGCATTCCAATTAGAGGAATGGAAAAACAAGTTTTGCGGTATGTTTTAACGGTTTGTAATAATGAACCCCCCCCCCCTTGCCCCACAAAGTCAAAAAAAAAAAAAATTGAAAGGATCTACCTATCCAGAACCCTTCTCATCAGATGAGTTGCCTATTGACAGAGACTTGGATGACCAAATCATCTTATCAAACGTTTGAGGACATCTTGTAAGAAAAAGCATGCATATATACATTTTGGATATTATCACAAAATTGGATTTTTAATTCTCTTGTATATGGGCAGTTGAAAAGTGTACAAACCAAATCTCTCCCCCCCCCCCACAGCAGTGTGATTTGGGTCTACGAGCGAATACTTACCTGTAGAATATTACTTATGTATATTCCCTATACCTGTAGGTATTTCCCGCTAAGAGTTTTATATAGTAGCGCCCTCTGGTGTCCTACCCATAATATCCCGCGGCATACGTGCCTCGTGAGCATCCTCTTTTCTCAAGCGTTAAGTCAAATACTCATGGCACCGAGAAGGGTGGGGTAGGAGGTTCTACAGGGGGGTGGGCTGGGGGGGGGGGCTGTAGCCCCCCCCCAATTTTGTCTAGCCCCCCAAACACATTCCATAAAAAAAAATTGCACAAGCCAAATGTAAGAATGTGATGTACATGCGAACGGTCTCCCCCTAAATATATAGTCGTGAGAAGGGTGCATTTGTACACTTTTAGCTAATATAGTGTGCCTGATTGTAGGATTTTATCAGCGCTCCCCATTGAAAATATTGCACGAGTGAGACGCTGCTATCAAGACGGTAAGTAGCCGGTAAGTGGCGGAATAACACCGGGGCCCTCGCTGAGTTCTACCTATCCTGAGCGGGTGGTATAAGTCCTACTAACCGCTATCTCACCATGGCCATCTCTATGTTCAGCATTGTTCCTGTATTATGCCTCCGTTTCGTCTCGGTATCATCATCTGTGCTTGGCTTTGCTTTAATTTATTTCGCTTTAATTTACAGTAATTTTTTTTGCTTTTTGTTGTTTTCATATAAGTTTGCAATGCTTCATTTTTTGTTCCCATTTCATTGCCATATTTTCTTTGTGTTATTCATATACATATAAATATATATATATATATTTATATATATGCAATAAATTCAGAATATGAGTTAAACAAACTTTGGCATATCTCTCTTCTGGACAGACTGTTTCGTACCATAAGGCACTCATCAGCAGAATGACGAAAAATAGAATACAAGTAGCATCTTACCTTATTTCGAATCAAGCGCGCGCGCACGCGTTATGTCATTGAAGTTAGTACGCGTTTACGTCACTGAAGTAAGAACACATATGTCTCGATGCCGGCACTTGGAGACGATTTCGCTTCTCTTATTCAGTGTACCTAGATCTGGCCTACATATGATTATGTACTTCTCTGCTATACACAAATTGCATCTCTTGTTTACGTTAGAGTATGGCAGTGCTTTCAGAACAATGTCCCAATTAATTTCATAGTCTTTCCCCTCGTCCTTTAAGTCCCATATATGTTTACTTAGCTCTGTTTGCGCCCTCTTGCTCTCGAATCTGAATGACTGCTTGTGGTTCGCCAGTCTCGCCTTGAAGGTTGTGGATGTCAGCCCGACGTATGCCTCCTTCCTGCCTTCGCTCGTGACGGTGGCCTGGTACACGATGTTCTTGCTGAGGCACTCCCCGTTCAGCGGGCATTCGGCATTGCAGGGGCAACTGCATGTTCTACCACCGACGTCGTCCTCTTGTTTTACCTTTCGTTTGTTGATTGACTGGATCGTTGCCTTCATGTTTGGCATGCAGCTGTACGATAACTTTACTGTGTTCCGGTTGAGCACTTTGTTTGTTTAACTCATATTCTGAATTTATTGCATGGTTATAGCTCTACAGAGATGTATCGAGCACTGTGAATTGTGATAGAAGACGATTTCATTGGATATACTAGCTCCTATTTTTTATAGTTGAGCACTCTCCTGACGTCGCACTTCAAAATGGAAAGAGTGAACATTGAATATTCGACGAAGAATATTCCAGTAGCATCGAGAACAACATACCTCAAGCGCCTGATCGAGAAAACGGAAATGTTCATCAAAAGGATTAGATGGAGATCATTCTTCTTTCTGAATCCGGAGCTGAACAAAGAAAAGGCGGAGAAGGAGGAAACATATGGATTTAAGTCGCGGAGAACACCACCAGTCATCCCGGAACTGAGAGAATTCGAAGACAATTTGGTGAGTCTGATTCAAAACGTCGAATTTGAGAAGACCACTAGCCAGTTTCAACACAAATTGAACGAAGACATCAATACGATTAGGAACGATGATAAGCTTACCGTCAAGGCTGATAAGACTACAAATTATTACAAAATGGAAAAAGACGACTATGTAAATCTTGTCAGGGCGAATGTCACCAAAACGTTCAAGAAAACCGAGCAAAACGAAGTAGCGGAAATAAATCGCGAAGTGAAAAGAATTGCTAAAAGTCTTGGACTGGGCGACCGCATAGATAAATTGGCCGAGAGGGAAGTCTTCATTACTTTGAAGGACCACAAGGACAACTTCGGTAACAAACCATCATGTCGACTGATCAGCCCAACCAAATCAGAGATAGGACATGTAAGTAAAGTGATGTTTTCTATTTTCTGGGGGTCTCTTTGAATACTGCCAGACCGTCGTCCCTGTATAGTCCCACTCTATTTCTGTACTTTGGATTCAGGATCGACAGCATACATGCTACGACCAGCTCGCATGACTCCGCGCCGTCGAAACTGCCCATCGTGACATCGAATTTGCTGTCTACATTACGCTTTTTCCACGGTACCTGGTCGTTGAATACCACTGTCTGTTCCGCGTGGATGATGATATCTTTCTCCTTGCTGCTAATGTTCTCGTAGTTTTCTGCGAACCCTAGGGCCTTCAGGAGAAGCTTTTCCGTTATCGAGGGGTAGAACTCCACAAAGCAAAATTTATGAAGCTCGATTCTTGCTTGCTTGGGATCAGAGACCACGGCTGACGCAGTAGGTCTGGTCGCCCCAGAAGAATTATCGGTGGGTTGCACAACATCCGAACGATTTTCTGAAACCAAGGCTGGCACGGCCAAAAGGAAGCGATGAAAATGACTCTGCACTCCTCTTTCTCAACCTTTGTCAATACTCTTGGCAGGAGTGAGATTGGTGGAAAAGCGTATGCCAGCATGCCCTTCCAACTGATGGAAAACGCGTCTGCAGCCCATGCCTTTGGGTCCTGGTTGCGTGCGCAATCCACCGGTAACTGATGGTTCAGTGCCGATGCAAAAAGATCGATGTGAGGATGATCCCATACTTGGAAGATCGACTGAACTACTGTCGGGCGAAGAGTCCACTCCGTTGGAAGGACCTTCCCCCGGGACAGAGCGTCCGCCATGATATTCAGTTTCCCCGCCAGGTGGACCGCTGTAAGCGTAACCTGTTTCGCTTGACACCACAGCAGGAGCTCCCACGTGTGCATGCACAACTGCGGGGACCGTGTCCCGCCCTGGCAGTTTATGTAAGACACAATGGTGGAGTTGTCCGATTTTATGAGGACTACTTCCCCTGTCACCCGTCCGACAAAGTGCTTCAGAGCCCGAAAGACCGCAAGCAGTTCCAGGATATTGATGTGGCACTGTCTGTCCGCCTGGGACCAAGACCCTGCTGCTGATTCTATTCCAATATGTGTCCCCCAACCTGTGTTGGAGGCATCCGTCACCAGAGTCACAGA